ATAATAAAATAGGAATAGAATAGAATAATAGAATAGGAATAGAATAGAATAATAGAATAGGAATAGAAGAGAATAATAGAATAGGAATAGAATAGAATAATAGAATAGGAATAGAATAGGAATGGAACAGAACAGGAATATAGAATAGGAATTTAAAATACAAATTAGGAATGGAATGGAATAGGAATAGAATAGAATAATAAAATAGGAATAGAATAGAATAATAGAATAGGAATAGAATAGAATAATAAAATAGGAATAGAATAGAATAATAAAATAGGAATAGAATAGAATAATAGAATAGGAATAGAATAGAATAATAGAATAGGAATAGAATAGGAATGGAACAGAACAGAACAGGAATATAGAATAGGAATTTAAAATACAAATTAGGAATGGAATGGAATAGGAATAGGAATAGAATAGAATAATAAAATAGGAATAGAATAGAATAATATAGGAATAGAATAGAATAATAGAATAGGAATAGAATAGAATAATAAAATAGGAATAGAATAGAATAATAGAATAGGAATAGAATAGAATAATAGAATAGGAATAGAATAGGAATGGAACAGAACAGAACAGGAATATAGAATAGGAATTTAAAATACAAATTAGGAATGGAATGGAATAGGAATAGAATAGAATAGAATAATAAAATAGGAATAGAATAGAATAATAAAATAGGAATAGAATAGAATAGGAATAGAATAGAATAATAGAATAGGAATAGAATAGGAATGGAACAGAACAGAACAGGAATATAGAATAGGATTTAAAATACAAATTAGGAATGGAATGGAATAGGAATAGGAATAGAATAGAATAATAAAATAGGAATAGAATAGAATAATAAAATAGGAATAGGAATAGAATAATAGAATAGGAATAGAATAGAATAATAGAATAGGAATGGAACAGAACAGAACATGAATATAGAATAGGAATTTAAAATACAAATTAGGAATAGAATAGAATAGAATAACAGAGTTGGAAGGGACCTTGGAGGTCTTCTAGTCCAACCCCCTGCTTAGGCAGTGACCGTTTAAAGTTACCGTTTAGTGACCGTTCAAAGTTACCACGGCACTGAAAAGAGTGACTTGGCACCGTTGGTTACAGTTATGATCTTTGCAGCATCCCGATGGTCATGCAACCAAGTCAGATGCTTTTGGCAACCGGCTCCTATTTATGACGGTCGCACGATCTGCTTTTGCGACCACTTGTCCAGCAAAGCCAATGGGGAATGCAGATTCTCTTAAACACCGTGTGACTGACGTAACAGGGGCAACGACTCGCTTAACAACGGTGGCAGGAAAGGTCGTAAAACAGAGGGAGCTCACTTAACAAATGTTTCCGCTAGCAACAGAAATGTTGGGCTCACTTGTGGTCGTAACTCGAGGTCTACCTGGACATAGGTTTCTTCAACATCAAGACAAGCAAATCCTCAACTCACAGCTGCTCATTTAATGACCGTTCAAGGTTACAACAGCCTTGTACCTTAACAGCTGTCGCAACAACGCTGCGGTCACAGAACTGCAATTGGTTGGTATTTGCAACTAGTTGCAGAGCCCTTAGGACGCGCGACCTTAATGCGTGGATTGTTCCTGCCTCGTTTCTGCAAAAGATGCCCACTGCGAGAAGCTGTCTTCGCTCGACTTGCTTAACCGACCCCCGTAGAAGTCGTCATAAAGCTGGGTCCGTCTTGACTTAACGACCCACGGCAATTTACAGCAGAAATTCTGTTCCCGGTTATACTGTTGTCGCCCGAAGGGGCCCCTTCTTCCTTCTCGCTCGGGAGAACTCACCGTGAAGAGAAAGGGCCCAAAAGGCACTGCAGGCTGCCTCTGAGACTTCCACGTGGTCGAGATGCATGTGAAGGATGACGGAGACCAGCTCCGTGGCGTATTTCAGTGGGCTCTGGGCCACGTCGGCCACTGAATTGACAAAAGAAAGGCAACAACATTAGGCCCGAAATGCTTACTTACGACCAGAGTTGAGCCCGAAATAACTTCAGATAACACAGACAGAAAGGAACTTGGAGGTGTCCAACCTCTGCTCAGGCTGGAAACCCTACACCACTGCAGACAAATGGCCGTCCAATCTCTTCTTAAAAACCTCCAGTGTTGAAGCACCCACAACTTCTGGAGGCAAGTTATTCCACTGATTAGTTGTTTTCCCTGTCAGGAAATTCCTCCTTAGTTCTAGGTCGCTAAACAAATCGTCCGTAAGTCGAGGACTTCCCGCATGAAACCTTTTCCTCCTTCCTTACCCTAGAATAGTTTTAACCTGGCTGCTTTCATCAACTCATCCATTGCCTCTTTTCCTCCTGAATGTCCTAAGTAGCTAACAATAGGCTGTTGCCCATCCAAAGTGGCCACAAACATCGGGAAGAGCTGGGGTACGAGTGTCCAACCAGAGGCCCCTATTTTCCAGCTGTGCAATCGGAGGCATCCAATGTCTCGTTTCCTACCCACCGTTCACAGCCAGCGTCCAGATGAGGCCGCAACAAGCAAAGCAGATCTCTCTGTTGTGAGCGAAAGTACCCAAGATAGTCAAGATGTCCGTGAAAATGTTGGCTCTCCGGAGGGCTTCCGCGGCTGCTTCTAGAAAGGGGGTGAAAAAGAGAGAGAGGGAGGTGAAGAACAATGGGTTGCGGAGCTGTAGGAAAGCTATGACAAATCTAGACAGCAATCTAAAAAGCAGGGACATCACCCTGCCAACAAAAGTGCGTATAGCCAAGGCTACGGTTTTCCCAGTTGCAATGGATGGCTGTGAAAGTTGGACCATAAGGAAGGCTGAGAAGGCCAAAGAATGGAGGCCTTTGAACTCTGGTACTGGAGAAAACTCCCGTGAGTCCTTTGGACTGCAAGGCCATCCAACCGGTCAGTCCTAGAGGAGATCAACCCTGACTGCTCTTTAGAAGGCCAGATCCTGAAGAGGAAACTCAAATCCTTTGGCCACCTAATGAGAAGGAAGGACTCCCTGGAGAAGAGCCTCATGCTGGGAACGATGGAGGGCAAAAGAAGAAGGGGACGGCAGAGAACGAGGTGGCTGGATGGAGTCACTGAAGCAGTCGGCGTGAGCTTAAATGGACTCCGGAGGATGGTAGAGGACAGGAAGGCCTGGAGGAACGTTGTCCATGGGGTCACGATGGGTTGGACACGACTTCGCAACTAACAACAACAAGGCCCATCTGAGCCATGGTAGAATTCCCAGCAGGCGAGGCCACCAGGTTGAGTGCGCGCGCCTTACCGTTGGAGGACATCATCATAAACAAGGTGCAGATCATACAGAGCAGCTCTTCGTTGTCCTGATGGGTCCTCATCGAATTCAGCAGGCAGCTGAGGTTGTTCTCTTCAGCCAGGATCTCCACGTTCAAGTTCTGAGCGATAGCTGTCGGAAGCAGAAAGTCAGCCCAGAAACATCTAAGCTACCTGCTGCTATTGCAAACATCTAGGATGGTCCCATCCCTCCTTTCCAAGCCAAAGATCCTCGCACAGAAGGCACTGTGCCCGAACAGGAGGGAAAGAGTTAGAAACAGAGCAATATAGTGCTTTAGAGAGCCAGATGTAAGTCTGTTTTCAGCAAAAGGTCTGAATAATCTTCTTTAGGCCGCTCAGCAACCAAGAGTTGGCATAACATTAAAGGGTTATTTAAACAGCCCTTTGTCTGTTGAATTAAGGAACAATAAATAATCGTTTCGGCTATCATCGAGAACCTAATGTTTTGCTGGTTCTCTCACCTCGCCCGGCGATTCCAAGCAGCAATGCAAATCCAGCCAGCAGCGTCTCAAGGGAATCGTTGTGCTTATCCATGGCATCGATCACCGTCTCCATCAGGTGAAGGAACACCTTGACACCAACTGTGGGGGAAGAATCCGCAGCTGTTCAATTTCATTTCTCGTGCCTAATCAATAACTTTCCTGCACCAGTTGGGGAGTGTGGCTTTTTTTATTTCTCTTTGGAAAAGTTTGGAAATACTTGGAAATCCTTAAGTCGGCAGTTCCAAGAAAGCTCCGTGCCCATTTGCACCACTCGGGTGTCCCTGAGGACACAGACAAACCTCCCAAGTGGCCTCAACGACTCTCGAAAAGGATGCAAATGACCAGCTGCCTGCAAGGAGCATAAATCCTTCCATTTCCCCAACTTGTCGTGGTCCACCAGCAGCCTGCGGAGCTGGCAGCAGAGTCGGACAGTGAGGAGTCTGGGGAAGGCTCGGACGAGGGCTCTGCGTCTGAGGCAGAGAAAGGGCCATTGGGAGTTAAGTGCTGCCTCCGGAGCCTCCTGAGTCGGACATCAGAGAGGCAGAGGAACAGAGGGAGCCTGTTCCCAGTGCGTGCATGCGCAGAGCTGCCAGAAGGCAAGAATAGTTAAGACAAAAGGGACGACTCGGGAGTAAGGCTGGGAGATGATTGGCCCCTCCCATAAGGCTTAAAAGAGGAGCAAAGGCACATGAGCCTTTGCAGGAAGCAACGTTTGTTCATTCAGTTCAGTTTAAAGCCTGAAGCTCTGTTTGATTTTGGACTCCGTGTGGATTTGCCAATTAGGTCTTTGGCAGCGTGCCAAGGGAGATAAAGGTGGGTGATTATCAGCCTTATCCCGAAGGACTCTTTACAACTATTGGGGACTCATCTGTGAATGAACAGAATTCACAGCTGTTGCAATAAAACAGGTTTTTGGGACTACTCGTGTGTTTTACTGACTCGGGAGGTCAGAACAGAACTATCCAGTCAGAGCTGAAGAGGCTTCTCGTACTTTTTCCCTCGTTCAACAGGATGTTGAGACGTTCGATGCTCTTTTCTTGGGCTTCTTCAACTTCCGGGTAAGACATCATGAATTCTGCAGGAGGTTAAAAACGAAAAGCAACTTTCTGTGCCATCCACCCTTACAATCAAAACAAAAGTGTTCCGTAGAAGCTCCAATTTTCAAGTTCTCCGGTGCGGATGTTTTCTGAAATCTTCATTAATCGTCAGGTATCTATAGGATATATCTATATGGGATGCGGTAGCTCAGTGGCTAAGATGCTAAGCTTTGTAGTATTCTATTTACCCTGTTTCCCCGAAAATAAGACCCTGTCTTATATTTTTTGGAACCCTGAAATAAGCGCTTGGCCTTATTGCCATGCGCTCAAAAAGCCCGATTGGGCTTATGATCAGGGGATGTCTTATTTTGGGGGACACAGGCAGTGGTGGGTTTCAACATTTTTTTACTACCGGTTCTGTGGGTGTGGCTTGGTGGGCATGAAAGGGAAGGATACTGTAAAATCTCCATTCCCACCCCACTCCAGGGGAAGGTTACTGCAAAATCCCCATTTTCTCCCCACTCCTGGGGGAAGGATACTGCAAAATCCCCATTTTCTCCCCACTCCTGGGGGGTAGGATATTGCAAAATCCCCATTCCCTCCCCACTCCTGGGGGAAGGATATTGCAAAATCTCCATTCCCACCCCATTCGGGCTAGCCAGAGGTGGTATTTGCCAGTTCTCCGAACTACTCAAAATTTCTGCTACCAGTTCTCCAGAATCTGTCAGAACCTGCTGGATTTTACCCCTGCTGTATAATAAAATACATTCATCAAGAATAAAAAAGATGCAACACTTGGTGATAGTCATAGTCATCATGCTAAATGACTAGCCAGCATTACCTAGAACTGTCTGGATCTTATCGGTCTGAAGTATATCTAGGAAACCCGGAGGAAGTTTCCTTGCCACCTTTATTAGAGGGGATTTAGCTTCAATGAGGCATTCTCGGATATATGGATTTCCAACCAGTGCCCTAAAATTACAGGAAAAGAGGAGAGAAACAGGTTTTTTTTTCCCCCTGAATTCCAACTTGGCTGAAGAATGCAATCCTCGACTTAACAACCGTTGGTTTTAGCGACCAAAGTCACAACAAATTTTTTTTAAAAAGGCACATATGGCCATTTTCCCAAAGTTAAAATTCATCAGTGGAACGGTTTCCCTGCAGAAGTTGTGGCTGCTCCCATCACTGGAGGCTTACAAAAAGAGACTGGACCAACCATCTGTCCGAGATGGTATTGGGATTCCTGCTCGAGCAGAGGGTTGGACTAGAGGACCTCCAGAGGTCATCTAGTCCCTTCCAACCTCTGTTATTCTACATTCTAACGGGACGATCTCAGCTAGGCCAACTCACTCTGCCGTTGGCCTCTCAGAAGGATCAATTTTCAGCATCAGAAAGAGGACGGAAGACAGCAAGGGGGGCAGCTGGTTCATGTCGCTCACGGCCTCCTCAAGAGCTCTGGCCTCCTTCTTGATGTTGTGCAGCAACAACATAGGCTCTTTCACCTACAAAAGACGCACAACGCAAGAGAGAGAGAGATTCTTAACAGGGGACACAAGATCGGCAATCGATTCGCTTGCAGGTTCACCGGGCAAGTGTGTGCTTGTCGGAAGCCGGCTGGGAAAACCGTAAGATCACATTAAAACACCCCGGACAATGTCATTCCTGCCAGTTGCCAAGCATCTGAATTTTAGAATAGAATCGAATTCTTTATTGGCCAAGTGTGATTGGGCACACAAGGAATTTGTCTTTTGGTGTATATCGAACTGCTAGGTTGGCAATTCACGGGAGCTCACCCCGTTACGCGGCGCTAGGGATTCGAACCGCTGAACTGCCGACCTTTCGATCAGCAAGCTCAGCGGCTTAGCCACTGAGCCAACCGCGTCCCTCTTTATCGCTCTTTTATCATCTCGCAATTTGCAAACTTTTATAGCTCTCTTAACAGGAAGGATATAACGTACCTTTGAGGAAGAACAGGCTATCATGTCCAGCAAAATGGAGCCCAACGACCAAATGTCGGATTTGTCACTAAAAGAAAAATCGAGGGCCTCTGGAGCCATCCAGCATTTAGAGTCGGGCTCTGCAGGGAAGATAAACCCACCCAGGACTATTTTTAAATTCCTGCAAATGACAGCCCAAGAGCATTTTTTACTCGAGAAATTGAGCAGAAACGGAAATTGAAAAAAAAACTGGGCTTTCTTTGTTTTTGCTTGAAGAGGTTTCGCTTCTCATTCGAGAAGCTTCTTCAGCTCTAGCATAGGTAAATGTCTATGGAGATTCTCAGTCCTCCAGGTCATGGTTGTCCCAAAGGTGCTTTTTTTCCCGAGGCAACTTTCTAGTTTTTCTCTGAAGATGTTTCGTTTCTCATCCGAGAAGCTTCTTCGGCTCTTGACTGGATGGTGGGAAACAGAAGGATTTATACTCCTTGCAAACTTTTTGCATCCTTTCAGAGAGTCGTTGAGGCTACTTAGAGGTTCAGCTGTGTCCTAAGAATCACCGCAAGTCAACCTCCAAGTGGCCTCAACAGCCCTCTGAAAGGATGCAAACGACCAGCTGTCTGCAAGGAGTATAAATCCTTCCATTCTCCCGCCATCCCGTCAGAACCTGAAGAAGCTTCTCGGATGAGAAGCGAAACCTCTTCAAAAGAAAAACAAAGGAAATCCAGTTGCCTCTTGGAAAAAGCACCTTTATTAAGTGAGTCTTTTTTTTTCTTTTTTGCCACTGTTGTTAAGCAAACCACTGCAGTTGTTCAAATAATCACTAAACAAAATGTTGTAAGGCGAGAACTGTCTGTATTCCAACATTCCCATGAAACAAACGGGGTCATACAGTCTATATATCCTCTCTTTAGTTTATAAATATTTTCCAAGCACCCCAGGGTAAATGCCTTTTTTTTGGGATAGGCACGGAAACCAGCGAGAGCAACTTACCTTCTTCGGCCCTTATTCTCCATTTCATCTCATCCATCATGAGGGTTTCCGAACCGAAATCACAAACCATGAAAGACATTTCGCCAGTAGAAAGGATGTTCGATGGCTTGAGATTCCTGAAATACAGCAGAAGGTGGGGAGGCCACCGTCAGGCAGGCTACCTCCCAAAAAACCAAAAAAACCACACAGCCATAGCAGTTAGACTTATATACCACTTTACAGTGCTTTTACAGCCCTCTCTAAGCGGTTACAGAGTCAGCCTCTGGCCCCCAACAATCTGGGTCCTCATTTTAACCACCTCGGAAGGATGGAAGGCGGAGTCAGTTTCCATCCATTGTTCCTTGTCTGGCCTTCAGGTGCTTTGGAAAATAGCTTGACCCCCTTCCTCCTCTCTGGGGCAGCCCCTCAAATATTGGAAGACGGCTATCACGTCTCCCCTGGTCCTTCTCTAGACTAGCCACTCTCGAGTTGATGGGTGTTGTGTCCTTCCTGCTAAAAAGACCCAAAATAATCAAATCCTTCTCACCGGTGGAAAATATTTAGCCGATGGATGTAAACTAATACATCCACCATCTGTCCTGTGAACATCTGAATGACCTGCGGAGAGAAATATATAGACCGTTTAGGAGGAATTGAAAGTTTTTGACTCACAATTAAGAGGGTGGAAAAATTGAAATTATAGTTATGCAAGTTGATGAAGGAACATTTTTATCCCATCCTGGAATGTCTCAAAGGGATGGATCCACGAAGAGGAGGGGGTCAAACTTATTTTCCAAAGCATCAGGAGGCAAGACAAGAAACGATGGATGGAAACTAACCAAGGAGAGAAGCAACCTAGAATTAAGGAGAAACTTCCTAACGGTGAAGACAATTAACCAGTGGAACAGCTTGCCATAGAAGTCGTGGGTGCTCCATCACTGGAAGTTTTTAAGAAGAGACTGGACAGCCACTTGTCTGGAATGGTATAGGGCCGTGATAGCAAACCTATGGCACGCATGCCATAGGTGGCATGTGGAGCTATATCTGTGAGCATGTGAGCATTGCCCTAGCCCAGCTCCAGCACGCATCCGTGCGCTGGCCAGTTGATTTTTGGGCCTTCCAGGCCTACTGGAAGTTTGGAAACAGGCCATTTCCAGCCTCCAGAGGGCCTCCAGGAGGTTGGGGAAGGCTATTTTCGCCCTCCCCAGGATCCAAGAAAGCCTCTGGAGCCTGGGGAGGACGAAAAACGGGCCTTCCGGGAGTTGGGAAACAGGCCATTTCCAGCCTCTGGGGGGGTGGGGAAGGCTGTTTTCGTCCTCCCCAGGCTCCAAGAAAGCCTCTGGAGCCTGGGGAGGGTGAAAAATGGGCCTACCGGGCCCACTGGTAACCTTTTTGCCGTCGCATGCCAAAAGCGGGGAGCATGGGGGGGGCGTGTACACATGCGGGGGGGCAGGGGCGGGGAGGCATTCAATTATGGGTGTGGGCATGTAGGCGCACAACCACCACGTGCTCTCCCCGCTTTTGGCATGCGACGGCAAAAAGCTAAACCATCACTGGTGTCAGGTTTCGATGTCGTCTCAAATAAAATCAATTGCACTTCCAAACAAATAGTCTTTGAAGAAATCTTTCATTTTATTAAGCACGACAACCTGTCCCCGATCGTGGCGTAGCCAACACTGACTTCCTGACCCCAAACCTTCCCTTTCTGTTCCCCAATTCTCGGCGTCTCATTGGCCCTCTTCCAAATCACTCTCCCCATATCTAGTACTTCAGCTCCCAGGAATGTCCCCCCCTCCCATCTCATCTCCTAGGGGACATTATCTTCAGGGAAAATAAGTAGGTGAGAAGTCAAGCGTCCTCTTGCCAGCTGCCCCCTCTTCTCCTTCTTATGTCAGCACAATGCAGATTGAAGTGCTGACAACTGGTATAGGGGTCTCCCAAATCCCTCCCAGCTCTCTTCTGATTATTGAAAACCACCCTGGCTGTGTTCAACGAGCATGTTTAGCTCAAACGAATCACGTGATGACTTAATATGACAATATCTAGTTCACCCAACGTTCTAAGAAGTACGATTGATTCCTACAAAACGGGGGAGGAGAACCTGGGATTACAAATGACGCAGCCCCCTGTTCAGGTGATCTAGGATGTTGTTTCAAAGACGGGCCAATCTTATTACGGCTCCGGGGGAGGTGGTGGGGGATTTGCAAAGATCATGACGATTCCGCTAGCTTTTTGAATTTGACCTTGTTTGGAAATTCCTCGTGTCTCAGCCGCTTGGCCTTGATCCGCGAGAAGAGGTCCTCGTGGTGGGAATGGTGCATCACCAGGCAAAGGAAGAGAGAGGAAATCTGAAATATGAAAAATACGAAAGCCACAAGTAAACATTTCAATGAATAAAATAGATAAAATTAAATAAGAGCAAAAAGCAGAATAAATATGCTATTTAAAATGCCTACGATTGCTTTTGTAGACATATACATCAGAGATTAAAGACACTGCAGGAAAACCTCGGTTAACAACTGGCCTGTTTAGTGACTGTTCAAATGTAGAACAGTGCTGGAAAATTGGTTTTATGGCTGTTCCTTGAACTTAATGATGGCCACAGTGAGCTGTGACTGCCATCGTCAGCCAGCTTCTACCCAGCAAATCAATAAAATATTGCAAGTATGCAGCCACATGATGTTGCCCTTTAACAACTATGGGTGATTCGCTTAATGGCCGCAGTGGAACTAATGTCTTAAAGATTTTGCAATATCCTTCCCCCAGGAGTGGGGAAGGAATGGGGATTTTGCAGTATCCTTCCCCTGCCACGCCCACCAAGCCACGCCTACAGAGCTGGTAATAAAAAAAAAATTGGATTTCACCACTGTCCCAGCCACACTGAATTCTTAAAAAAACCTTCAGAATGCTTGCAACGTCAGTGATCCCGTTTCTCACCTTATTGTCCCAAATGATAAAAAATTCTTTGTAGGCACAAATATTCTTATGCTTTATTTTCAACAGCTCCATCACCTGTAAGGAAAAAAAATGGCCCATCGGGGGGGGGGGGGAACAGTGTGTAAAACTCAGTGTCATGTCACACTCAATACGCTCTACTCTTTGACTAAATTCATCCAAGGTTGAGTTTGCACAATAAATTAACCCGGCTAAACAGGCTCACAAGGTCATTTCAAAAAGAAAAAGACCAGGGGTGAAATGCTCCCAGTTTGGTCTGGTTCGCCCGAACCGGTAGTAAAAAAGGCTACTGGTTCGCCAAACCGGTAATAAAAAATCTAAAAAAAAAAGTTCCCACGATCAGCTGAGCGACGCGCAAGCTTCGAAACTTTTTAAAAAACTTTTTAAGCATTTTTTTACTACTGGTTTTCCAGAACCGGTAGTTAAAAATGCTTTAAATTTTTTTTTTTAAAAGTTATGAAGATCGCGTGTCGCTCAGCTGATCGTCAGAACTTTTTTTTTTTTTTTAACTTTTTAGGCATTTTTTTACTCCGGAACCGGTGGGTAAGTAGAACAACCGCGCTGTTCTACTTACCCCATGCCTCCTTTTGGCGTGGCATGCACAGGCAGGGAACCAGTAGAAAACCGGTTCAGATTTCACCACTGAAAAAAAAGCCACGTGTGATTAAACACTAACACTTCACGTATTGTGAGAATGGTGTTGCTACGATTTCAACTGACTTGGTTAAATAATTTTGCGTGAACCCAAGCCAGCCCTAGAATCAAAGTTGGAAAACTCCCATTTAAGCCATCTTTCTTCCTAAAGCAGGAATAAATCGCACACATCCCGGCATAATATCCTTTCATAATCACAACGTAAGCAAAAGACCTTACATTATTTCATGGAAGATAGTTTTAAATAAGGAGAATGAAGACACGTTACCTCTTGGAGAGCGCTGTTCGCCTGATTTTCATCAATGCATTCGACCTGCCCCAAACAGGCAAAGAGTCAAAACATTAAAAAAATCCTTTTTATTAAAGTTTAAATAGATCATGATTTTAAAAAAACCCAAATACCAACTAAGAAACAAACGTATAAAAACAAACAAATTTCCTGTTTTTGCAATGCAGGGATCCGTCGACAGTTCATTTAGTTGATCGCTCAAAATCACAAGGGCACTGAAAAAAGTGACCTTTGACCGTTTTTCACTTACGACCATTGCCGTATCCCCGTCGGTCACATGATCCAAAATCCGGACTCTGACTCGTATTTATGACGGTTGCGGTGGGTCCTGGGTCACCCCTTTTGCGACCATCCGATGGGCCAAGCCAACGGAGAAGGCCAAGTTCACTTAACAACCAGATTACCCATTTAACCGTGGCAAGAAAGGTCGTAAAATGAGACAAAATTTACTTGGGCTGTCTCGCTTAGCGACAGGAAAAATTGGGCTCAATTGTGGTCATAAGTCGAGGATTATCTGTAAAAAGTTTCCCTTCTCTTTGCCAAGCTGAGCATTGGACCAAACATTGACAATATTCATTCCTGCCGGCGGCTGATTTTATTCTAGTTTTATGCTTAAAGAAGCAGAAAGATTTGGTGAATATTTAAACAGGATATAAAAGGCTGAGCATCAACTTTAAATCCTTTGAAAGAGATGGCAAGGCTGAAGCCATCAATGAAATCCTGGCTAAAACCTAATTTTGTTCTATTTATGAGGTGATTTTATTCTGCCTTATCCATCTTATTCGACCTGCCGGTTGGCCTCTTGAGATAATTCACAGGGATGTATTTGGGAATCGCATCCTGTTGCCATAGTGACTTGCCTTTCCTTGCTCTCTCCTCTCACCTTTTTCAACACGTATTTCTTTGTTTTGGCATCTTTTCCTTTTACCATGGGTTCTACTACCAGCATCATTCCCAGAGCCCCTGGGGCAGCTCCTTCACAAGCTGCATTGCAAGCAAACAGATAATATTTTAATAATATTACTATACAAGTCTCTATAATGGCCAAGCTCAATGCATCTGTCTGTTTGTCTGTCTGTCTGTCTACTATCCATCTGTATCTATCTCATCTAATGTATCCAGCTATCTAATCTCTTGTGTCTCTTAGCTATGTCACCTAATCTCTCATCTATCTATCTATATCTACCTACCTACCTACCTAATCTATCTACCTATCCATCCCATCTATCTATAATCTGTCTCTCTTATCTATGTCATCTAATCTCTATTTCTCTAGCTAATCTTCTATCTCATCTAATCTACCTATCTACTATTTTATCTATCTATCTATCTATCTTTATCTATCTATCAGTCATCTGTGTCTCTCTATGTCATCTAATCTCTATTTCTCTAGCTAATCTTCTATCTCATCTAATCTACCTACCTACCTATTTTATCTATCTATCTATCTTTATCTATCTATCAATCATCTGTGTCTCTCTTATGTCATCTAATCTCTATTTCTCTAGCTAATCTTCTATCTCATCTAATCTACCTACCTACCTATTTTATCTATCTATCTATCTATCTTTATCTATCTATCAATCATCTGTCTCTCTCTTTATGTCATCTAATCTCTATTTCTCTAGCTAATCTTCTATCTCATCTAATCTACCTACCTACCTATTTATCTATGTCTATCTATTATCTATCTATCTATCTATCTATCATCTGTCTCTCTTATCTATGTCATCTAATCTCTACTTCTCTAGCTAATCTTCTATCTCATTTAATCTATTTACCTACCTATTTTATCTATATCTATCTATCTATCATCTGTGTCTCTCTTATCTATGTCATCTAATCTCTATTTCTCTAGCTAATCTTCTATCTCATCTAATCTACCTACTTACCTATTTTATCTATCTATCTATCTTTATCTATCTATCAATCATCTGTCTCTCTCTTATGTCATCTAATCTCTATTTCTCTAGCTAATCTTCTATCTCATCTAATCTACCTACCTACCTATTTTATCTATCTATCTATCTCTGTTTATCTATCTATCATCATCTGTCTCTCTCTTATGTCATCTAATCTCTATTTCCCTAGCTAATCTTCTATCTCATCTAATCTACCTACCTACCTATTTTATCTATCTATCTATCTATCTATCTATCTATCTATCTATCTATCATCTAATCTATCTCTGTCTCATCTATCTCTCAATATCGCTCTCTCTTTCACCTCTCTAGCTGTATGTATTATAAACACACTCATCTACGTCCAGGCGCCGGTGCACACATCCACACAATCACTGATCCGTTTCACCCATTACACTAAACCGTGGTTTCTTTTAACCGTGGTTGACTGGATAAGCAGGAACACAAGCTAAGGCACAGCTCACGCTCTCCTGGGTTGTTTTTTTTTTTTAGCCTGGTGCCTTCCCCACCAGACCAAACATTTTAAACCTATCCATTTTAATCTCGGGTTAATTTTTAAATTTTAGTGAGGGTAGGGACCACCCACCCATCGACCCAGCCCTTTTTCAAGAAACGAGTCTTTTCTCTTTCCTGGGGAAAAAAAGGGGGGTGTCCAATGTCCTTCTCCCACCCCCCCACTTCCCTTCTCCCACCCTCCCCACTTCGCCACGCCCGACCTGGTACTTCTCCATGGCTGAACAATTCTGGGGCGGGGGAGTCGGTCGTAAACGGTTCTCCCAGCCCCTTCCCCGTGGAGATCGTTCTTTCCTGCCCCTCCCTGTCTATTTTCTCTAGCCTTCCCCCTCCCCTTTCCCTCCACGCCCCATTCCGTATTCCTTTCCTCCATCCATCCATCCATCCATCCATCCGCAGGACGTTCCGAGGAAAAAAAAAAATTGGATTTCAACTCGCGAAAGGGGTTCTTGGCTCCGCGGTCTGGCAAAGCCGCCTGAAAGCATCTGCAAAAGTGCTTTTATTTGTCTCTTCCAAAAAAAAAAAAAACCTATTTTGAGACGGGGGTCTTTTCCGTTTGGGCAAGTCAAGGGGGTCTTCGAGCCTCTGCAGAATTCCTCGGAGGCACCGTTTGCAAAGGAAAGCAAAGGGATCCAGAAACGTGGGTGGGTTGGGGGGAAATCCTCCCAATGGGAGGCAGTTTGTTTTGTAAAAAATGTAAAAAAAAAACAACAACAAACCACTTTTTTTTTTTCCTGGGCAAGTACAGAATATATTTATTTATTTTTATTTAGTTATTTAGTTTGTCAAACATGTACAAGATAACAGGTCTAAGTATCAACATGGACCTGAACACAGGAAATGAGTACAAATAAATAGGACAGGTCCCGGAGAAGAATAATTATTAATGTCATTAATAATCTTATTTTAATTAATAAGAATTAATAATTTATTATAAATAATATAATAAATCATTTTAGAGATTAATTTGCCGGTGTGATTCTCAGCAAGAGTCGGAAGGGGGAAAAAAAGCTGTCCCGCAAAGGGACAGAGAGAGAAATTATATTCATTCCCCCTTCCCTTTCGAATTCTCTTGATTTTTTTTACCATCTTTTGGCAACCAGGTGAGGAGATAAAAAAATGTTAAGGAAAATAAAATGACGATCCGCAGCTCGGTTCATTGTTTTTCCTCGTTTCTTCTCTATTTTGTCTCGCTGTTAACCAGGGTTTAGAAACTGGTAATAACAATAATAAAGAGGAGGGGAGGGGAAATATGGACAGACGGACAGATGGATGGGTGGGTGGGTGAGTTTGTGGGGGAAGGAGGGATGGAGGGAAGGGAAAGGAAGGAGGTGGAGGGGGAAAAAAGAAGAGAGTGAAGGAAGGAAGATAGGAAAGGAACAAGGAAAGGAAGAAAGAAAGGAAAAGAACAAGGAAGGGAAGGGAAAAGGAAGGGGAGGGAGGATGGAAGGAAAAGAAGGAGGCAGAGGAAAGAAAAGAGAAGGAAGGAAGGAAGGAAAGGAACAAGGAAAGGAAGAAAGAAAGGAAAGGAACGAGGAAGGGAATGGAAAAGGAAGGGGAGGGAGGATGGAAGGAAAGGAAGGAGGCAGAGGAAAGAAGAGAGTTAAGGAAGGAAGGAAGGAAGGAAGGAAGGATTTAAAAACAAATTCTTGAAATAATATTTGGAAGGGAAATTGCCAAAACAATAGCCTTAAATACATCAGAAACAGAATATCAGCTAAAGAGCTGCCTTCAAAGCTAAAGATGGGAAATTAAAAAGAAAGAAGAGAATATTTGTAATTTACCTTGGTGCTCTCTGAGATTGGTTGTTTTCTTGTTACCCAATTAGGTAACATCATTGGTACTAGCAAAAAAAAAACCCCACCAAGTTCAAAGAGCACCAAGGACCCCACAAATTAATATTGTGTTGAAGCTCAAAACACAAGAAGAGCAGTTAAATTAATTCTTTGCCTCCGTCTTTATTGCAGAAAAAATACAGGCACGATACTTCTACCCAAATTCACTTTTTCAGAAAGGGTGCTTTAAGAACAGAAGAGGGCAAAAGACAACAGTCAGCTTTATTCATCAATCAACCATTAACCCAGGACCAAGTCCAAGAGGATAGCTTTGGAAAAGTAAACAGGATAAAATACCACCATCGCTGAAATGGGAAACTCCCAAGTGTCATTTACACTCTGCATTAAAATGGCACCAATACCTCAACGGAATTTGGGAAGATCCCGGAAATTACAGACGAGTTTATTCTGACATCTGTTCCAGGTAAGGGATGGAGACATCCTGGAAGACAGATGTCTTAAGCAATCTACAGTACTAAGGGAATAATTTGGTTGATAGACAACCAACATGATTTTTGGCAAGATAAATTGTACCACCCACATTTAATATGCATATGTTGTTAGTTGCGAAGTTGTGTCCGACCCATCGTGACCCCCATGGACAACGTTCCTCCAGGCCTTCCTGTCCTCTACCATCCTCTGGAGTCCATTTAAGCTCACGCCGACTGCTTCAGGGACTCCATCCAGCCACCTCCTTCTCTGCCGTCCCCTTCTTCTTCTTTTGCCCTCCATCGTTCCCAGCATTAGGCTCTTCTCCAGGGAGTCCTTCCTTCTCCTTAGGTGGCCAAAGCATTTGAGTTTCCTCTTCAGGATCTGGCCTTCTAAAGAGCAGTCAGGGTTGATCTCCTCTAGGACTGACCGGTTGGATCGCCTTGCAGTCCAAGGGACTCGCAGGAGTCTTCTCCAGCACCAGAATTCAAAGGCCTCCATTCTTTGGCCCTCAGCCTTCCTTATGGTCCAACTTTCACAGCCATCCATTGCAACTGGGAATAAGCATATAAATACAGGTAATTCTGTAAAAACCATATTTTTGGACTTTCAGAGAAGTTTGAATGGTGGATTCAGCTGTCACGCTAAACCATAATGTGTTTTGGGTTTTTTTTGGTTTGGTATGCCCGTTGAAGCCAACTATATAGGAAATATATAGGGAATCCTCGACTTACGTCCACAATTGAGCCCGAAATTTTTGTTACTAAGCAAGACAGCTGTTATGCGAGGTTTGCCCCATTTTATGACATCTCTTGCTACAGTTGGCTGGCTATTGTGATAGGTGGCCCCAAGGGCAAAATTCAGCCCAAACATCTGGTCGGCTGACATGATAGGTGGATCAAAATGCCATAATCCAGCCGAAACATCTGGCCAGATGATTTAAATAGGTGGTTCAAAATGCCATATCCAGCCTAAACATCTGGCTGGATGACTTGATAGGTGGATCAAAATGCCATATCCAGCCTAAACTGGTGAGCCGCGGTGGCGCAGTGGTTAGAGTACAGAACTGCAGGCTACTTCTGCTGCCTGCCAGCTGCCTGCAAATTTGGCAGTTCGAATCTCACCAGGCTCAAGGTTGATTCAGCCTTCCGTCCTTCCGAGGTGGGTCAAATGAGGACCCAAATTGTTGGGGGGGGGGCAAGAGTCCGACTCTGTAAAATCGCTTAGAGAGGGCTGTAAAAGCACCGTGAAGCGGTATATAAGTCTTAAGTGCTATTGCTAAACATCTGGCCGGATGACTTGATAGCTAGGCAAAAAAATGCCAAATCCCAATCCAAACATCTGGCCCGGCTGGCTTGATTGGGGCTGCCCCCCCCTCCTTCCCCAAAAAACCCCAATCCAGACCGTCCTTTTTTTTTTTTTAAAATTAGATTTATATGCCGCCCTTCTCCGGAGACTCAGGGCGCCTTACAGTGCGTTAAGCAATAGCCTTCATACTTTTGTATATTTATACAAAGTCAGCTTATTGCCCCCACAAACCGGGTCCTCAATTTACCTCCCTTAGAAAGGATGGAAGGCTGAGTCAACCTTGAGCCTGGGGAGATTCGAACTTGCAATAATTGCAGGCAGCTGAATGTCAATAACAGTGCTTTTAGTCTGTTGAGCTATCCAGGCTCCTTGCTGTCATCGACCCCCCCCCCCCCCCCCCCCCCCCTCCCTTTTTGGAGCCCCAGCCCCGCCCCAAACGGAAAACGCCTTTTTTCCCTTTGGGCACTTTTTGCGCTGCGTTTTTACGCGCGGGCTCATCTCCTTTCTCCAACCTTTCCTGCGCTGCGGGCGGGGAATCCCGACTTGGGCGGGACAAGACGGGGCCGGCCCTCCCGTGGGTCTGGCCCTCCGTCTCCCCTCCCCTTCTCCCCTCCCTGCCGGCTGCTGTGGGCCTCGCGCGGTTCCTTTAAGAATCGGCCTACGTGGCACAGCCCAGGCAAGGCAAGGCAAGGCAAGGCGAGAGCGCAAAAAGCGCCACTTCCTTGGGCAATCGCGGCGGGGGCGGCAGCAGCCAGCAGCTCTCCTAGAAGCCGCGTGGGGGGGCCCGGGTGCCTGCAAATCGGCTTTCCCCAGCAAGATTTCCACCCCCACCCCCCCAGAAAAATACATATATATATATATCTATATATCTAAAACCCAGCCAGCCATGGGGCAAAACGACCTGATGGGCAGCGCTGAAGATTTTGCAGATCAGGTGAGTGTTTTTGGGGTGGGTGGGAGAGGGGTGGAGGGGGGGACACCCAAGTGGAGAGATTTTATGGGCACTTTTTTGGGGTTTGGGGGTGGAAGGTCCTATGGGAGTTTTTTTTTTTTTCCTCCCCACCCCACCCCTTCCCTTCCCTTCCCATCGATCTTTTTTGCCGACGGGTCCTGGAATTGAAAGCGATGGATTGTATCCATTTCCTAGCTGGCTTGCAATAAAAAATAAATAAATAAACAAAGCAAAACCCCCAAAAAAACAAACACGGAAAGCAAGAAAAGTCTAGGTTCCATTGGGGAGGGAGGAAGGGAAGGGCAGGGCGGTGGGGCTCGTGGCTCTCCCCCCTTCTTCCCTGCCCCCATCAGAGCTAACCCTGCTTTTGGGGAAGGGGGTGGTGGCCAGACAGTTTCCCCATCTCTCTTTCTCTCTCTCTCTGGAGCTGAATGAGCAGATTGGCTGAAACAAAAGACTCATTTTTTAAAAAAAGAAAGAAGGAAAGAAAGAAAGGATGGGGTTTATTTTTTTCCCCCTTGCCATATTGGAGAAAAGAGGCCTACCCCGGGGACTAAGCTCGGCGTGCATTAACCGTGATTGCTGAATAAGCTTGGGTTTTAGCCTGGCACACACAAACAAACACATACCCGTAGCCTTAAACCACGGCTTGGCAAAATGCACGCGGGTTCTTTGACAAAATGGTAGATCCAGCCTAACAGAGGTTTGTGGATGGGTGGGGTGGAGTGGAGGGGGTGCCTTCCTTCATCTTTCTGTAGCCCTGAAGAATGGGGGTCCCCCCGCCTAGGATTTAACCTAGTTTGATGTAGGGATCGGTAGGTTGGTTTGTTTTTCTGTGCCTGCTTTTGGGGGTGCTTTTGGGTTTATGCCTCTCATGTTCTCGCAGTTGGTTGATAGGAGCACGATGTTGGACGGATAAGCCTCGAATTAACAATCGCAATTGGGACCGGAATTTGTGTTCCCTAAGCAAGGTGGTTGCTAAATGACTCAGGCCTGATTTTTACAATCTTTTTTTTTCTTTTTTGGGGGGGCCACATTCGTTAGGTGAATCATTTGGTTGTTAAGCGAATCTAGCTTCCACCCTGTTGATTTTGGCTTGTCGGAAGCAAAAAAAGTGGAGTTCCCACAAACCTGGGATGCTCCCTCCGGCGTAAATACGTGCCAGTTGCCAAGCACTTGAATTTTCACACAACTGTGGGGAATGCTACAACGGTCATAAGTGCGAGAACCGATCATAATTCATTTTTTTCCCGTGCCATTGTTGCTTCAAACAGCCGCTAAAGGAATGGTTGAAAGTTGTGGGCTGCTTAAACAGCAGTTTTGAAAATGCCTGATTGAGGAAGAGTGATTCATTTATTTTTTTTAAATCTTGGAGGACACCAAAAAAATCTGATCAGCCTGTCTAGGATGTTGCTTCCATTACTGGGCCGGCTTAAGATCCCGCAGATAGAACAGCATTGTAGAATATACAGAGTCCTCGGCTTCCGACCACAGCGGAGCACCAAATTTCTGTCGTTAAGTGAGACGCTTGTGAAGTGGGTTTTGCTCCCTTTGAGGGCCATTCTTGCCCCAGTTGGTAAATGAATCACTGCAGCTGTTAAGTAGAACGTTTGTTAAGAGAATCTGGCTTCCCCGTTGACTTCGCTTGTCAGACGGTCGCAAAAGGGGATCACGTGTCCCTGGGATGTCATAAATGTGAGCCAGTTGTCAAGCATCGGAATCTAAATCACGTAAGCATGGGGATGTTGCCAGGGTCGTAAGTATGAAAAAGTCACTTTTTTTCAGTGCTGTTGCAACTTTGGTAGCTAAAGGAACTATCGCAAGTCGAGGAATTCCTTGCGCTCTTTGCTTGGCAGGGATTAGTCTTAGTTCTTGAAATATATATTTATGTGTTTATCATATTGTGCTGAGTAGATAAGCTGACGGGATCCAAAGCAAGGATTTAAAAAAAAAAAACTTTCTGCTCGGTCTTCTTTATGAATGAATGAATGAATGAAAATTGTCAGTTGCTTCGTTCCATCTTTTTCCGATGGATTGTTTGTGCAATTTGCCACAACTTTCCCACGATGTGCGTGCAGCGTGGCTCAATTCGTCATATTGGCTAGTTTAGCGAACTGTGAGTTAGCCCTCCTTTAAACTTCAAGGGCTGCCCCAAAGAAGAGGGAGTCAAGCTATTCTCCAAAGCACCTGAGGGCAGGACAAGATGGGAACTAATCAAGGAGAGAAGCAACTTAGAACTAGGGAGAAATTTCCTGATGGTTAAAACAATTAATCAGTGGAACAACTGGCCTCCAGAAATTGTGGATTTTCCAACACTGGAAGTTTTTAAGAAGATGTTGGATAATTCTTCAAGATCCATCTCATCCTGGGCACCCTTTTTTTAAAAAAAAATATTACCATCTGGCAGACGGTACAGGACAATAAAAACAAGGACAAATAGGCTGAAAAACAGTTTCTATCTCAGGGCAATAACCATATTGAATTCTATGGTATATAGTGCAATATCAGGTTTTCAATTTCAATTATGTAGAATGTAAAGGATGTATGTTTGTATTTTTATTTTTATAGTTATAATGTATACTGAATGAAGAATAGAATAGAATAGAATAGAATAGAATAGAATTGTCATTGCACGTGGTACAACGAAATTAAATGCTGCCTTCATTCATTTTATATAACTATAAAAATAAAAACACAAGCATACATCCTTTGCATTCTATATATCTGAAATTGAAAACCCGATATTGCCCTTATATACCGTAGAATTCAATATGGTTATTGCCCTGGGATAGAAACTGTTTTTCAGCCTATTTGTCCTTGTTTTGATTGACCGGTACCGTCTGCCAGATGGTAATAGTTAAAAAAAAAAAAAAAAGGTGTCCAGGATGAGATGGCATCATTTAATTTTGTTGTACCACGTGCAATGACAATAAAGTAAACTGTAAACTATAACCGTTTGTCTGAAGTGGTGTAGGGTTTCTTGCCTAAGCAGGGGGTTGGACTAGAAGACCTCCAAGGTCCCTTCCAACTCGGTAATTCTATTCTATTCTGTCGCTGTGTTATTTTTTTCCCCAGCATGAGCAGGCCAAAAAGTTAGGTCAGGTTGGCGTTTTTTCCTTTTCTTTTTCTGAAGAGTATTCAGCTGCTGTTAAAAAGTAAACACCAACGTTGGAAAACATAAGAGGTCTGGTCAACAATTGGCAAAAAAAGGAACCTTGCCAACGATCTTTGACCATGGAAAGGATCCAAACTGCGACTTTCCCCCCTAGGCTATAAATTAAAAACAAAATCTACAATTTGGCCTTTTCAGAATATGATATGCACTGGATTTGGGGAGTCCTTGGCGCCCTCTGAGTTTGGTAGTTTTGTCGTAGACGTTTCCCTACCCAAGTAGGTAACATCATCAGTTTTATGGGATGATGGTTGGGGATAATGAAACCTCTGCAAGAAAACCACCAAGCTCGGAGACTACTAAGGGCCCCACAGTTGTCCGACCCCAAATCCTACTCCATTCTAGAACTGATGATGTTCCCTAGTTGGGTAATGAAATGTCTACAAAACAACCAAGCTCAGAGAGCACCAAGGATTCCACAATTCTTCTCTTCCTCCCCCTCCTCTTTTTGTTCCTCCTCTTCCTCCTCCTCCACACAACTCACTCCCTTCTAGCATTGATGATGTTACCTAGCTGGATCATGAAACGTCTTTTAAAAAAGCATCAACAGTTTGACCCCAGCTACAAATAAATTGGGTTTATTTCATTAGCAACGTAGGGCTGATCTAGCAAATGATAACAATTGTGACCAGGATCACCTTGCCCCATTCCATGTGTTTGTTCATTGTGGAATAATTTGCACAATATGCCGAGCCACTAAACATTCATAGAAAAAGATAAAAAGGTAAAGATAAAGGTTCCCCTTGCACCTATGTGCTAGTCGTTCCCGACTCTAGGGGGCGGTGCTCCTCTCCGTTTCAAAGCCGAAGAGCCAGCGCTGTCCAAAGACGTCTCCGTGGTCATGTGGCCGGCATGACTCAACGCCAAAGGCACACGGAACGCTGTTCCCTTCCCACCAGAGGGGGTCCCTATTTTTCTACTCTCATTTTTTATGTGCTTTCGAACTGCTAGGTTGGCAGAAGCTGGGACAAGTAAACGGGAGCTCACCCCGTTACGCGGCACTCGGGATTCGAACCGCTGAACTGCCGACCTTTCGATCGACAAGCTCAGCGCCTTAGCCACAGCGCCACCGCGTCCCCGATATCTTTTATAGCACTGCGTTTCTATATCTTTTTATAGAAAAAAGATAACCTTTCAGTTAAATCTATGAGCTGGGTTGTCGTCTCACCGCAAACCACAACTGCACTAAACCTAACATGCGAAGCCACAAAAAAACACCCATCACAACAAACCACGATCTCCCATCTCGGTTCTTCTCCTCTTTACTTTGTTATGAACATGTTTGATGTTTGTTTGTTAGTTCTTCCCTGCTGCGGTTTCCTCTCCGGCCACCTGGAGCTGCCTAGGATCATGTTTGCCCTTAACGTGGACAGATTAATTTATCATTAATCGTTTGATTTGCCGGAGCCGTTTCATTGGCAGCCAAAGAAAAAAACGGCTGCTTTGAAACCCGCCTTTAAAAACAAACAATTCAATAACTATATTCCACGACTGGACTGGACAACCGAACCCAGAATTGATGGCGCTAGGAGAGACGGTTCAGCGGATTTTTGTCCCGTTTTATGACCTTTCCTGTGGTGAAGCAAGTAACAAGGTTATTAAGGGAATTTGGCTTCCCCGTTGACTTGGCTCGTCAGGCAAGGGTGGAATCGCGTAAGTCCCGGGACGTTGAAACCGTCGTAAATATGAGTTGCCGAGCGTCTGGATTTTAATCACGTGACCACTGGGGGATGCTGCTAAGGTCGTACGTGTGGAAAAAGTCACTTTTTTTTTCAGTGCCCTTGTCACTTGGAGTAGTCACTGAATGAACTGTTGTAAGTTGAGGACTAAATTGGATTTACTCAACCGTTTTTTGCTTCTGGGTGCATCTGAGGAATAGAAATAACAGAGTTGGAAGGGACCTTGGAGGTCTTCTAGTCCAACCCCCTGCCCAGGCAGGAAACCCTACACCACTTCAGACAAATGGTTGTCCAACCTCTTCTTAAAAACTTCCAGTTTTGGAGCATTCACGACTTCTGGAGGCCAGTTGTTCCACTGGTTAATTTTTCTCACTGTCAGGAAATTTCTCCTTAGTTGTAAGTTGCTTCTCTGCTTGATTAGTTCCCACTCATTGCTTCTTGTCCTGCCCTCAAGTGCTTTGGAGAATAGCTTGACTCCCTCTTCTTCATGGCAACCCCTGAGATATCGGTACACTGCTATCATGTCTCTCCTAGTCCTTCTTTCCATCAGACTAGACCAGTCTGCAACCTTAAACACTCCATTTGGACCCATTTCCCACAGAAAAGAAAACACCGGGAGCCACAAAACCCTTCCTGTGCCTAACTATTTCTTGAACAGCCACAAAACTGGCATATGTAGTTGAATTAAATGTTCTGTTTTCTTCTGAAACTTTGCTTTTCTTGGATTTATCCATGGTTAGCCTACCGGAGGTTGAAAAGCTCAATAAATCACCTGCCTGCAGGTGTCACACATTGGCGGTTGTGATGCATATTTTGAGTGACAGGGAGCCTCAGCAGAGGAGTGAAAGAGCCACATGTGGCTCCAGAGCCTCAGGTTGCTAACTCCTGGACTAGAGGCTCTCTATAGTTCTTCATAGGTGCAGAGATGCCTTCAACCAAGATTCGACCAAGTTTCCGTTTTTCTACTAAGCTTATCTGACAATTAGAGATGTTTCCGTTGATAGGAAACCTCCTTCAATCCTGTTCTAAACCAAATTACGTACCTTAGCGTTTCAACAGTTGCTCGATAATGAGTTGGGCGGAATATAAATTCAATCAAGAAATAAAATAAACGTGTTTGGGGTGGTCCAGAGTTAGTAAAATCTGGGGGTTTGAACTTGCAGGTTCTTATCTAATAATGATTTTCCCTGTGTAATTTTATTTGCATAATTATCTGGATGTTTGGGGGTTCCCAAATCTTGGGGGTGCTTTCCAGGAAGGTGGTGCTTTTTGATTAGAGACGATGACTCCTTTTGAAATAAGGGAGTATCCGAAAAGTTACGATTTGGGAGAAATCTCAGCTTGATTTTAAACATCGTGTTTCCCCGAAAATAAGACCGGGTCTTATATTAATTTTTGCTCCAAAAGACGCATTAGGGCTTATTTTCTGGTTAGGTTTTATTTTGGGGGAAATACAATACTAAATGCACCCATCCTTATGCAATCACTGTACTGTATAATTAGTCTGATTTTTGCTAGGCACCGAGTTGCTTTTCGTGTTTTCTCCTTGCCGAAAATCTTTTTGGGCTGCTTTACTTCTGCTGTCTGAGGTTTCTGTAGGCACGATCCACCGTGTAAGGGTGTGTGGGGTGTGTGGTGGAGGTTATAACCATAAGGGCTAGAAACTTGATCCTTTAAAAACAAACAAACCCTTACACCTAATTTAAAAACTCCAGGATGGATGCCAGCAAGGTGTGGGTTTTTTTTTCCCCCGTCTCTTTTTGAAGAAACTCGAAAGAAACTTCAACTCCGATTTGGATTCTTCGAAGAAAATTGATTCGGCCATCCAAATGCAATACCGAGAGATTTTGGCCACCTGTGAAAATCCGTTGGCGTGTCTTTTTAATGGGAGGGAAGGGAGCTCAGGAATTAATCTTGACTGTTTTGTAGTCATGTCGTTATAAATTGCAAATGGACTGAGAATGATTTGCGCAGTGACCAAAATGCGAAGACGGGATCTGGGGTGGGCGTCGTAACTTCAAATCCCCGCCGTAAGTATCCCCAGAGGGGCCCATCGGTCATAAGTCAAGGGCTACCTGTATCCTTAAGCGCAAAAGGTCACTCAATGAATAGCTGTAAATTGTCCTAAACTTGGCGGTTGTAGATATAGTTAATCCTCAAATTTACAACCATTCATTTAACTTAACCACCCTGGTACTAAAGCTCACGTAACCACAGTTCTCGCTTAGCAACGGGAATTTGGGGGACAGTTGTGGTCGTAAATTGAGGACTACCTGTAATGACTCAGGATAACGTCCTCAGAGGAGAATTTGCACAGCCAAGATCTGATTTGAGGACTGGGGAAGGGTTTAATCGATCCTTTTCCTGTTGTTTCTGGGAAGGAAGTGGGAGCAAAAATGGGACCTGGCTTTTCGCCCCGTCGTTATCTGTCTCGGTTTTTCCCCCTCTCGTGCCAGTTCCTGCGGGTGACGAAACAGTACCTTCCCCACGTGGCTCGGCTCTGTCTGATCAGCACCTTCCTGGAAGACGGGATTCGCATGTGGTTCCAGTGGAGCGAGCAGAGGGACTACATCGATACCACATGGAACTGCGGCTACTTCTTGGCCTCCATCTTTGTTTTCATTAACCTCTTCGGGCAATTAAGTAAGTGACTCACGGGGATTCGGGGTGGACACTAGATGGATTTCTTGGGGCGAAATTGGAACCAAGAAGTGGAGCTGGGGAGGTCACTTTAGTTGTTGGTTGTGTATCCCGCCTATATTTTTACAACTAATTCAAGGTGGTGGAACATATCTAAGACACTTTTCCCTTCCTGTTTTCCGCACAAAACCAATCCTGCATATTGTGGGCTGAGAGCGAATGTCTGGCCCAAAGTCACCCAGCTGGGTTTCATTGCTTAAGATGGGACTAGAACTCCCAGTCTCCTGGTGATTGGTGTGACTGGCCTCACAACCTCAATAGTTCTCTCACAACCCCTGCGGCAAGGAAGGTGGTAAAACGGGGCAAAACTCGCTTAAACGTCTCACTTAGCGACGGAAATCTTGGGGCTCCATTGCGGTAATAAATTGAGGACTACCTGCATTGTCTCACATTTTCTTCCTTTTTTTTTTCCCTAGCCGGTTGTATTCTTGTGCTGAGCAGGAATTTTGTTCAATATGCCTGTTTTGGATTATTCGGAATTATTGCATTACAGGTAAGAAAGTTTGTGATTTTTCTCCCTTCCAAAACCACTTGCAGAAAAAAAAACGAGTGGATTTCCTGTAAGGGGTTAAAGTGGGGCTCTGAATAGAAGGGGGAATATTTTCCAGGTTTTCCTCATCTATTCTTTCTCTCTTCTTTTTTTTTCTCCCCTTCTAGACAATAGCATACAGCATTTTATGGGACTTGAAGTTTTTGATGAGGTAGGTCTCATTTTGCATTACTTCACAAACTTTATTTGTTTAGAACTTCTTGCGGACGGATCTTGTAGCACCAGGTCAAAAATAAATAAATGAAAATCGACAGAGACTTCTGTGTTAACTTTTTCCCAGATGATCTCGTAAATCTTTGCCGCAGCAAATATTAGAGTAGAGTAGAGTAGAATTAGAATAGAATAGAATAGAATAGAATAGAATAGAATAGAATAGAATAGAATAGAATAGAATAGAATAGAATAGAATGGAATAGAAATTAGGAATGGAATAGAAATTAGGAATGGAATGGAATGGAATAGAATAGAATTAGAGTAGAGTAGAATAGAATTAGAGTAGAGTAGGATAGAATAGAATAGAATAGAATAGAATAGAATAGAATAGAATAGAATAGAATAGAATAGAATAGAATAGAATAGAATAGACAGAGTTGGAAGGGACCTTGGAGGTCTTCTAGTCCAACCCCCTGCTTACGCAGGAAACCCTACACCACTTCAGACAAAAGGTTATCCAACATTTTCTTCAAATATTGAGGAAAGCTTTGTGACATCACAAAGGCAGGACTAGAACTCACCGTCTCCTGGTGATTGGCCCAAAGTCACCCAGCTGCCTTTCATTCCTAAAGCGGAACTAGAACTCACCGTCACCCAGTTTCTAGCCTGGGGCTTTAACACGTGGACCCAACTGGCTCTTTAAATTCACTGCCTTGCCTTGTCAAATTTACAGTCCTTCAAAATGGCGCCCAAAGGAGACAGGGCAACTCAGAATGCGGTCTTGAAACATTTCCATCTCTCTCGACATCGGTGCAAAGATTTTGCAAATTTGGTTGTGTCAAACATTCCGATTTGGGCAGACACGCATCTTGGGGGGCGTGTGTCTTTTTTTTCTCTCTCTTTCCTTCCTGCAGAAATCTTGCCCTAGGAGGGGGTTTACTACTGCTGTTGGCGGAGTCTCGGTCGGAAGGAAAGAGCATGTTTGCGGGGGTACCAACCATGCGGGAAAGCTCCCCGAAACAATACATGCAGCTGGGAGGACGTGTGCTTCTAGTTCTTATGTTTATGACCCTCCTCCATTTAGACGTTAGTTTCTTCTCGGTAAGTGCCTAACATCGTCAAACATTTTCTCGGCTTCTGTCCTGCTCCATCTGTTCGGGGAATTCACATCTGGAAGTTGGCGAGTGTTCTGACCCTAACCCTAACCCTAACCCCAAACACGACCAACCCTCTGAAGTGAACTGACTTCCAGACCCAAAACCCTCCCTTTCCGTTCCCCACTCCCCTGCACTCATTGGCCAACTTCCAAGTCACTCTACCACTAATCTACTGCTCCAGCTCAAAGGAATTTCCCCCCTCCCATCCCATCCCCTAGGGGATATTATCTCCAGGGAAAATAAGTAGGCGAAAAGTCAAACGTCCCTTTCCAGACGCCTCCGCTTCTCCTTCTTATGTCAGCACTAGAGTAAATGCAGCTTGAAGTGCTGACACGTAAGATGAATAGTTGTCTGCCATATCTATTCGTCTCCGCCCCCTGCCTTATATCCCCAGAGCTAGGGTGGGGCTTCGCTAGCAGCGGTGGCTCTTCCGTCTCAAGGACCGGCTCATAGATTTTCACTGCTCTCCTCTCCTCTGCCTTCTGCTCATCCGTGCATCAGGCACTGGACCCAGCTGTTCCTTCTCCTCCTCATCAGCCACCTCCAAACTTGGGGGCTCTTAACTCTCCATTGGACGGCCCAGGCTCCGCCTCTCTCTCTCTCTTTCTGACAGCTCCATTCCCTCTTCCCCCTCGGACCTCTCAGGTTGCCTTGATGCTGACCCTGACTCCCACTCCTCTTCCTCCTCCTCCTCTGATTTGGTTGCTTGAGGGGCCACAACAGCAAGGATGGGAAAACCCTGATGGAGAGGCCAGCTTTGCTGGGTTTAGCTGGATTTCTGCCTAGCTCTCATTCACGATCTGTTCTCCCCGATTGTTGCAGATCCTGCAGAATATGGTGGGCACGGCGTTGATCATCCTGGTGGCCATCGGCTTCAAAACTAAGCTGGCGGCCTTGACTTTAGTCATCTGGCTTTTTGCCATCAACCTGTATTTCAACGCTTTCTGGACTGTTCCCACCTACAAGCCCATGCACGACTTCCTGAAATACGACTTCTTCCAAACCATGTCGGTCATCGGAGGCCTCCTTCTCGTGGTGGCCCTGGGTCCCGGCGGCGTCTCCATGGACGAGAAGAAGAAGGAATGGTAGAGAGAAACAGAGGAGGAGGAGAAAAATAAAAAAGCAACACAGCATCTCAGCATCTGGGAACTGACTCAAAAGTTTTGGGAATTGATAAACCAAACAAAACTGGCATTTTTTTTTTCTTTTTACAGAGGTGCCTGTTTTCTCTCCCTTTTGAAAGGCGCAATCTCTTTCATTTTTTAAAAAGTTGCTTTAGTTCACGACGGCGCTTGATCATCCGATTCCCGTTTTCACGGATGATTCTTCATTCAAGAACGTTTTGAGTTTTTTTTGTTTTGTTTTTCTCGCGCGGGGGGCGGTTTTTCTCTCCTATAATCTCCTGAAAAAGTTGGAACGAAGCAGCAGCTGGCTTGGCTCTCCCACGGTTAAAATTCCTTTTTGACAACTGTTTTTTTTTTTTTTTTAAATTTAAAACTACTGTGATCCGATAAACCTTGCTGTGTACTTTTCAGTGTGATGGGTGTTCCATCTTAACCTTGTTGGTTCTTGGTTTGACGCTCAAGTTGTAATTAAAATGAAGTCACATCCCAGGTGGAGAACAGGCCACATCCAAGTTATAAATCTTTAACGGTTACTCCAAATGAGTTAAAGAGAATGTTTTACACGATTGCAGCATTTGAAAAATAATTCATTCTGTGACAAATAAGGGCAAAATCAGGATCTCTTCCATCCACTTTTCATCTCCGTGTGTGTGTGGATATTTCCCGCAACAAATGAATTGTATACAGGTAGTCCTTGATTTATGGCCACAATGCAGCCACAAATTTGTTGCTAAGCAAGACAGTTAAGTGACTTTTGCCCCATTTTGCAACCTTCCTTGCCACAGTCACTAAGTGAATCACTGCAATTGTGTAGTAACACGGTTCTTAAGTGAACCTGGCTTCCTCCATTGTCAGGATGCAAAAAGAGATTACGTGATCCCGGAACACTGCAAATGTCATAAATAGGATTCGATAGCCAGGTGTCTAAATTTTGATCATGTGACTAGGGAATGCTGAAAAGTCGTAAAAATGGGGCAAAAACTCACTTAAGAAATGTCTCACTTAGCAACGTAAGTTTTGGGCACAATTTGTGGTTCGTAAGTTGAGGATTACCTATCATTGATCTCCAGCTTCAGCGTTCCCTGGAGACCTTTCACTGCTCTAGACAATTTTTTTACTGCACAAAAGTTTCCAAACCTCTAATCTGATTGTACTGTTGTGGCGCCTTCTTTTCCAAGTTCAAGGTCGAACACACGACTTAAGCAGTTGCTGTTTATTCTGCTTTTGTTGAGGCCGACTCTTGTTTAATCACAATTTTTAAACGGGAAATGTCCCCACCGAGGCTCCCTCTTTCTAAGGAATCCCTTCCTAGAATAATAAGTATTATTTCACTGCTTGGATGCGGTGGCTCAATGGCTAAGACGCTGAGCTTGTCGATCGCAAGATTGGCAGTTCAGCGGTTCGAATCCCTAGTGCCGCGTAACGGGATGATCTCCCGTGACTTGTCCCAGCTTCTGCCAACCTAGCAGTTCGAAAGCAGGTAAAAAAAAATGCAAGTAGAAAAATAGGGACCACCTTTGGTGGGAAGGAAACAGCGTTCCGTGCGCCTTTGGCATTGAGTCATGCCGGCCACATGACCACGGAGACGTCTTCGGACAGCGCTGGCTCTTCGGCTTTGAAATGGAGATGAGCACCGCCCCCTAGAGTCGGGAACGACTAACACATATGTGCGAAGGGAACCTTTACCTTTATTCACTGCAGAATTAGAAACTGAGTAAAAATTTGGGGTTCTGACATAACTCTTTAATTTCCTCGTGGCAATTCTGCCCTTGACTGTCAGGTGAAGAATTTCAGAAACGCAGGAGTTTTTTCAACAACTTTATATAAATGAAGTACAGTGACACGTATACAATCCCCCCAGAAAAAGGGACAATGCTTAAATAAAACGCAACACGTTTGAGTTCTAAGGATAATCTTCTCGCCACACTAAACAAACTGGAGCTTGACCCAACAGAAAGACTCGGTTCGTGTTAATTGCTTTTCCGAAGCTTTTTAGATTTTCTGTTCCACTTTTTAAATTTCTTCTTGTGAGGGCCGACTTGTTTCTAGACCGACAAGGGGGGAGGAAGAAAAAAAAAGAAAAAAGGCAGACGGTAAGTGGAAACTTGTAGAGAAATTGTTTTGTTTTTTTAAAAAGAGGTTTCTAGGCCTCATTAGTACAGGTCAAACAGTTAGTAACTGGGATTTGGCAATCGAGAGTCTAATACTTATACGTTTCTGAGGAAAAAGTCCTCAGTAAATGTTTATAGATGCTCGGCTGGTTTTTAAAAGGAAACCACGGGAATGTCTTGGCAATCTGTGCCGGAATCATCTTACTACCAAAAAATATTACCTTCTATTTAACCTGAGTGCTCTTGGGAATATAAAAAAGGGTTATTTAAATTCTGCAAACCGGGGATCGTGTCAAGAGTGAACAGTGCCGTGTCTGTCTTAAGAACAAATGCGTGAAGAATTTGGAAAACAGCGATGGCTTTTAATATTATAAGTGGCATTAATAGGGTGAAGGAATGGACCATCCTCAAATTTCTAATCTTTTTGCCGTCGCATGCCAAAAGCAGGGGTAGTACCGGGGGGGAAGGAGGGGGGGGTAGTACGTCCGTGTGCCCACACCCATAATTCAATGCGCCCTGCCCTCCCCCCACTTTTGGCACGCCATGGCACATTGGGACCAGTAGGCTCGTTTTTCGCCCTCCCCAGGCTCCAGAAACTTTCTTGGAGCCTTGGGAGGGCGAAAATAGCCTTCCCCACTCCCTGGAGGCCCTCCAGAGGCTGAAAATGGCCCAGTTCCTGACTTCTGGTGGGACCGGAAGGCCCATTTTTTTGCCCTCCCCAGGCCCCAGAAGCTTTCCAGAAGCCTGGGGAGGGCAAAAACGGCCTTCCCCACCCCTCTGGAGCTGGAAATGGCTCGTTTCCTGACTTCCGGAAGGCCCGAAAATCAGGTGGCCGGCGAGCACATGCATGCTGGAGCTGAGCTAGCGTGCCCACAGATATGGCTCCGCGTGCCACAGGTTCGCCATCACGGGTCAGAAATGGTTGTAATGTAAGTACGGATTAAAAGCACATGCAACTCCTAAGTCTTAACCTAATTTAGCAAAAAGGTTAAGCCACGAACACAACCACCACAAACGTCAAAAGTGTCAGGTTTTACCTTTCTCCTTTTCGTGGCTGTCTGTGAATCGACCTCCATCGTTTCGACCCGGCTGCCATTTTCCACCACCCGCTTCGCAGGCTCGTCGTCGCTGTCGCTCATAAATTCGTCGGGGGTCTCCTTGCCTGTGGTGCTTTTCCTTGGGAACAGTTCAGCTTTGAAAATAAAAGCATTAAACGTTAAAAGTTTAAACATGAAGTATTAAGAAGCAGAAAAACCCTTAAAATCGACACCCGAACCTCCCTTATAAATTCTGCCTCCAGAAACCAGGCCCTGTGACATATGCCTAAGAGCAGAGTTACGGTTTTAGAAGATAGCTCAACTATGTGGATGAATAAGCTGCCATTCTTCGCTGGGTGGATAAAAATCAATTTTAAAAAAAAATTAAAAAATCGGATTTTTTAAAATTTAAATCGGATTTTTTTGATTTTTATCAAATTTTTTTTAATAAAATGCTTTTGGAGTGGAAAAATCTAAAGTTAGTTTTCTATTTAAGATACATTAATAAATTAGTTTATTCAGCATGAAATGGAGCTTAGTTATGCAGCACGAGGCTATATATTGACTTTGTATAAATATACAAAAGGATGAAGGCTATTGCTTAACGCATTGTAAGCCGCCCTGAGTCTCCAGAGAAGGGCGGCATATAAATCAAAATTTAAAAAAATATATATTCTGCACTGTTGGGACTCAAGAATGGGTCAGAGGAGCTAATGCGGGGCAGAGATGACAGCTGCTCTTTAAAAATGACGATTTAAATCGACTTGATTTAAATCGAGCCTTTTAACCAGTGATTTAAATCATGATTTAAATCAAATCCACCCTGATTCCTCGTAAGGTAAGGCAGTTAAAATATTTTTATTTGTTTATTGGATTTCCACGTGCTGCCCGTCGATCTTGGGTGGCTTAGGAACGTTAAAACCAGAAACATTACAGAGAGAAAAGGCAAGTCATAACAATCATCACAGTTACGGCTACAAATTTATCAGTACAAGGTTAAAGAGGGAGATAAAGGAAGATGAATACAATATGCAAGGATTGCTGAACGACGGGTAAGATCTCCACCCAAGAAGGAAGGAAGGAACGTGAACAAAACAGGACTGGAATTTCTTGCCTGGTTCATCGTTGAAAACTTTTTAAATAACTTTAGTGAAAAAGGCTCTTCCCACAGCCGCTTATGAATATCAGTGATGAGCTTTACGATAGAGGTAACAGGCAAGGAAACAGAATGGGATGGGAAACAGAATGGGAGGAAAACGGCAAATCCAGGACTGGCTAAGGCTCAGCTCGCATCCGGATGTCCTTACGGCCTTCGAGCTCACTTACCTGGGTACAAATCACTCAGGCTGTCGTCGGTTTCATTGCCCCCTTCATCACCGGCGGGAGGTTCCCAGAATGCCCCCCTCGGCTTCACCCTCCTTTCGCAAACACCGTTGTCGGTTTCTGCCCGTGGCCGTCGGCGTTTATGCAAGAGGCAAGCCGGGACGTATTCCAGCCCCTCTTTCTGACATTCTTCATCTGTAAAGAAGATCCCATTCAAGAAAGATTTCCTCCTTTTCAAACCTTCAAAGCTAAGTAGAACCTGTGTGTCTGAGGCAGTCTATCCTGTAATACCCGGCACTCCTTGCCTGCTTCTCTCCCCTTAGAGGAAAGTTTCCCCCCACCCCCCTGTGTCTTTAGAAACAACATCAAGGATTGGAGCACGTGATCTGCCCACCTCCTGAGGCAGGTTGAGGAAGAAGAGGGGACAAAGGAACGGTTCAAGGAAAGGCAGGTGAAGAGAAAAATCAGTGCGCAACTCACATCGTCGAAGCGCCTTCTGATAACGCCGGCCTTGGATGTGGCGGAGAACATGCTCTGGGATCTTATTGAGATGACGCAGGGTGAGTTTGCAAAATAGCTGATTCCTAGGAAAAAGGAAAAAAAAAAGTGGGTGGAAAGAAAGACAAAGAAAGAGAAAGAAAGAAGGAAGGAAGGAAGGAAGGAAGGAAGAAAGAAAGAAAGAAAGAAAGAAAGAAAGAAAGAAAGAAAGAAAGAAAGAAAGAAAGAAAGAAAGAAGAGAGAACGAGAGAACAAAGGAAAGAAAGAAAGAAAGAAAAAGAAAGGAAGGAAGAAAGGAAAGAAGAAAGAAAGAAACTCAGCCATTAGCCCTGCTGGGACACCGTCTGCGAAACACACGTACGGATTTTTGGTGCTGGGCACGATGTGAGGTTCGTACTCGCTGTAGTCCAAAACCGCGGAGGTCTTGCTCATACGCAGGTATTTCTTCCCGGCGGTAAAAGCTTGGAGTTCAGGCAACCGGCAAGGCAGCTCATGGCCAGTCAACATACAGCGGACCTGGAAAAGAAAAGCAGGGTAAATAAAGGCTGATTCGAATGGAAACTGTGTCGTTTGGGCAACTGCCCACTTCTGGGATTTCTAAGTGGTGACCCATCCAAGTGTCCATCGGCCCAGGCTTCTTGAGCTTTTGGAGACCAGCTGAGGCAGGCCAGGTGCTGTCCAACCAATATATTCTCAAGAGCACGCTGCCTAAACACAGACCAATTCAAATGGAATTTCCCAGCACGATCAATTGTCCATCCTGGGATTTCAGAGTTGCCTGTCCTAGGATTTCTGAGTGGTCTCCCGTTCATTTGTCCAGCTTTTTTAAAAAAAAAATTTAAGCTTCGAAGGCTGGACAAGGTGGATGCTGCCAAGTCAACTCAAGAGAAACCTGCCGAAGCCAAAACCAATTCAAATGCAACCTTCCAGTTTGGACCACAGCCGACTCTGGGATTTTTGAGTGGTTCTCCCTTCTGAGGGTCCAGCATCCCAGCCTTCTCCAGCATCAGAGCCCAGACAGGCAGACCAGGTGTTGCCAAGCCAATGCATCCCTCAAGAACAACCTGCATGATTCAAATGGAGCTTTCCAGTTCGGTCCAGCCCTGTGGGATTTCTGAGTGGTCTCCCATCCATAAAGTTGTTTTGAGCTCCTGAAGTTGGACAAAGCTGGGCAGGTGCCGCCAAGCCGACATGCCCTCAAGAACAGCCTGCCTAAGCCAAGACTTAATTCAAGCTGAATTTTCCATTTTGGCCCAGCCCTGTGGGGATCTCTGAGTGGTCTCCTATCCATAAAGCTGTTTTGAGCTCCTGAAGCTGGACAAAGCCGGGTAAATGCTGTCAAGTGGACCTGCCATCAAGAACAGCCTGCTCGATTCAAAGGGAGCTTTCCCAGCTTGGGCAACGCCCCCCCCCCCACACCACCACCATTCCCTTGGGATTTCCATGTGGTCTCCCATCCACCAGCTTTTTTTTTTGAGCTTTGGAGGCTGCAACAAGGCAGGGCAGGTGCCGCCAAGCCAATATGCCCTCATGAACAGCCTCCTTAAGCCAAAGACCAATTCAAACTGAATTTTCCACTTTGGCCCAGCCCTGTGGGGATCTCTGGGTGGTCTCCCATCCATAAAGCTATTTTGAGCTCCTGAAGCTGGACAAAGCCGGGCAAGCTTACCTGCCCCCAAGAACAGTCTGCCCGATCCAAAGGGAGGCTTCCCAGCTTGGGCAAACCCCTCCCCCACTACTATTCCCTTGGGATTTCCGCGTGGTCTCCCATCCACCAGCCCAGAGCTTGGGGTTGGGGGGGGGGGCAAGCGAGCGCCGATCGTCACCTTTTTCCCCGGAGGGAGGACCCGCAAGCTCGGGTGCCGCTGCAGGAAACTCTCCAGCTCGGAGGGAAGCAGCAGCGACGATCCCGCTTCTTCCTCTCCTCCTTCTCGCTTGCTGGGAAGCTCCGCCATGCTTCCGCACCGGAAGTCGCAGGCGGCGTGAACCGGAAGTGCTCCCCGTTTGACCCCCTCCCAGGCAAGATGGCGGCGTGGCGACGGTTACTAAGCGACGGGGGGTTGCGGGGCTCCCTCGGGAGGCTGCGGGTGAGAGAGAAGGTCGCCTCGGCCCCCCCCCCCTCGCAGGCGGCTGTCCGGCAGGTCGAGCCTCGCTTGGATCCTCATGGGGGCCTTTTTGACCTTGCCCGGCCAGCCGCTTTCAGCCCAGGGGAAGGTCCCCCCGGCGGGGAGTTATGGGCATTGGAGTACCAAGCACTTTGGGGGAGCCCCAGCTTGCATTATCATGGGTGGTTTGAAAAGGGAGTTATGGGCATTGGAGTACCAAGCAGTTGGGGGAGCCCCAGCTTGCAGAAGCATGGGTGGTTTGAAAGGGCCTGTCAGGGAGTTATGGGTATTGGAGTGGCAAACAGTTGGGGGGGAGGGGCAGTTTGCAATGGCTAAGGGTAGCTTGAAAGGGCCTGGCTGAGGGTTATGGGTATTGGAGTGCCAAACAGTTTGGGGGAGCCCCAGCTTGCATTAGCAATGGGTGGTTTGAAAGGGGAATTATGGGCATTGGAGTGCCATGCCCTCAGGGGAGCCCCAGCTTTTGCAATGGCAAGGGTAGTTTGAAAGGCCCCGACTGAGAGTCATGGGCATTGGAGTGCCAAACAGTTGTGAGGGGGGGGGGCAGCTTGCAATGGCAAGGCTAGATTGAAAGGACCCGGCTGAGAGTTATGGGCATTGGAGTGCCAGACAGTTGGGGGAGCCCCAGCTTGCATTAGCAATCGATAGTTTGAAAGGGGAATTATGGGCATTGGAGTGCCATGCCCTCAGTGGAGCCCAGCTTTTGCAGTGGCATGGGGTCGTTTGAAAGGCCCCATCAGGAGTTATGGGCACTGGAGTGCCAAACAGTTGGGGTAGCCCCAGCTTGCATTAAGCAATGGGTATTTTGAAAGCCTGTGTCTGAGGTTTATGGGCATTGGCGTGCCAAGCAGCTGGAAGGCCCTAGCTTGGCTCTCGTTGACAGCCCTGCGAGGTAGGCCGAGCCCTCTTCTCAATGAGTTGAGAGGTTGGGTTGAAGTTCACCGTCAACCCGTGGTGAAATAAATTGAGTAAATTGAAATTTGTTAACTTTGAGATTTCTTTTCCCACTCTTCCTTCAACTTCTACTCTTTTCCTTCAGTTTTCCTGCCTGGATGATAGGAGGAGATCCTTTGCCCGCTGCTGTTGGAAAGATGCTTTACAGCAGCCCCCGAGTGAGTTGAGCCCATGTGAACTAATCTTCAGGGGTTTTTTTTACTTTTAGGGGAAAAAATTATGTTTTTTTTTTTTTAAAGAACCACTGTTGCTTTATATTTTTATTCATTCATACATGACATTTCTACTTCATTCATTCATTCAATTTCTCTAGCCACTTAGCTCAATCAAGGAACTCTGGGCAATTCTAAAAATTATTTTAAAAAACCCTTGCAATTCTTGCCATTCTAAAAATTATAAAAACATTGAAAAAACATTCAAACAGTAAAAACATCCACGCAACAAATAAATACAAACAGCAGCTGTGTTGATTATTCTATACTGCCCATGTGCCCTGAGTAACTGTGGGCAGTTTACAATAAAATATTCAACAGTATGCTATTTTATTAATAAAGTGCTCAGAGCCAGCTAGGTAAGATGAGGGGGGTAGAAATTTGAGAAATAAACCTGATGCCACTTCTGAGTTTTTACAACTAGCTTTGCCACTAATGGTATTTTTTTCCTTCCCCCCTCTCCAGAGATTTGCTGGAGGCTTTGTCCAGCCAGAAATTTCGCCTCAGCTGCTACTGCCAGAGCCACAGAAGAAAACGTACTAAAATGGGGACTTTTGCTCATCCCAATAGGTTCATTTTTCCTTGGCTGTTGGCAGGTAAATAACACGGATGAAGTGAAGGCTGGCTGCTTGGAGTTTTTTAAACTGAGTCTTGTGTAATTTTGGGGGTAGCTTAGTATACCTTATTCTCATGTTTCCTTACCCTTTTGTGTGGTATAAGTCAAGCTGTTACCATGTATGGAATACAAAGTACTCCATACTTCAAAGACTCTCAAAGTAAGTTAGGATTATGGCTTGAGCGAATTCTTTTTTCTGCTAAAATGTTCTTTTTCCAGGGCAGTGAATCTTTTGGTTTTAAGTAGGATTAATTACAGGTAATCCTCGACTGACAATAGTTCATTTATTAGCAACAGAAATTTTGGGCTCGATTGTGGTTGTAAGTTGAGGACTATCTGTAAATAAAAGACATGCATAATGTGCTTAATGATCAGTGTGCTTAATCATCTGGTTTTCAATTACTAGGCAGCAAAATCTTTCTTTAAAGAAATGCCTGTCTATTAATAATTGCTCTTGTGGAGCAAAACTCTTTTAAGTGTTTGCGGCAAATGTTACTCTTATTATTCTACTTTCTTCAGAAGAGCAAATTTTAAAAGCTTCCTGCTTTGCTGGGCAGATAGGTAGTGCTGTCGTGAGAGAGGGATTCTGTAGATCGAAATGGGTTTTTCTCCTACTTGACAATGGAACAAAAATCTCAACATTTTGTGCTTTATGTCAGGTTCAGCGGCGGGAATGGAAGCTGAGACTGATTGCCGAACTGGACAGCAGGGTTTCTGCCGAGCCAATTCCACTGCCTGCAGAGTACGTGTCTTTTGGGAATGGTAAAGAGACTTTAGAATATTACCGAGAACATCAAAAGGGCACCTCCAGTTTGGTTTTGGTGGGAAGACCACTCACAATTTTTAATCAAGTTCACCTTCGAGGATTTGCCTTGCCTCATTTCACTGCAAACTATTTTTGTTGCTAGTTTTATGAGAACTGTAGCCCTGGCAGCCATAATTGTTTTAGTTGCTAGATAATTGGCAGAAACTACCGTATTTTTCGGTAGTTTCCCCCCTACCTTTTGGGGGGAGGAAAAAAAAAATCTGCCTCTGATGGTCGGGAGGCCAATCCAACTGACAATCAGCTGCTCGTGTCAATCGGACTGTGCTGAAGCTGAAACGGGCTGTTTGCTGCAAGGAGGCGAATTGCTGGGAGGCAGAGGCAGATTTTTTTTTCTTGTGCTAATCAGGCTGTGCTGAAAATGAAACTGAAACAGGCTGTTTGCTGTTTGCTGCAAGAAGGTGAGTTGCTGGGAGGCAGAGGCAGATATTTTTTTCTTGTGCTAATCAGGCTGTGCTGAAAATGAAACTGAAACAGGCTGTTTGCTGTTTGCTGCAAGGAAGCAAGTTGCTTGGTTTCCTTAAGTTTCCTTAATAGCAACTTCAGGGTGTTGTCTCTTTCTTTACTGTTAACAGGCAGTTACGTTTGTCTGTTTTCCCTTGCTCTCGTTCATAAACGACAGTATTAATTGGCAAACCTTCTTTTCCTCACCAGGGGACCTTTGGCTGTCTAAGCTATAACCCCGATTTTCCTTCCTGCCTTGCTCCTTTTCTACAGCCTCTATGAACTGAACGAATTGGAATATGTGCCAGTCAAGGTCAGAGGTCATTTCGACCACACCAAAGAGCTGTATGTGCTCCCACGATCCCCAGTGGACCCTGAGAAAGAAGCCAGGAATGCCGGCCGTATCATGTCTAACGTGGAGAGCGGAGCCCACGTCATCACTCCCTTTTACTGCACTGACCTTGGGTGTGTATATTATCAGCTCCAAGGTTTAAGGAGCCGCCTAGAGTTGGATGAAAGATAGGCGGCTATATACAAATTTTAAGTAAATAAAATGCAGCCTTGCTGTCAAACCTGAAGTTGACCGCTGAGTGACTTTTGTTTATTTATTTATTTTTTAAAACCTGCAGGATAACGATTCTTGTCAACAGAGGATTTGTTCCCAGAAAAAAGATGAATCCAGAGACAAGATTAAAAGGACAGGTACGCTGCTTGCTTTCCGTGGGGTAGCCCTCTCTGCTTAAAAACATAACATGAAATCCTGCCCAAGGTCCCATGATTGAAATAATTTATAACATGTCTTGAAACGGTTTTGTTCCTTTATATATTTGTTTTGGATTGAACTAGTCAAAGTTTCTGAAGGGTGGTTCAGTGGCTAAGACGCTGAGCTTGTTGATCGAAAGGTTGGCAGTTCAGCGGTTTGAATCCCTAGTGCCGCGTAACGGGGTGAGCTCCCGTGACTTGTCCCAGCTTCTGCCAACCTAGCAGTTCGAAAGCACGTAAAAAAAAATGCAAGTAGAAAAATAGGGAGGAAATAAATTGGTGGGGAAGTAAGAGCGTTCCGTGCGCCTTTGGCGTTGAGTCATGCCGGCCACATGACCACGGAGACGTCTTCGGACAGCGCTGGCTCTTCGGCTTTGAAACAGAGATGAGCACCGCCCCGTAGAGTTGGGAACGACTAGCACATATGTTACCTTACCTGTCTTTTACCTTAGTCAAAGTTTTGAAGAATAGAAATTGGATTTTTCTTCTTCCTTTTTTTTAGATCCAAGGGGATATTGAACTCATCGGGCTGGTGAGGCTAACAGAACCTCGGAGAGCTTTTGTGCCGGAAAACAACATTGAACAAAACACGTGGTTTTACCGTGATTTGGATGCCATGGCCAGAGTCACGGGAGCAGAGCCCATTTTTATTGATGCAGACTATAGTAAGTCCCCCAAACATTGCCCCGCCCTCTGATTTTCCTGGATGTTGCATGCAGTTTTCCTAGGCAAAATTTAAAATTGACTAACCTCAGATGCTCGCTAGATAGATTAAGGAATTATTGGAGTGGAACAGGCCTTAGGTTAGGTGAGCCAATTTTGTGGGCCCCCCAAATTACAGTGTTTTAGATTTAAATTCCCTTACAAATTGTGGAATTTGTAACCCCAAACCAAGCACAGGAAGCCAGCTTGCCTGCTTCTATTCTTAGCTGCACGTGTGAAGAATGTAGATCTGGATGAAATTCAAGGCTAGAATGCTCACGTGTGGCAGTGGCATTATGGATTAGCGACACGGAAACTATCACATGTGATCTGTGTACTTGCCTTGATTAATTTCATACTAAATAGTGTGTTTCAGGGTTTATTAAAGCTTAAGAAGTGCTTCAAGGGGTAAACTAATGGGAAGCAATCGAAGGGGCTTAGTGGGTAAGTCGCTGAGCTTGTCGATCGAAAGGTCGGCAGTTCAGTGGTTCAAATCCCTGGTGCCGCGTAACTGGGTGAGCTCCTGTGACTTGTCCCAGCTTCTGCCAACCTAGCAGTTCGAAAGCAGGTAAAAAATGCAAGTAGAAAAATTGGGACCACCTTTCGTGGGAAGGGAACAGCGTTCCGTGCGCCTTTGGTCTTGAGTCATGCCGGCCACATGACCACAGAGACGTCTTTGGACAGCGCTGGCTCTTCGGCTTTGAAACGGAGATAAGCACCGCCCCCTAGAGTCGGGAACAACTAGCACATATGTGTGAGGGGAACCTTTACCTTTAATCGATTAACACACTTATATGCATTCCCTTTGAGAAGGTGTGCCAACAATCTTAATGGCAGGGAGGTTTTCTCCATAGAGAAGCCCAACTTTTGGTAATTATGGGACTTAAAAATTCCATGAACATCAAAGGACAGAATGTTGGGGAAAGTTTCTGGAAGCAATATTTAAGAGAGAGCTTTGAAGTGATTATTCTAAGCTTATTGAACTCATGGGTGAGCAACACATACAAAATCTTACCGAATCGAACCCCAATTCTCTCTTATACCCACAGGAAGCTCAGTTCCCGGGGGGCCGATCGGTGGCCAGACCAGAGTAACTTTACGAAATGAGCACATGCAGTATATACTTACTTGGTGAGTAGCAACACATTTGTTTTCGCTGGTGGGGAGCGGTGGGCAAGATGAGGAAGAGTAAATCCGTTAGCGATCCACAAATTTTGTATTTCAACAATAACCATTAAGATTTACAACAGCATTCATTATATTAATTGATATTAAGTCTCTGATCTTACAGTTGTAGTATTGAACATAGTAAACCTATTCATTTTTCCCTCAACGTATCCCCTAATAAGAATATATTAAGCATAATCCTAAATCATAATATTTACATCTCTATCTTAACGTATTTTCAACTCTTTAATCTTATTTCCAACTTCCATTTTTATTCTCCAACCACTGATAAAATAATTCTCATATCCTATAAGTCTGTTCTTTCTCCTAAATTGCAAGCGTTAAATCTGTTGCATTTCTGCACATTCTAATCTTTTCCTAATCACCTCCTCCTCAGTAGGGATCTCTTCACTTTTCCAATTTTGTGCAAATACAATTCTAGCTGCAGCTAATAGATGGATAATTAAATATGCGTTCTCTTTACTGTAAGTTTCAGGTAAAATCCCCAAGAAAAATATTTCTGGTTTTAAATCAATGTGCTGCAGCCATGTATTTTTATCCACCCTCCTGCCCTGCATCAGCTATAGATTTTATCTTCATAAATCAAGGGATCTGGAAATTAAAGCAGCAATTGTTTCTGAACCGATAGCTCAACTAGATCAGACAAAACTCAGGCAAGTGAAATCAAACATTTTCTCCTTCTACACAGGTACACGCTGTGTGCGGCCACTTCCTTCTTGTGGTACAAGAGGTTCATTCAGAAGGTGCCTTTTTGAGTCTTGGAAGAACGTGGTTTCAGGTGTGCGGCTTTAAAAAGCGGCCATCTAGCCCAGATCGTAGACTGGCTCATTTGGAAGATGATTTGGGACTTCTCAGCCAAGACAGGAGTTACTGGAAACCAGGCAGATTTTCTCTTAAAAAGTAAGCCAATCTTCACATATTTGGGGAAATATTACTGGTTTTCAGAAGACAATCAAGTAATGGGGAGTCTTGAAAGGAAAAGTCCATTCAAATGTGGGCTCGTCAACGGACAAGAAATCGATTTAAAACTAGGGGCTTGGAGGTAACTATATTATTTGTGGTAATTTGAATCACGTTTCTTGAAATATTGACTGCAAATAAAATTTGGGTCTTTTTAATGTGTTCCAACTCTTCCTGGCATTGCATGAGGGGGTGATGGAAAACAGGACAAAGAACTATTGCTTGACAATAATTTTGGGCCAGTAATTCTCTCAGCTCAATTCACCTCACAGGGTTGTTGTTAGGAAAATATAGGAAGAGGAAGGAGTATTAGGTAGGTCAAGCCTAATATTTTTCCCCGTTTATTTTCTTTAAAAAATGGGAGCGAGCTGCATGTTACCCACCACTTAAAAAAACACCCCTTTAAAGTAATCAAAGCACAGACAGAAGCCTTTTGGGTTAGAATTTTTATTTTTATGTACAGAAAAACTGACACATCTATCATCCAAGCTTGGTGGCCAGCTCTTTAGCTTTGGCTTTTTCAAGCTTAGCAATCCGAGCGACAGATTTGGGACCCAGGACGTTTCCACCCCAGTGACGACGAATCTGGAAAGGAAAAAAAACAAAACAAAATTGGTTTGCCAACAGGAAGAAATGTTGATTCTGCCACACTGCCTACCTCTTTGCAATTACAGTCTCTGTCCAAATTATTGTTTATTGCAGTTAACTCAGACACTATCAATTAGAGTACTAAAAAACATATATTTCAAGCCCCTTGAGAGACCCGCTGACTAGGCGACACAAGCAGAACCAAACCAAACCAAAAATCACAGGCGGGAGTCTTACCTCATCGTATCTCTCATTGTAGTTGGTCTTAACAGCTTCCACCAGCTTAGCCAAGGCTCCTTTGTCCTCACTGCATAGAAAAAAAAGTGAGGGTCAAGCAATTTGCAGGGGGGGGGTCCAAGGCCACCATTTTCAAGGTGAAAGCCGCATGCAAGGAACATACAGGTAGTCCTCGACTTACATCCATTCGTTTTTAGTCCCTGTCCAAAGTCCCTGGAAAAAGTTGACTTACTACCATTTCTCACACCATAGCAGCATCTCCAGGGTCACGTGATCAAAATTCAGACACTTGGCCACTGTCTCGTATTTATGACGGTTGCAGTGTCATGGGATCTTTTTTGTGAACAAGCCAAGAAGGGCCTGGTGACTCAGCAGACTAAAAGCATTGTGATTTAACACCAGCTGCCTGCAATTACTGCAGGTTCGAATCTCGCCAAGGCTCAAGGTTGACTCAGCCTTCCATCCTTTCTAAGGTAGGTAAAATGAGGACCCAGTTTGTGGGGGCAATAAGCTGACTTTGTATAAATATACAAAAGTATGAAGGCTATTGCTTAGCACATTGTAAGCCGCCCTGAGTCTCCGGAGAAGGGCGGCATATAAATCAAATTAAAAAATAATAATAATAATGGGGAAGCCAGATTCACTTAACCACCAGGTTACTAACACTTCTTGCAGTTTGGGATTTAAACATGGGGGTTTTTTGGGTCCCTCCCTCAGTCTGCAATAGCCAGGATCTTATTTTATTTAAGTTTGATGATGTTCTTAGTTTTTTTCCGTATATCTTTAATAATATAGGCGAATCCCCTAACGCAGGGGTCGGCAACCCACGGCTCTGGAGCCGCATGTGGCTCTTTCATTCCTCTGCTGCGGCTCCGTTGCCGGTTGGCTCCACAATTGATAGGGCTTTCAGTTACGACAAGTAGAGGAAAGAGGACGCTGCACTAGGAGACTCTATGGTGGGGGAACCGGACTTCCGGTCGGCTCCAGAATTGAACGGGGGCTTCTGGTTAGGACTTTTGTGGCTGAGTGTTTTAAGGTTGCCGACCCCTGCCCTAACAATTGCTGCAAGAAAAGTCGTGACATCGGGCAAAACTCACTTAACAAGCATCTTGTTTAGCAACAGGAACAATTGTGGTCGTAACTTGAGGACTACCTGTCCTCAAGGGCGCTCCAACCTGCAAATCTATGACCTTCCAGAAGCTATTGAAATAACGGCTGCTCAGTTGGCACCCAAATCCCCGATTAGATCTGCCGTGTCTGTCCAGAGGTTGGCAGGACCAGGGCTACTTACGGGTTAACCTGGGTGAAGGCCACGCAAGTGCAGGTTTTCCGGTGGACGAGGCGACCCAGCCTGGCTTTGCCTTTGATGATGCAATAGGGGACCCCCATTTTTCGACACAAGGCGGGCAGGAAAACCACCAGCTGCACCGGGGGGCAGAGAGAGAGAGAGAAGACAAACCTTTTCATTAACGGGACCCTGCTGCATTTTTTTGACCCCCCGACGAGAGAGGGGAGAGATTTGGGCAGCGGCAATCGCTCAGGGTTAAAAAGCTCGTGTAGTTTTGCTCTCCACGGGGGAGTCAGGCGAAGAAATTCAAACATCATTGCAATTGCCAAGCCCAAGCAAGAGGATTGTGAGAGCTGTTGTGAGAACAGCCACTTCCAGACTCACAAATTGTCTGACTCCCCGCCCCCCAAATTAACCAAGAGATTCACTTTATGAAAGAATCTGACAAGAGTGATGGCAAAAGAGCCATTTCTCTCCTCCCCTCCTCCCCAAAAAGAGAATGAAGCCCCTAGATCAGGGGTCAGCAACCTGCGGCTCTGGAGCCGCATGTGGCTCTTTCATCCCTCTGCTGCGGCTCCGTCGCCGCCACAATTTTGAAGAGCTTTCGGTTACGGGGAGGAAAAGCAAGGCGCACCAGGAAGAGGCTCTATGGCAAGAAGCAAGTTTTCCAGTCACAATTGATAGAGCTTTCCATTAGGACAGGTAGAGGAAAAAGGATGCCGCACTAGGAGGAGACTCTGGTGCGGGGAATCAGACTTCCAGTCGGTTCCAGAATTGAAGAGGGGGGGCTTCCGGTTAAGACCTTTGTGGCTCTTTTGAGTTTTTAAGGTTGCCGACCCCTGCCCTAGATGTAAGATTAACACTAGGCAATTATTCCTGCATTTTTTCCCCCAGTCCACTTCAAATACAAGGCTAACGTGCACCCTAAAAAATTGTCAAAAGAGGAAAGGAAAAAATGAAAATGGCTGTGAAATGCTGCATATTCCTGCCCGGGAGCCAAAGGTTTATTATTTTTTTTAAAAGCTGTTGCTTCTTTACCCCACAAAGCATGGGAGACAACAGTTTGGTATTCCACCATGCTAAAGCGCAAAATTTGGAAATGAAAAAAAAGAGGACGAAGCCTTCCCCTCTGCTTTACCTCAATGGGGTCTACATCGTGCGCGATCACCACCAGCTGAGCCTTCTTGTTCTCCACCAAGGTTGTGACTGTGTTGACACCTGAAAAAAAACACAAACCGGGACGCTAAATTTGCAGCATTAACCAAGCCGGATTGTACGTGATGCCCCCAAGGAATGGGCCAACCTGCTAAAGCTCAGAGTTAAATAGCCAATGTCTTTTGGTCTTCAATCAAGTTCAGGTGAAGAAATTCACACATCACTGCGATAGCCGGTTGTCGAGAAAGCGCCAGGAAAGCTGTCCTTTCTAGCTAACTAAGCTTAGGAAAGCCGCACAGAGGCGCTCAAAAGCTTACCTGCCCTCAGCACAGGTGGCCTTTTGGTAGGAACGTCGCCCTTCCCCGCAGCTTTCTGCTCCGCCCGAGCCAACAGCCTCTGTTTTTTCTCTTGCTTGGTCTCAGGCCTGTATTTGTGAGCCAGCTTCAGAAGCTGAGTCGCTGTGGAGATAAGACATTAAATGAGAAACAGGAGCATTTCTCTGCCCGTCCTTCTAGCAGCTTGATAAGACATCCTTGTGCATCAGCGATCTTGGTGGTTGGGAGTCGTCAAGAAAGCTCAGATATTTGCTTCCATCATCTGCACATTAGAGAAACTTTTCTCCTTCGGTCTAAACCCCGAAGGGGGGATTCCTTCCTCCCCTCTTTTCATATACCCCACATTATTTAGAAACTAGCCAGCAAAATCATACCCCCCAAATCAAATTTTTATTGGCACGAGTTATTACGCTCTGAATTGGCAACTGAGCACCCAAAAATACTTTTGAGCAGTGAAATGTAAATAGCAATCGCTAACGCAAACCTCTCCAGACCTACTTTTAAGTTTCAGAGCCCCCTCCTCCCATAATCACAGTTCGTGTGGTTATCAACCCACCTCCAAATTTATGGCTATTTGTAGTGTCCCACAGTCACACGACTGCAATTTATATCTTTTTTTTGCTGGAAAGCAACATTTACCTCTAGTTTCTGGCCAAAAAACCCCCCTAAAATTACTTAACTAATCTGCTCACTTAATGACGGCCACAGAGGTGGTCATAAAATAGGGTGCAGTCACTGGTTAACAACCGGCACAACTTAATGGCTGGGATTCCAGGTTCGGTCCTTATCGTAAGTCACTGTACTACCAAGAGCCCTGGTAGTACAGTGGTCTAAGGCACCCTGTTATTAAGCTGGTTATTAAGACCAGCTGCCTGCAATTACTGCAGGTTCGAATCTCGCCAAGGCTCAAGGTCGACTCAGCCTTCCATCCTTTCTAAGGTAGGTAAATTGAGGACCCAGTTTGTGGGGGCAATAAGCTGACTTTGTATAAATATACAAAAGGATGAAGGCTATTGCTGAGCACATTGTAAGCCGCCCTGAGTCTCCGGAGAAGGGCGGCATATAAATCAAAGAAAATCAAATTTAAAAAAAAGGACTACCAGTAAACAGGAAGACCCGTTTTTCATTTGCAACCCTCTGCCCAGCCTCCTTCCTCTGATAATTCAAGAGGGAAAAAAAAAATCACCATTTACCCGTCTGGCGGTCCAGGGCTTGGGTGAACTGGTTGACCGCTGGGGGCACCTTCAACCTTTTGTAAAGGATTGCCCGCTGGCGCTGGAGCCGGATGTAGCGAGGCCATTTCACAAAGCGAGTCAAATCTCTTTTGGGCTGGATATCCTGACCTGCAAAGATACAGCATCAACTCAAGAAAAAGAGGAATAGTTTTGTAAGCTTGGGGGCTTCGCTCCAGAACGAAAAAGGGGCACCGGCATCAGAGATCTTGGTGGAAAAGCTTGTCAGCACTGCCATTCAGTTAGCAAATATTCTTTCCATCATTTGCTTGCACCCTTTTTCACACAGCATTTAAGTTCCCATCCTACCAATGTCCTCTCCTTTCCCAACTCACCGATGCCGAAGTTTTTGGGTCTCTTCTCAAACAGGGGGTTCACCACCTTCTTGGCCTCCTGCTTCTTGGCCACAGCAGGGGCCGGAGCCACCTTCTTCCCCTTGGCCTTCTTCCCCTTCGGCTGCAAAAGTTGAAGCACAAGTTAAATCTGGATCATCCCATCTACCGCCAAATACGTAAACGCAACATCTCCTTATGCACCTTCTCCCCCAAGCGTTGTCCAAGCTGGGGATCAGACTAGGCGCTGGGTTAGAACTCCCAACATCCCAGCCACGCTGCTCAAAACAGATCTGGAAACTTGTTGCCAACGCAATGCAAATCCATTTGCAATGATCCAATTTTCTCTCTCTATTCATCTCGTAAACCAGCATAAATATTAACCTCACCCAACTAAGACTACTGCTTCCATCCCTCTAAATCGGGGGTCTCCAAACCTGGCGACTTTATACCTTGTTTTCCCCGAAAATAAGACCCTGTCTTATATATATTTTTTAACCCCAAAATAAGTGCTTGGCCTTATTTTCGGGGAGGTCTTATTATTTTGGGGCGGGTGGAGCAAGATGGGGCTCCTCTTACTGTCTTACCTGATTTCCAGCTCTGCGTTTTAAAAAGCCCAATTGGGCTTATTATCAGGGGATGTCTTATTTTCAGGGAAACAGGGTAGAAGACTTGCGGACTCCCAGCATTTCCCAGTTAGCCCAGTCACGCCATGCTGGTTGGGGGAATTCTGGGACTTCTAGTCCACAATTTGAAGATTCCCTGCTCTTAAATCAAAACGGTACCAGGCATTTGTTTGCCTAATTCAAAGGATCTCCAAAACTTGGCATCTTTTATTTTATTTATTTATTTTATTGAATTTGTATACCGCCCTACTCCCGAAGGACTCAGGGCGGTGAACAGCCATGGAATAAAACATATAAATACAAAACTTAAAATAGATTAAAACGAATTAAATAATTTGGCTGAACAAATTTAAAACCCCAATAATTTAAAACCAGATTTAAAATTTCCATTTAAAAAGGGGAAAGACTTAGGTCTTTAAGTCTTTAAAAGACTAGTTGGGACTTCAACTCCCAGAATCCCTCCGCTCAGCAAGGCTGGCTTAGGAATCCTGGGAGTTGAAGTCCACTAGTGCGCCTTACATGTTTCCCCCAAGGTTAGGGGGGCCGAAGGCTCAGTGGCTAAGACGTCGATCAGAAAGGTCGGCGGTTCGAATCCCCAGGTCTCCTGCGTGTGCAGGAGGCTGGACTAGATGACCTCCCAAGGCCCCTCCCAATTCTGTTACTGTTTATCCTGTATATATTGCTCTGGCATGCAATCGGGCATGACTTGAGGTCGGATGCTCCTTCCAGCCTAAAAATGATCCACCGATCTTTGCAAAAAAAACCACCAGCGAGGCCCAAACTCCAGCCCACCCCAAGACCGGCTTCCCATCATTTTCCCCTCCCAATAAAAGCGGCCTCCGGTTCGGCGGGGTTCCTGGCCCTCCGGTGCGCGGTAAAGACCCCCAAGCCGGGCCTCCGATGGGCGGATGGCGCCGGATTGGAAGATCCCCCCCCCCTCCCCCCGCCGGTAGAGCCAACACGTCGCAAAACTCACCATCTTGGCTGGAGGAAGAAAAAGAGAGAGCGGTGCCTTCTGGGTAATATATCGCAGTCCCGCTGGTTCTCGCGAGAAGTTCGGCGCTCAAATCACGCGGGAAGATGCGGAAGGGGAAGAGCGGTCTCAGCCGATTTTTTTTTTGTTTTCATCATAGAGACGATAAGCGACTGATCGGGCTTCCGCACGCTCCTAGAGAGTCCTCCGAGGAGGTATGTCCAACCCTTGACTACAACAGGAAGAGTGTCTCCCTCCCCAAACAACCAATCAGCTTTCAGGATTCAGCCAATCATGGGGGGGGGGGAAATAAAACCTCCCTTTTCGGATTAGAAATGCTTGATTAAGGAGTGGAAGTGAAAAGGGTGGATGTTGATACAGGTGAGAAGAGCGTCAATTTTTAAGCAATTTGCATTAAACTACTTTTGCAATACTTTGTCCCTGGTGTTTTAAATGGAAGGAGCAAGGCTCTAGTCCTCATTAGCCTTATTCTCAAAATGCTCTCCCTCTCCTTTATGGGGAATAGCTCGATCCAATAGATTAAAATTAAAATTAAAATGTCTTTTATGTACACTGAGAGCTTGTGCACCAAGACAAATTCCAATGACACTTGGCCAATACAAAATTCTATTCTATTCTGTTCTGTTCTGTTCTGTTCTGTTCTGTTCTACTCTACTCTACTCTACTCTACTCTACTCTACTCTACTCTACTCTACTCTACTCTACTCTACTCTATTCTATTCTATTCTATTCTATTCTATTCTATTCTATTCTATTCTATTCTAAATGGAGGTGATTACTTCATTTGTTGTGTGAATGCAGCCTTGCTTCCAGATCTGTCCCCCCCCTCCTCTCTGTTTAGTTAAATAGATACGGAATTTATATTGTTTTCTGACATTTGATTCTCGGCTCCACAATCTTGATTATTTGCTTCATATGTATTTCTATCAGAACAATCCATCAGGTTTTTTTTGGGGGGTGGGACTATTTACGGCTTCTTTTTAATATTAATGTGCCTGCAGGCAAATGTGTGGCTCGGAATTAACATTTGACACAAAGGTGCACATTTTAACCCTGAAAACTGAAATGGAATGTTTATGGGCCATATTTCTTTCTTTTTTAAAAAATGATTTTAGATTTGGGGGTTTTTTTTAATGCATTTTTCTCTGGATTTGTTATTTGCGACGCCGTTTCATTGGTCCGTTCCTCTCCTAGCCATGTCGCAACAACGGGTCCTACCCCAGAGTAAAGAAACCCTCCTCCAGTCCTACAACAAGCGTCTGAAAGATGATGTCAAATCCATCATGGACAACTTCACAGAAATCATCAAGTCTGCAAAGGTAGGTATGTGAGAAGAGACCCTCCCCCCTCCTTCTGCCTTCCATGGAGGACTTGTATACTGCACGAGTCAAAAAGAGGGCTGAGAAAATATTTACAGACCTCTCGTATCCTGGACATCAACTGTTTCAACTCCTACCCTCAAAACGACGCTGTAGAGCACTGCACACCAGAACAACTAGGCACAAGGACTTGTGTGTCCAATCACACTTGGCCAATAAAAAATTCTGTTCTGTTCTGTTCTGTTCTGTTCTGTTCTGTTCTATTTTATTTTATTTTATTTTATTTTATTTTATTTTATTTTATTTTATTTTATTTTATTTTATTATTTTATTTTATTTTATTTTATTTTATTTTATTTTATTATTCTATTCTATTCTATTCTATTCTATTCTATTCTATTCTATTCTATTCTATTTTCTATTCCATCCCATTCCTATTCTATTCTATTCCATTCATGCTTTGAACATTTTCAGATTGTTCTAGTCAGCGAACAACATTACACAGTGCAAAGAAATAGGGGAACAGATTTTTATTAGAGCAGAGGGGAAAATGCTCGACAGCTTTTCAAACAACCCGCAGATGGTTAGACTTTTTGTACCTGCTTTCCTTTTCCAGATTGAAGAAGAAACCCAAGTGTCTCGCGCGACCCAAGGCGAACAGGATAACTATGAGATGCACGTCAGAGCGGCAAATATTGTGAGTGGATTAGAGTTGAGATATTCTGCAGAGGATTCTGCTCGGAGAGGAGTTGCAAATCTGCCTTTAATGAATTTATTTATGCATATAAATTTAACCAATGAATTTAATTAAATTGATGGTTGGAAAATGTTGGTGGTTGCCATCCGCCCTCAGAAACAGGGTTTTAATTCTGTCCCACCAGAGAGCGGGAAGGAAATCATCCCATGACCAAAATTGCTAATAACTCTGATAAAATTTGGCCATGTTTTCCAAATACAATAGTACCTCGTTACACATCGTGAATTAATTCCGGGAGGCGTGATGGGTATCAAAAATGATGAATAATGTAGTGAGTCACAAGGCAGCCGACACTGACAAACTCTAGCTTGTGCGTTGAAACAAAGAAATGATGAGTACTGAGATAACATTTTCGTGTCATAATGCGTTGCGTACCAAATCCGATGAGTTTCAAAGCATTTGAGTGCCAAGGTACCATTGTATGTGGATTTTTTCATCAGGTCCGAGCTGGCGAGTCCCTCATGAAGCTGGTGTCCGATCTGAAGCAATTCTTAATCCTTAATGATTTTCCTTCGGTCAACGAAGCCATCAACCAACGCAATCAGCAATTGCGGGCTCTGCAGGAGGAATGCGACAAGAAACTGATCGCGCTGCGGGATGAAATCTCCGTCGACCTCTACGAACTGGAAGAGGAGTATTACTCTTCCAGGTACAAATAAATCCACGGAGAAATCTCGGGATAATCAGCCCGTGGCCTTCTCTTTTTTTTTTTTGACCTTGGAGACAGAGGTTGCGTTCTGAAACTTTTTAAAACTCTTGTTTTGTTTTGTTTTTTAAAACTTGTGCTTTTTAATATTTCCGGGGTGGTTCTGGCCGTCCTCGAAAACAATCAAGCCACTCCTATTTCCTTGTTTGCAATTCTGTGCAACTTAGGGAAATGCTGCCTAACAATCTTGCAGTTTGGGATTTAAATGTGGTTTTGTTTTGGGGGGGTTTTCGGTCCCCTCTCTCAGTCTGCAATAGCCGGGATCTTATTTTATTTAAGAGTTTGATGATGTTCTTAGTTTTTTTTTTCGTATATCTTTAATAATATATGCGAATCCCCCTAATGATTGCTGCAGCTTTATTATCAATAAAACTGTGGTAGGAAAAAAAAATGTTAACTTTGGGCTGGTTTTTATTTTACTTCTTTATTATTTCTTATATATATATTTAACCCACAGCTTGTCTGATGATCCCCTTATTTCTCCTCCTGTCTCTTATGCTTAGCTTGTGCCTCTCTTTTTGGCAATTTATCTACGATCTTTTGCAATTTCTGTTGGCTTCTAAGCAGGGCTTCTGGAGGAGCGAAGGAATAAAGCGGGGCAGGATTTGGGAGATTTACCCCCTACAAAATACAGGTAGTCCTTGACTTACGACCAAACCGAGCCCAACATTTCTGTCGTTAACTGAGTTTTGCCCTTTTTTTTAACGACACTCCTTGCCACATTTGCTTAAGTAAATCACTGCAATTGTTCTGTGACTAACCTGCTTTGTTCAGTGAATCTGGCTGAACGGGGCTCAAAAGGGACCCCCGGGACATTGCGACCGTCATAAATATGAGTCGCTTTTTTTCAGTGCTGTTGTAACTCCAAACGGTTGCTAAATGATCAATTGTAAGTTGGCCATCTGTAAATAGAGGAAAGAATAACCAATGGCCACTGGAGAGAAAAACACTGCTTTTTCCCTTTTAAAATCTCCCCAGCTGTGATCCTCTTTTGCGACCATTTGTCCCACCAAGTCAAAGCGGGGGGGGAGCCCATGGAACAGCTGCCGTGATGATCCCCTTAACAGCGGTGGCAAAAAAAGGTCGTAAAATGAGGCAACTTTCACTTAACAGCTCTCACTTAGTAGCAAGAGAAATCCTAATCTGAATTGTCGTAAGTCTAGGACTGCCTGTAGGATGAATATATATATATATTTGTAAAGAGCCCCAGTCTAAATCTGGGAGTCCGCAAATTGTTGCTACTGCCTTCTAAAAGATGTTGCTTGTTTTCGTAACGCCTTTGCTTCTCTCTTGCTTTCTTCTTTTCCCCCCTTTTTTCCCCTCCTGCCTCTCTCTCTCTCGCTCGTCTCTCTTCCTCGCTGCCTTAACGGGCTTCTCGTTCCGCCAAGCTACGGCGTCTGCGATGCCAGCCACCTCTCTCTTTCCGAAGCCTACTGGAGACAGGATTCAGCCGGTTCGCCTCTGGAAAACCTCGTCACCTCCCTGGCTGCCGCCGCCAGCGCAATGGAGCAGAATCTTCCCGCCCCGCAGGCCTCAGTGCCTTCGCACCCGCACATCAACGGGCACGGAGTGGGCGCCCCTGAGCATCCTTAAAAGGGATTTCCCCCCTCGCTCCTTGCATTTCAACAATAAACTTTAGCAACCAAAATGTCGGGCACAATTCGTAAGCTGAGGGTGCTACCTGTATGCGTATGGGGATTTACTTGGTGTTTTCAGTCCTCGACTTATAACAATTCATGCAGCGACGGTACTGAAAAGACCGTTTTTCACACTGACGATCGTTGCAGCCTCTGGCATCTGGTTCATATTTACGATGGGCGTAGCATCCCGGGGTGTCACGCAATTCCCTTTTGTGACCTACTGACGAGTGAAGTCCACACGGAAGCCATTCGCTTAATAACCGGCTTAATTACTAGCTTCACAATTGCATCGATTCACTACAACGGTAGCAAGAAAGCCAGAAGACGGAGCAAAACTCACTCAGCTGCCATCTCCCTTAGCAGCAGAAATGATTGGGCTCCGTCGTAAGTCGAGGACTATCTGTAGCAGCTGTCTTCTTGTCGTTTCTGTGTTTGCAATGCCGTTTTGATATTCTGGAAAGCTTTTTTGTTTGTTTGTTTCTTTGAGAAGATATTTAACATCATAACCCAGAGACGTTTTTAAGGGGATGCTCAGACTAGGGGGGAAAAATGACCTCTCTGTTGTTGTGAGATCTCTTTTTCTGTGACTTCGAGAAGGAGAAAACCTCAGGCCCCCAAATACTGCTGAGTGACAAACCCCAAAATACCCAGCCAACAGAGTTTAAGGTTCCCGGACAGTGATAGTTAAAGAGACCTACAGCTTTTCCACCAGACGTGATTTTAAAAATCAGGTAACCTTAAAGAGACATTTAACAGTGTTGAAAATGTGAAAGACACCAATGGGGTTTTTCTTCCATTTATGGAAAACTTTACAGTTTTTTTTAAAAAAATATTTTTTCTCATTGTACGAGGCTGTTGAAATAAAGGTAGCTGAGTTTGGTTACTGCCCAGGGCGTGGATAATTCTTTCCAACACAAAAGATGCGAACCAGGAAAGTTGAAAGACTGCCACAAAACGGAACTGTAAAAATAAGGTGTTTGTTTTGGTGGGTCATTTATGATGTTGTTAGTCGCAAAATTGTGTCCGACCCATCGTGACCCCATGGACAACGTTCCTCCAGGCCTCCCTGTCCTCTACCATCCTCTGGAGTCCATTTAAGCTCACGCCGACTGCTTCAATGACTCCATCCAGGCACCTCGTTCCTTGCCGTCCCCTTCTTCTTTCCCAGCATGAGGCTCTTCTCCAGCGAGTCCTTCCTTCTCATTAGGTGGCCAAAGTATTTGAGATTCCTCTTCAGGATCTGGCCTTCTAAGGAGCAGTCAGGGTTGATCTCCTCTAGGACTGACCGGTTGGATCGCCTTGCAATCCAAGGGACTTGCAGGAGTCTTCTCCAGCACCAGAGTTCAAAGGCCTCCATTCTTTGGCGTTCAGTCTTTCTTATGGTCCAACTTTCCCAGCCATCCATTGCAACTGGGAAAACCATCGCCTTGACTGTACACACAGGGTGATGTCTCTGCTTTTTAGTACGCTGTCTAGATTCGCCATAGCTTTCATTTATATACTGAACTGCAAAAGGCAGATGTTTGAAAGGAGGTCACAAAACCAAACCAAGTAAGTTTTATTTGGGTGGGTTAGTTTATGTTCTAGGGCAGGGGTCAGCAACCTGCAGCTCTGGAGCCGCATGTGGCTCTTTCACCCCTCTGCTGCGGCTCCCTGTCACTCAAAATATGCATCACAACCGCCAATGTGCGATACCCACCGACACACGATTTATTGAGCTTTTCAATCCCCTGGTAGGCCAACCATGGATAAATCCAAGAAAAGAAAAGTTTCAGAAGAAATCAGAACGTTTAATTCAACTACATATGCTAGTTTTGTGGCCGGTCAAGAAATAGTCAGGCACGGGAAGGGTTTTGTGGCTCCCGGTGTTTTCTTTTCTGTGGGAAACGGGTCCAAATGGCTCTTTTGAGTGGTTTAAGGTTGCAGACCCCTGGGTTATATCGTTTAAACTAGCAAGCTCTTGCATAGACAGTTGCAATCCCTAGCAGTTGCAATCCTAAAAATTCTTATTGGAAACTATTCTTTCCAGTACTGCCTCTGGTTTTACAAATCTTAGCCTCTTAGGCTCTTTTTGAGTGTTTAAGGTTGCAGAGCCCTGTTCTAGTGAGTCCTTTGGAGTGTGTGTGTGTGTGTGTGTGTGTGTGTGTGTGCAGACCAATTCTTCAGTTTTCAAAAGTATTTTTTAATGGGTGGAAAGTGATAGTTTTAACTTCACAGGATGCCATGCATTAAAAAAAAATGCAAAACACATGCCACTAAAATGCCAGCTGCTTTGTGGTTTGCTTAGTTAAAAAGAAAAGAAAAGAAAAGTCAAAACTAGCATGGAAAATCTGCACCCTGAGCCAGATTTTTTCATTTTCATTGTATTGAATTTGTATACCGCAAATTCTACTCCCGAAGGACTCAGGGCGGTGAACAGCCGTAGAATAAAACATATAAATACAAAATTTAAAACGAAATTAAATAATTTGGCTGAACCCAAATTTAAAACCCCAATAATTTAAAAGCAAATTTAAAATTTCCACTTAAAAAGGGGAAAGACTTAGGTGAGTTTATTTCTCTTTGCCTATTATTTTCTCTGAGTTTATTGAAAGGACTGGGCTGCTTTAAGTAAAACGTTCCCAATCCAATATATCTAGCCCGATCCTCTGGATTGCAGAGAAAGCCTCTCGGTCGGGATCCCGGGGAAGCGCGCGCACGAGATGCGCAAAAAAAAGAAGAAGAAAAATACCCAACCACGTGCGCAAAAGCTTTCCCCCCTTTTGCTCCGCCCCTTCCCCTGCCTTGGCCCCAGCCCCTCCGCCATCCCATAACCTCCCCAGGCTGCAGGGATCGAGCCCCGAGCTGGGTTGCAAAGGGATCGGATGGGATGGGTGGATGGATCGATTGGAGAGCCTGCCTGCCTGCCTCTCCAGCCACGTGGGGGCGAAGCGGCTGCTGGACTGCGCCCTGCTTTTGCGCCCTCGATCCTGATCAGGCTCGCTCCGGATCCCACCAGCAGGTGATGGGATTTCTCTCCCCAGCCCCCCCGAAGCCTCCTTGGGCAGGGAATTTGGGGGTTTGGCTTGCTAACTGATCTATCGACCTTGCCCTTTCTTTCTTTCTTTCTTTCTTTCTTTCTTTCTTTCTTTCTTTCTTTCTTTCTTTCTTCCTTCTTCCTTTCTTCTCTCTCTTCCTCCTTCCTTCCTCCTTCCCTTCCTTTCTTCTTTCCTTCCTTCCTCCCTCCCTCCCTTCCTTCTTCCTTTCTCCCCTCCCTTCCTTCTTCCTTTCTCCCCTCCCTTCCTTCTTTCCTTCCTTTCTTCCCTCCCGTCCTCCTTCTTTCCTTCCTTCTTCCTTCCTTCCTTCTTCCTTTCTCCCCTCCCTCCCCTCCCTCCCTCCCTTCCTTTCTTCCCCTCTCCCACCTGTCCTCCTTCCTTCCTTTCTTCCTTCCTTCTTTCCTTCCTTCTTCCTTTCTCCCCTCCCTCCCTTCCTTCTCCTTCCTTCTTCCTTTCTCCCCTCCCCTCCTCCTCCCTTCCTTTCTTCCTTACTTCTTTCCTTCCTTCTTCCTTTCTCTCCTTCCTTCCTCTCTCCCCCTCTCTCCCGCCTGTCCTCCTTCCTTCCTTTCTTCCTTACTTCTTTCCTTCCTTCTTCCTTTCTCCCCCCCCTCCCTTCCTTCTCCTTCCTTCTTCCTTTCTCCCCTCCCCTCCTCCTCCCTTCCTTTCTTCCTTACTTCTTTCCTTCCTTCTTCCTTTCTCTCCTCTCCTTCCTCTCTCCTCCCTCCCTTCCTTCTTCCTTTCTTTCTTCCCTCCCTCCCTTCCTTCTCCTTCCTTCTTTCTTTCTCCCCTCCCCTCCCTTCCTTCTTCCTTTCTCCCCTCCCTTCATCCTCCCTCCCTCCTTCCTTCTTTCCTTCCTTCTTCCTTTTTTCCCTCCTGTCCTCCTCCCTTCCTTTTTCTTTTACTTACTTACTTACTTTCCATCAAGTGATTCTAGGCAGCATAGAACATGATAAAAATGACAAGATAAAACATCAAATGATAGATATTAACATTCGTCTAGCTTGACATAAAGTCTTCAAAATATTTATCAATTGAATCTTCCCTCCTGCGTTTTAAAAAGCAGGAATTTCACGATAAAACTCCCCCCCCCCCCCCCAATTGTTCATCGGTTGTTGTTTCTTTGTACAGGATTTCATCTCAGTGGCAAAACAGATGAAGGGCTGAACGGCGATGTGAAACCCTCATCGTTTCAGAGACGCTTTTTTTTCCTCCGGATAAAATCTGGTTTGATCTTGGTTGGGCATTGCTCTAAAATGGCCAACTTAGTTGCCACGGACTTTTACTTGCAAACACTGGCAAAGAAGATTTGCACCCAGGAACTCCGTGAACTGCCGAAAAGAAAGTTTGGTATGATTTCTGATACACCAATTGACCTCCTTGCTTTATCCTGGAACGTGGATGAGTCACATCCTGAGTTTTCCCCACTAATTTAATTTTAGTTTTTATTTTATTATTTATGGATTAAATTTATATGCCTCCAGTCTTACTGTTGAGCGACTCTGGGCGTTCGAAGGAAGATTCCAAACAGAACAGTAAAGTTATTTTCAGAAGGGTTGGGCAGAGCAGTAGCGGTTTATAGGTAAAAGTTCCCCTCGCACATATGTGCTAGTTGTTCCCGACTCTAGGGGTGGTGCTTATCTCTGGTTCAAAGCCGAAGAGCCAGCGCTGTCCAAAGACATCTCCATGGTGATGTGGCCGGCATGACTCAACGCCAAAGGCACACGGAACGCTGTTACCTTCCCACCAAAGGGGGTCCCTATTTTTTCTACTTGCATTTTTTACCTGCTTTCGAACTGCTAGGTTGGCAGAAACTGGGACAGGGAACGGGAGCTCACCCTGTTACGCAGCACTAGGGATTCGAACCACTGAACTGCCAACCTTTCAATCGACAAGCTCAGCATCTTAGCCCTTAGTAGGGGTTTAGGCAACCCTTATTTGTCTCAGAGATTAAAAGTCTTTTAAAGCTCGAATTGCAGCTTTCTATGCAATGTCACTAGGGGTTTTTTTCCCCCCTGTCTGATCATTTTATTAATTCAAGTGAATAAATAATAAATTCATTGCTCTGTTTACAAAGGAGTGCCTGGAAGCAAGCTGAGGGACGAGAGCACCGGGAAAAAGAAGAAGAAGAAGAAGAAGAAAGAAAAAAACCAGAAAAAGAAAAATACAGTAGAGGGTTCTAGGAGCAAATTCAGCCAAGCGTCGCCAGCCAAACCAGCAAGCTCTAATGCTAAGAAGCCAGGGTCAGTTACTGCAATCACATGCGCAGAAGAAAGAAATGGGAAAGAAATCTCAGTAACACCTGGCATTACAGGTAAGAATGTGATAGAAGGGGAAATGAGCCAATCTGGTCTAATGGTGAAGATGATGCTGACCTAGAAACCAGGAGGCTGGGAATTCTAGTCCTGCCTTAGGCATGAAAGTCAGCTGGGTGACTTTGGGCCAATCACCAGGAGACGTGAGTTCTAGTCCCACCTTAGGCATGAAATCCAGCTGGTGACTTTGGCCCAATCACCAGGAGACTGAGAGTTCTAGTCCCATTTTAATCATGAAGGTGGGCTAGATTTTTGGGCCAATTATCAGGAGACTGTGAGTTCTAGAACTGTGAGACATAAAAACCATCTGTGCCAATCACTAGGAGAGGTGAGTTTTAGCACAAAAACAAGCTGGATCGCTTTGGGCCAGTTACCAGGAGACGGTGAGTTGTAGTCCCACTTAAGGCGCAAAACCTGACTGGGTGACTTTGGGCCAATCACCAGAAGACAGAGAGTTCTAGTTCTGCCTTAGGCATGAAAGCCAGCTAGGTGACTTTGAGCCAGTCCCTCTCTTTCTCAGCCCAACCCACCTCACAGGATTGTTGTGAGGAAAATAAGAAGGGTGTGTTGTGGGGTGTTGCACGGGTGGGCTATAATTTTTAATCTTTTTTTATTAATCCACCCAGGGAATAAAAAGGCACCTGACACGAATTTCGCAATGGATTTCTTGCGGCAGAGGCTGCACAACAAAATTGAAGAAATATCTGGGAAGGTAGGATAGAGACATACGTTTTAAAGGTTAGCTTTCCAGGTCCAGAGGAAAATGAGTGTTATTCTGAATTTTACCTTCAGGCTGATATCACTTGTCTGGGAATATAACCATTGACTTTCTGGACAGGTACTGCAATGATTCCCTAATCCTCATGGGGAATGTTAAAATACAGGTAGTCCTCAACTTACAACTTTAGTTTAATGACTGTTGAAAATTACAAGGGCACTGAAGAAGTGACTTGTGGCCATTTTTCACACTTACGACCATTGCAGTCATGTGATCAAAATTCAGACGCTTTTGCAACCTTTCTGAGGAGCGCAGTCAGTGGGGAAGCCAGATTCACTTAACAACCAGGTTACTCTCTTATCAACTGCAGTGATTCACTGAACAACTGTGGCAAGAAAAGTCATGCAAAACGGGGCAAAAAAATCACTGAACAAATGTCTCACTTTCTACAAGCAAAATCGGTGGGGAAGCCCAGATTTGCTTAACAACCATGTGATTCATTTAACGATTCGCTTAACAACGGTTTAGTTTCCTTTATTGTCCTTGCACATCGTACGACGAAATTAACTATCACAAAAGTCATAAAATCAGGTACGACTCGCTTACCAACCACGTTGCTTACCAACAGAAACTCTGCTTCCAATTGTCGTTTGTCGACCACCTTTACTTCTTTCTTTTTTTTAATTCTTATTTATACATTTTTCTTTAAGGACTACCTGTAGTCTTTTTACCGGCAAAAAATAACATAGGCAGCTGGGCCAAATCTGAAAAACTTCTACTTAGCTAATTACATGCGTACAGGATTGAATTTCTAGGATTGCCACTTAATGATGGATGTTGGACACATGGCAGCTGCCAGAATTTCCAAATTTGGGTCTTTTTGTGTGGAGGTTCTGGAGTTATCATGCTAGGAACGAGATTGTCCACTTGTGTAGAGCAAGTCAAAATGATGTTTTGGATTGTTTCCTTTTTCTTGCAGGCTGGTGCCAAAGCTCTGTCACCCACCGTGCTGGAGAAGCGCCAGCGAAGGAAATACGAACGAGAGAGAAAGAAACGCCGGAGGAAAGAGATCAGAATGAAGGAGAAATTAGAGAAGGAAACAGCAGAAGAGGAGGAGGCGTCCGCCGTGGTTTCGGAGACCCAGGAGGCGGAGAGCAAACCTGACATCTTGTTTAACAAAGTGGAGGTCCATGCAGAAGAGGAGCTGAACAAAGTGAAGAAGAAGGAGGATAAAAGAAAATCCATCAAAGGCAACATAACACCACTGACCGGCAAGAATTATAAGCAACTCTTAAACCGGCTGGAATCTCGGAAAACCCAGCTGGAAGAGTTGAAGGCCAAAGATGAGGAGAAGGCTAAGGAGTTGGAGGCAAAGATGCAATGGACCAATGTCCTTTATAAGGCAGAAGGTGTGAAGATCCGCGATGACGAAGAGAAGCTGAAGGCCGCCCTGAAACGCAAGGAGAAGCGCAAGGCCCAGCGTCAGAGGAAGTGGGAAAAGCGGACAGAACAGGTGGTAGACCGAATGCAGCAACGGCAAGAGAAACGTCGCAAAAACATCCAGCAGAAGAAGCTGGCCAGGATCGAGAAGAAGAAGGCTAAAGCTCGGAAGAAAGGACGCATCCTTCCTGAAGATCTCAAGAAAGCTGGCCCTAACCGAAATTGAGTTTTTTTTTATTATTAAGTTTTTATTAGTGTATCAAAGTATAAAACGCAACAAAAAAAAGAGACGTGGAAAACTGACTTGAGATTTAACCCAATTTAGGTTTGAATGAACAATGTGGTGGACGTTAGAGAATCCGCAAAGATTTTCCTCTGAGCTGATGGGGTGTGGAGATGATGCAACCAAGTCTCTTTGGGTCAATCCTGGGTTTGAGGAGGACCTCAAGGGTGGCAGATTCTTCTTTCTGAAGTCTCTCAACCAAAGTTGAGTCATTGGATTGCCTCTTTCCAACTGTTACCAAATGATTGTTTCCTGTTTTAGGGAGTGAAGACTTGAAATTAAGTAGAATCGTGGGGTGAAAGGATGACATTTATCCTCTTAATCTGGGAAATAAATTGAATAAATTGAAGCAAGGAGGGGGATCATTAAACATTCTATCCTGGTCTGCATTCTCAGCTTGGTTGGTGACTTAATTTGGTATTTGGAACTGTTTGAATTTGAAATTTGAATTTGAATTTGAAAATTGAATTTGAATCCAATTGCCAAGATTTGTACAATGTGTTGAAAAGTAAACAAAACTGGACATTAAGTTTTGTAAATTCCTAGATTTTAACTGATCTGGTTAAACATACTACAGGATGCAGATTTTGTCAGGAACTGGCTTGGGGATGAATCTTTTGGCTACGTTTCCTGGAAATATGGGGTGTGCATCCCTCGGGACAAAAAAAAAAATAACAGAGTTGGAAGGGACCTTGGAGATTTTCTAGTCCAAACCCGTACTCAAGCAGGAGACCGTACACCATTCTGTCAAAAAGGCTATCCAATATCTTAAAATCCTCCATTGGTGGAATACACGGAACTTCTGAAAGCAAGCTGTTTCACTGGTTAATTATTCTGACTGTCAGGAAATTCCTCCTTAGTTCTAGATTGGATCTCTCCTTGCTTCCCTTGTGGCAGCCCTTCAAATATTGGACCACTGCTACTGTATCATATCACCCCTAGTCCTTTTCATAATACTAGACATACCCAATTCCTGCATCTGTTTTAGCTTCCAGCTCCCTAATCATTCCATTGCCCTTCTCTGAACTCTTTTTTCCAGAGTCTCAACATCTTTATTTATATCGTGGCAACCAAGACTGGATGCAATATTCCAAGTATGTTCTTATCAAGGCATTATGAAGTGGTATTAACACTTCACGTGATCTTGATTCTATCCCTCTGTTAATGCAGCCTAGAACTGTTGGCTTTTTTGGCAGTGCTGCACATACTTGAGTTGAATAAAGCTCACTCTATCCTGTTTTCAGTAGAATAGAATAGAATAGAATAGAATAGAATTTTTTATTGGCCAAGTGTGATTGGACACACAAGGAATTTGTCTTGGTGTACATGCTCTCAGTGTACATAAAAGAAAAGATACGTTCATAAAGAATCATAAGGTACAACACTTAATGATAGTCATAGGGTACAAATAAGCAATCAAATCATATTAGGAAACAGTATAAATCTTAAGGATATCAGCAACAAGGTTACAGTCATAAAGTCATAAGTGGGAGGAGATGGGTGGTGGGAACGATGAGAAGACTAATAGTAGTGCAGACTTCGTAAATAGTTTGACAGTGTTGAGGGAATTATTTGGTTAGCAGAGTGATGGCTGAATTTGCACATGACCAGTAGTGGTCATTGAAACGCACACACCTCTATCCAAGGTTTGATATGCCAAAGTGAAGCATCTTTGAATTCAAATATTTTTTTATATCTGATGGTTTGTCAGCGAGCACAAACATAGCTCTGATTAACATTAACTTTTGTAGCAAAAAAAATCAAAGGCAGGAGCTCTGGCAAGCTTGAAATCAGGCCATCCCACCCCGGCCTTAATCTGGAGATTAATCTCTTTTCAGCTCCATCATGCGTGATCCAAAATGGGTGAAATGCAGGGGTGAAATCCAGCAGGTTCTGACAGGTTCTGGAGAACCGGTAGCAGAAATTTGGAGCAGTTTGGAGAACCGCTAAATAGCACTTCTGGCTGGCCCCAGAGTGGGGAGGGAATGGGGATTTTTGCAGTATCCTTCCCCCAGGAGTGGGGTGGGGTGGGAATGGGGATTTTGCAATATCCTTCCCCTGGAGTGGGGAGGGAATGGGGATTTTGCAGTAACTTTTCCCTGGAGTGGGGAGGAAATGGAGATTTTGCAGTATCCTTCCCCTGGAGTGGGGAGGGAATGTTGATTTTGCAGTATCCTTCCCCTGGAGTGGGGAGGGAATGGAGACTTTGCTGTATCCTTCCCCTGGAGTGGGGTGGGAATGGGGATTTTGCAGTATCCTTCCCCTGGATACTGAAATGCACACTTTTTTGGCAATGCCAAACTGGTTTGATGCAAAAAATGGGGAGGGGGAAGACAACGGCTACCCCTTGGGAAGATGGACGGCCAATAAATTTGTTTATTTATCCCTGCCCGTTAATTGATTCTTCTCCCCCCTCCCCCTTATAAAGAGCATAAACGGGACAAGAGCATCCCCGCGCTCTTCCCTGTCTCTTGTCTCTCCCTGTCTCCCCTAGCAACCGCGGTGGCGTCTCCATGGCAACGGCTTTGGCAGAGGACCAGGAAGCCAGCCGGCTCGGGATTCCCGCGGGTTCTCGCGAGACGAAGGCCGCTCTTCGTCCCCGGCGCCTGGGGTTACCATGGAAACCGTTAGACGCGTGTTGGAGGTGGCCTTGTGAATGGCGGGCCGGCTCTGACGGGACGGTGGGGGGCGGGGGAGAGAGAGAGAGAGAATATATATATATATATATATATTATATTTGCTTTCTTTAATTGCTTCCTTTAGCTAACCCGGGAGTTGACGCCCCCGCCATGTGCAAATCCAGCAAGAGTTCCCACGTGCTCCCCATCACCACCACGGTGGGGGTCGCCCGGGTCCTGCCCAGCGGGAAGGTCTACAGGCAGATCTTCGACGACGAGGTGCGAAGAGAAGAGCCGCAAGGATGGAAGGGTTTCTTTCTTCCCGCCGCCTCAGCTTCGTGGCCCCATATGGGTCAACTAGGGCCTCTTCTCTAGTTTAAGAGGAATTTGGAGGTTGTTTTTTGTTTTTTTTTAATGTAAGGTGGAATTGTTTCCCACCCACCCCCCACCCCACACTCCCAAAAAAAAAAAAAAAAAAAAGGAATTCAGACAATGGGGCTTGGAAGAAGATTGCTTTCTCTCCCCCCCACCACCCTTTTTTTAATTTAATGTATTTTATTTGTTCAACTTGTATGCCGCCTTTCTCCAAAGACTCAGTTTTAGGCAGTTGAAGTTACTGCACACTTTAGCTGGAATGCCTGCCTGCCTTCCTTCCTTCCTTCCTTCCTTCCTTCTTCCTTCCTTCTTTCTCTCCTTTCATTCTCTCCTTCCTTCCTTCTCTCCTTCCTTCCTTCCTCTTATTCTCATCTCCTTCCTTCCTTCCTTCTTTCATTCTCTCCTTCCATCCTTCTCTCCTTCCTTCCTTCCTTCCTCTTATTCTCATCTTCTTCCTTCCTTCCTTTCATTCTCTCCATCCTTCTTCTTCCTTCCTCTTATTCTCATCTCCTTCCTTCCTTCTTTCATTCTCTCCTTCCTTCCTTCTCTCCTTCCTTTCTTTCTTCCTCTTATTCTCATCTCCTTCCTTCCTTCTTTCCTTCCATTTGCCTGCCTGCCTTTCTTCTACCCCTCTCTTCCTTTCTTTTATGTATTTATTTCTTCCTTTCTTTTATTCCTTCCTACCCTCCCTTGCTTCTTTCTCATCCTTTTCCTTTCTTTCTTCCTCCCTCCCTCCTTCCTTCCCTCCCTCCACGTTCTTTCTTTCTCTCTATTCTCCTGCCTGCCTTTCTTCCTACCCCTTCCTCCCTTCCTTCCCTCCCTCCACCTTCTTTCTTTCTCTTTACTATCCCGCCTGCCTGCCTTTCTCCTACCCCTCTCTTCTTTCTTTTATTCTGTATTTATTTTTTCCTTTCTTTTATTCCTTCTTCCTACCCTCCCCTTGCTTCTTTCTCATCCTTTTCCTTCCTTATTTTTCCCTCTTTCCCTCCCTCCACCTTCTTTCTTTTTTCTCCTGCCTGCCTTTCTTTCTACCCTTCCTTCCTCCCTCCCTCCACCTCCTTTCTTTCTCTCTATTCTCCTGCCTACCTGCCTGCCTTTCTTCCTAACCCTCTCTTCCTTTCTTTTATTCTATATATTTATTTTTTCCTTTTATTACTTCTTCGCACCCTCCCTTGCTTTCTTCTCTCTTTCTCATCTTTTTCCTTCCTTCCTCCTTCCCTCCACCTTCTTTCGTTCTATTCTCCTTCCTGCCTGTCTGATTTTCTTCCTAACCCTCCCTCCCTCCCTTTCCTCCCTCCCTCCTTCATTCCCATATCCTTCTTTCCTTCCTTCCTTCCTTTTAGAATTAAATTTCAAAAATAGGTGGTTAAAATACAAGATTATGACAAAAAATGAAAAATAGGGAGGGGGCAACGGAAAGTTTAAATAACGATATACACACACAAAAGGACATTAAAATATTCCTTCAGTTTTAATCATAGAATAAAATAATCTCTTGTATGCAAAGATGCAAAGCTAACTTAAAAAAAGGTTCATACCTAAGAATCAACTAATAACACCAATATATTATATCCCAGTCTCTTACTCTAAATAAAACATAGAACGCATAAATGCATAATTAGAGTTCTACAAATGCACATAACAGTACTAGATACTTCTGTAATCAAATATGTGTAATCATCTGTTTTTGAATTTAAGGAAAACATAAGACATAAACATATAAAACTCCCAACCACATCCAGTATTTCTGTAGACACAACAAATCTAATCATCAAATCCCAGAATCAAAACTTAATTTTTATTTTTATCAAGCAAAATGTCCCAAGGTGCTCTCCATCTAGAAAGAACAATAGCCCAAAAAATTTATCTTTAATCAAAGTGGCCAGTTTTGTCATTTTACTAGTCTTATCAATGTATTCTTGTTCTTTTTCCTTCTTTTCTTATCTTTGTTTTGTTTAAATTTCCTTTTTGCTTCTTTGTTTTGGTTCATGGTTGTGAGCTGCCTAGAGTATCTCTGTGGCAAAATAGCTAGTAAATAAATGTAATAATAATAATAATAATAATAATAAATAATAATAATAATCTCAGCCACTTCTCTTTTTCTTCTCTTTTCTGTTTTGCTTTGCCAAGATCAACCTGGTGCACGCTCTGGGGCGGGCTAGGAGCAAGATCACCCAGCACAAAGTCCTTCCAGGAAAGATCCCGTTGGTGAGAGATTTGGAAAAAAGAGCCAGCTATGGATTCTTGTCCGAACGCCAACAGATGTGGATCGAGGCAATGCCCAACGATCAGCTCACTGAAAATCCAGTGCAGTACAAGTAAGGAAGGTCAACATGAGCAGAATGGAGACTTTGCGGCTAAGCAAAGTGGGTTTTAAGTGAATCACAACCAATTTTACGACCCTTTTGCCACGGTTGTTAAGTGAATCACTGCAATGGTTAAGTACAAGTAGTCCTCGACATACAACAGTTCATTTAGGGACCGTTCGAAGTTATAGCGGCACTTAAAAAAAAAGTGGCTTACTACCGTTTTTCACTCTGATGACCGTTGCAGCATCTCCATGATCACGAGATCAAAATTACCGTAGGACTCTTGGCCACTGACTCGTATTTATGACGGTTGTAGTGTCCCGGTGTCATGTGATCCTCTTTTGCGACCTTCTTGACAAAGTTAATGGGGATTCACTTAACCGTGTGACTAACTCAGGGATCAGCAACCCGAGGCTCTAGAGCCACATGTGGCTCTTTCATCCCTCTGCTGCGGCTCCCTGTCGCCAGTTGGCTCTACAATTGATAGGGCTTTCGGTTAGGACAGGTGGAGGAAAAAGGACGCTGCGCTAGGAGGAGACTATGGTGGGGGAACCGGACTTCTGGTCGGCAGAGGAAAAAGGATGCCACGCTAGGAGGAGACTCTATGGTGAGGGGCTTCCAGTTAGGACCTTTGTAGCTCTGAGTATTTAAGGTTGCCGACCCCTGGACTAACTGAACAATGACAAGTGATTCGCTTGTGGCAGAAAAGTTCGCAAAATGGGACTAAACAAATGTTCCCGCTTATCAACAGAAATGTTGGGCTCCATTGCGGTTGTATGTCAAGGACTACCTGTAAGTCACACGGTTGTTAAGCGGAATCCAGCTATTGACTTTGCTTCTGGGAAGCCAGCTGGGAAGGCTTAGCCAATGGCGACATGTCTTTTTTTCTAAGAAACGGCTCAGCTCAATTTCAACGTTTCCCCTTTTCCGTGGCAGGGAGGCTATGACTCTGGCACACGTGAAGGCTAAAGAGAACGAGAGTGTAATTGCTGCGCGGGAAGTCAGAGGCCTTGCCGATGTCATCGGTAAATATTAACATTTTAATTGTGGACATTGCTGTTTGTGCTGAACTGAAACCTCTGGGTTTTATTTATTTATTTAGTTAGTTAGTTATATCACTGCAAAGCCCCATTTAGGATCCTGGAAGAAGAATCTTATTTATTTTTACCTTGCCTTTATTATTTTTATAAATCACTCCAGACAATGAAACTACCTAATACTCTTTCCTCCTCCTATTTTCCCCATAACAACAACCCTGTAAGAGAGAGGGACTGGCCCCAAATCAACCAGCCAGCTTTCGTGTCTAAAACAGGACTAGAACTCCCAGTCTCCTGGTGACTGGACTATAGTTACCCAGCTGGTTTTCAGGCTAAGTCAGGACTAGAACTCACCATCTCCTGATGAGTGGCCCAAAGTGAACCTGCTGGCTTTCATGCCTAAGGCAAGACTAGAACTCCCAGTCTCCTGGTGACTGGACTATACTTACCTAGCTGATTTTCAGGGCTAAATCAGGACTAGAACTCACCATCTGATGAGTGGCCCAAAGTGAACCTGCTGGCTTTCATGCCTAAGGCAAGACTAGAACTCCCAGACTCTTAGTGGTTGGCCCAAAGGCTTTTGTGCCTGACTAGAACTCCCCATCTCCTGGTTTCTAGCCCGGTGCCTTAACCACTAGACCAAACTGCTTCTCCAATCTGACTTTTTTTTCTATTTTTGTGCCTGTTTAAGAAGTTCAGGAAACAGCCTTTCCCCAGATCCAGCCTCTTAATACCCAATAATTAAACAAACGGGGCTTAACCTGATCACTGTCTGAAATCCATCCTTTCAGTTCCAGAGAAAAGAACCAGCAATATCGTGGCGCGTATCTACGAGAACAAAAAGTTGTGTTACGAAGAAATTGTGGCCCAGTTCAGGCAGGAACTAGCAAGCATCGGAAAGGTGAGGCGGCTGTTTTAAGTTCAAGCCAGATTTTTCCTTCTTATAAGGTTGCTTAGCGCATTGTAAGCCGCCCTGAGTTCCGGAGAAGGGCGGCATATAAATCAAATTAAAAAAAAAAAAAAAGGTAGTCCTTGACTTACGACCAGTAGTTTAAAGAGAAAAAGAAAAAAAAAATCCCATTCAGATGAGTGGGTTTGGATTTACGACTGCAAGAATCACTTCACAACTGCCGTCAAAAATGGTTGAGAAATCAGGTCCGATTGTGTCTCAACTTAGGGCCGGAATTTCAGTCCCAATTTGTGGTCGTAAATCGAGGGACGACCTGTAATCATGTCAGAACCCAAGCTGGTCCCGATTTATCTGTCGAAAAAAAACCCAACCACTTTTGTTTTCAGGAAATGGAAGAATGTTATGTGAAGCCTGGGAAATTATTGTTGACCCAGTTGCAAGAATCAGATGAGGCTTTTGAATCCTATTTTCATGCCTCTGAAAATGACGTCACTTTAATCTCCTACACCATAGAGGTAAGTGGATGCTTCCTTTTCCAAAAATCTCGGTCACCAGTGCTTCATTTTCCCACTTTGGGAGCAAATAAAACCAGCTGTGGAGTTTGATCCAGGCCATTTTTCTAAATTTTCTGCAGAAAATTACCCGTGGCGGGATGTTTTTCTTTCTAAAACTGCTGATTGCCGCATCTTTCTGAGAGAACTACTACATGCAGTTCTCAACTTACAGCTATTTGTTTAGTGACCGTTGGAAGTTACAACGGCACTGATAAAGGTGACTTAGGACCATTTTTCATACTTAACGACCATTGCAGTATCCCCACAGTCACGTGATCAAAATTCAGATGACAACCGACTCGTATTTATGACCGTCGCAGTGCCCCGGGGTCATGTGACCCCCTTTTGCGACGTTCTGACGAGGTCATAAAATGAGGTAAAATTCACTTTGCCTTGCTTAGCAAACAGAAATTTGGGGCTCAATTGTTGTCGTAAGTTGAGAACTATCTGTAGCTTGGTTCCATTTTTCCATGGAAACCTGAAGTGAAAACTAATTCTGGAATAGCATCCTAAACCTGCCTTTCTCCAGAATAAAAGGAGAAAGAGAAAGGGAACATGTGATTAGCTGTCTTAAAGCTTCATTTGCAAAAAGATTTTGTGTCGTTACGCCGTTTGGTTACAAGACATCCCTTGTGAATGGCAGTGGTGTCACGGCGTATCCTTTCTTTGCAGGACTTTGAGAAAATGTGGGCCTTTTTCTTCCAAGATACCCAGCAAAGAAGGCAGTGGATTCGAGAACTGGATGATGCTTTACGCCAGGCTGAGGTGTACCGAGCAGAACGGGTGAGTCACACTGGAAGAGGAGGCCTAAATTTATAAAGAGAAGACGGGGGTCGACCTATTCTCCAAAGCACCTGAAGGCAGAACAAGAAGCAATGGATGGAAAGTTCTCAAGGAGATGAACAACCTAGAAATAAAGGGGGGAAAATCCTAACAGTGAGGACAATTAATCAGTGGAATGGCTTCCCTCCAGAAGTTGTGAATGTTCCATCACTGGGCAGCCATTTGCCTGGAATTTGTCTTCCCCTTCGGATTCAGACTTCGACAGGAGCATGACAGATAGATAGAGAGAGAGAGAGGGAGGGAGGGAGGGAGAGAGGCTTCACAGTGCTTTTACAGCCTCTCTTTAAGCGCTTTACAGAGTCAGCACCTTGCCCCCCAACAATTTGGGTCCTCATTTAACCCACCTTGGAAGGATGGAAGGTTGAATCAACCTCAAGCCGGTCAGGATCGAACTGCTGAACTGCTGATAAGCCGGCAGTCAGCAGAAGTAGCCTGCAGTACTGCATTCTAACCACTGCGCCAAGAATCAATTGAATGATAGGACCGTGAAGGCAAACCTATGGAGCCATCTCTGTGGGCACGCAAGCATTTCCCTAGGTCAGCTCCAGCGTGCATGCGCGCACCGGCCAGCTCATTTTCAGGCCTTCTGGGCCCACCGGAAGTCAGGAAACGAGCCATTTCTGGCCTCCAGACGGGTGAGGAAGGCTGTTTTAGCCCTCCCCAGGCTCCAGACGCTTTCTCTGAGGGGGAGTGGGGTGGGGTGGGGAAGCTCAGTGGGGTCGCGCACATGCGTGGGGTGGCAGTGAATTATGGGTGTCGCACGTGCGCGACCCCACTGAGCTTCCCCGCTTTTGGCACACGGCGGCAAAAGCATTAGCCACCACTGATAAAGGATGTCCTGCTTGAGCAGGGAGTTCAAAACCTGCGAGGTCTCTTCCGACCCTGCTCTCCTCTTACCTTCTTCTCCGTCGTTTGCATTTCCAGATCACATTCGTCTTGAGCAAATACACCAAGATGCTAGAGGACACAGCCTATCACTTATCCTCAGATGTCCACAGATTCGTACACAAGGAAGCCATGGTAAAATCCTTCCCTTTGTGATCTGTGTGTGTGTGTGTGTGTGTGTGTGTGTGTGTGTGTGTGTGTGTGTGTGTGTGTGTCTACAGCAAGAATCCATTGAAACATCATACAGGTAATCCTTGGCTTACCACCATTCATTTACTGACGGTTCCGAGTTACGACGGCATTATAAAAAGTGACAGGTGACCGGTTTTCCAAATTACGGCCGGTAATCCGTGGTCAGGTGAGCAAATTCGGATGCCGGGCAAGTGGCAGGCATTTATGATGGTTGCAGTGTCCTGGGGTCACAACTTAAACATACATATATTCTACTTCTGAGCATAATAATAAGAGCCTTGGTGGCGCAGCAGACTAAAGTGCTGTTAAGTAGCACTTAGCTGCCTGCAATTACTGTGAGTTCAAATCTCACCAGGCTCAAGGTTGACTCAGCCTTCCATCCTTTCGAGGTAGGTAAAATGAGGACCCGGATTGTGGGGGCAATAAGCTGACTTTGTATAAAAAAAGAACACCGCTTAGGGGGGCCGAAAGCCCTACTAAGTAGGTATCTACAAAAGTATGAAGGCTATTGCTTAATGCATTGTAAGCCGCCCTGAGTCTCCGGAGAAGGGCGGCATATAAATCAAACCAATAAATGAATAAATAAATAAAATAATTGAGCCCAACATCTCTGTGGCTAAACAAGACAATTGCTAAGTGGGTTTTATGGCCCATTTTACGACCTTTCCCGCCCCTGCCGTTGTAAAATTAGCGGCCCCATTGTTCAGTGAATCCACTGACTTCCCTGGTCAGACGGTCGCGAAAGGAGATCACGGGACATTGCAACCGTCGTAAGTACATGCCAGTTGCCAAGCCTTTGAATTTTGACCCTGGGGATAAGCGTGAAAAACGTTCCTAGGTCACCTTTTTTTTTTTTTTCCCAGCGCCGTTGTAACTTTCGAACGGTCACTAAGCAAGTGGTTGTAAGTCGGGGGGGGGCGCCGATCAACCTAACGGGCTGCCCCCTATCTACTCGTAGATGATCAACCAAGCGATCCTGGCCAATCGGAAGGCGATCTCTAAGTTGTTCCTGAACCTGATGGAGGCTGACCTCCAGAGGGATTCTTTCTATCGCTATCAGCTGGAAGAGAGGAAGGAGATCTGGAAAGCCGTGCAGAAGAAGCATATCGTTTCCAGTTTCCGGTGAGGAGCGTGGCAACGGAGGGGAGAAGGGCAGGGGGCTCTTAACCTTAGGAGGCAACCTGGCTGAAGGTCTTGTGAATCCCAGAAATGGCAGGTGACAAGGCTTATTCAGTCCAGGATAGGAGATGATCTAGCACAGGCGTGTCAAACTCAATTTCATCGAGGGCTGCATCAGGGTTGTGTTTGACCTTGGGGGTGTGTGCAAGGGGGCATGGCCAGCTCAACATCAATGTGGCAGCCCGAGCTCCGTTTTTAGTTGCAATGGCCTCCTGCAATCCTCTGCCAGTGAAAACGGAGCTCCGGAGGGCTGCACGCAGCCCTCCCGAGCTCTGGTAGCGCAGCAGCAGACTAAAGCACTGTTATTAACATCAGCTGCCTGCAATTACTGCAAGTTCAAATCTCACCAGGCTCAAGGTCAACTCAGCCTTCCATCCTTTCTAAGGTAGGTAAAATGAGGACCCGGATTGTGGGGGCAATAAGCTGACTTTGTATAAAATATACAAAAGGATGAAGGCTATTGCTTAACACATTGTAAGCCGCCCTGAGTCTCCGGAGAAGGGCGGCATATAAATCAAATTAAAAAAAAAAAAGAGAGAGAGAGATTAGGATCTCCTCCTCTGCCGTCCCCGTCTCCTTTTGCCTTCCATCTTTCCCATCAAGTTGGCTACATTTGAGTAAACCACTCCATCCTCCTCCTCATTCTCCTCCTCTGCCACCTCCCCCTCCTCCGCCTCCTTCCATACCCCAGTCCCTTCTAATATTGATGATGTTACGTAGTTGGGTCATGAAACGTCCACCAAGCTCAGAGAGCACCAAGAACCCCACAGTCCTTCTCCTCCTCTGCCCCCTCCGCCTCCTTCCACACCCCAACCCCTTCTAATACTGATGATGTTACGTAGTTGGGTCATGAAACGTCCACCAAGCTCAGAGAGCACCAAGGACCCCACAGCGGTCCTCTCTCTCTCCTGATTCTGCAGAACATAGTTTTAAAAAAATGTTGACCTACCAAATAAAACTACAATCGGCATCTTCTTTGGAGGGGGGGGGGGGGAGGTCTTCTGAAAGCTTTTCCTTTTTTTTTTTTTTTTTTAATAAGAAAACCAAGCCCTCCTCTTTTCCTCGTCTGACGCTTGCTTTTTAATCTTACAGAGAGTTTATGGAAAGCGAAAGGATACAGAACCCAAGTTCTGTGAATGTGGAAGTGGAGAGCATGCTAGAGGATCAGCGATCTCTGGCCCAAAAAAGGAACGAGCATTTACTCTCCCTGGGGTAGGTGAACATAAAAAAATATATAAAATATAAATATATAAATATATAAAGAAATATAAAAATAAGAATGCAGCTTCTTTTCTGGGGAGGGGCCCAGACCTGGCCAAGCGAGGCTGGAAGGAACTGTTCCAATGACAGGTAGTCCTCAATTTACAACCACAACTGAGGTCAAAATTTCTGTCGCTGAGGGAAGCATTTGTTCAGTGAATCTTCCAACGGTCACTAAACGAACCGTTGTAAGTCAAGGACTACCCATAGACTAGCAGCCGGCTACCATCCCAAAAGACGCAGGCGGTCCTTGACCTACGACCCCAATTCAGCCCAAACTATCCGCTGCTGTGCAAGACAGCTGTTAAGCCAGCTTTGCCCTATTTTACGACCTTTCTTGCCACGGTTCTTAAGCGGATCACCACAATTGTTAACGTTAGTAGCACGGTTGTTAAGCGAATCCAGCTTCCCCATCCCCCCGTGGTCTTTGCTTGTCTGAAGGTTGACAATCACGTGACAACACCCCCCCCCACAGGACACTGCAACCGTCATAAATGCGAGCCAGTTGCCAAGCGAAAAGTTGCCGTGTTGAAAAGGTGGCCCTTTTGCCAGAAATCCTTGCCCCCCCTCCCCAATTCTACCAATTTTTCAAGGGTCTTCCCCTTCTCCTTTCACCCAAACCTTGCTTGTTTCCACCTAAATGAAGACCTCCTTCTCTTCAAGGTGTTTTCGCTTCCCTTTTTTTCCCCCCCTTCCTTTCATAGCTCTTTGTTGCCTTTGAAGCATACCAAGGCCGAAATCAACGAATGGTACGAGGCGCTGGTGGAATTAAATAAACGGATCGGTAAGGAGGATCGCGAGGATGATGACGGTGATGGATGGGCGTTTTATCTCCCGCATTCAGGGGCCTTCCCTGATTCCTTCCCTAAAACAACAGCCCTGTGGGGTAGGCTGGGCAGTTGAGTTGAGACTTGAGGTTCCTTTCTCATAAGTCAACACCGCTAGTGGCATATTATACCGCCTGCCAGTAGCCTGGATTTTATAAAGGCATTCGCAAAGTCACTCTTTCCCTCTTGTTTCCTTTCTTGTTTCCTTTCTTCTTTCTCTCTTTCTATCTCTCTCTCTCTCTTCATTCTTTCCTTCCTTCCTTCTTTCTTTCCTTCCCCCTCCTTTCCTTTCTCCTCCCTCCCTCCCTTCTTTCATTCTTTCATTCCTTCCCCTTCCCTCCCTTCCTCTGTCCCCTCCCTCCTTCCTTCCCCCCCTTCCTCCCTCTTCTCACCTCCCTCCCTACCCTTCCTTTCCTTCCTTCTTTCTTTCTTTCTTTCTTTTTTCCTCCTTCCTTCCTCCTTTCCTTCCTTCCTCCCTTCTTTCCTTATTTCATTCCTTCCGCTTCCCTCCCTCCCTCCATCCCCTCCCTTCCTCCTTCCTTCCTTCCCCCCTTCCTCCCTCTTTTCACCTCTCTCCATCTTCCTTCCTTCCTTCTTTCCTTCTCCTTCCTCCTTCCTCCTTCCTTCCTTCCATTCTTCCCTCTCTCCCTCCCAATTCTTTCTTCCTTCCTCCCTCCTTTTTCCTTCCTTCCTTAATTCCTTCCTTTCTTCCTTTCTTTCTTTCTCACCTCAAGACACTCACAACGTCCAGTCCATGATGAGAATTCGCCTCCAGTATGAGAAGGTTTGTCAGGAGTGTTTGGAAAAACTCCAGGAATGCAAGGTGAGTTTTAAAATAGGTGCGGGGCATAAGGTGTTTCCTAAGCTTTGGTGATCTTGTTGTCCCTTTAAAAAAAAAAAATGGAAATGTGATTTTTAGAGAGGGAGAAAACTAGCTGAATGAAGTGAATTGTACCACATTTGACAGCCTCTCTTGCCAAAGTCGTTAAGCTAGTCACACAGTTGTTAAGTGAATCTGGCTTCCCCATTGACTGCTTGCCAGAAGATCTCAAAAGGAGATCATGTGACCCCGGGACACTTCAACCGTCATAAATACGAGTCATTTGCCAAGCGTCTGAATTTCGATCACGTGACCACGGGGCTGCTGCAACGGTCATAAGTGTGAAAAACTGTCATAAGTCACTTTTTTCAGTACCATTATAACTTTGAATGGTGACTAAACAAACTGAATTATCCGTATCCTCAATCTAAAACTATTGATTGGGCAATTTCAAATGTAAATCAATATAAGAAAACAATCATTCTTCCTTTGAATAAATACAAAGTTATTTATTTTTTTGGATACCAGATGTGTCATGGAAATGATTAGGAGGCCTTGGGTGCTTAGAAATTGCAAGCCAACAACTCAATTCTTTTTTTTTTTCCCCCTCTCCCTCCCTCTAGCAAAATCTGATAGACCTGAAGATTTGTACCCCCAAAGAGGCTGAGAAGATTGTAAACCCCAATTTCTATCAGTTAATCGGGAAGCTGCAGCTTCAATTTGAAATCAAGATAGATAAGATGGACGTAAGTGTAGCCCTCTCTCTCCCATCAAAGGGACAGGGAGATTCATTAAAAGAAAGGGGAAATGAGGGAGAGGGGGAAGGAAATGGGAAAATCTCATTAAAAGAAATGGGAAAGAGACAGTTTGGTCTAGTGGCTAAAGCAGTGGTGAAATCCGAACCAGTTTACTACTAGTCCACTGGCCACAGATGCTGAGTATGCACCAAAAGGAGGCTTGGGAAGGTTAGTAGAGGAGCGAGTGGGGCGGATCAGCTGTGGCGTGCGATTTAGCTTTGCTAGAAAGCAGGATCTCCTGCTTTCTAGCAAAGCTAAACCCCGCTGCACAGCTGATTGTCGGAAATACCAGTTCGGAGGAACCAGTAGCTTTTTTAAACTACCGTTTCGCCCAAACTGGTAGCTTTTTTTTTTTTTTTACTACCGGTTTGCCCGATAGTTTTTATCACTACTGGTTCGCCCAAACAGGAGCGAACCGGTAGCATTTCACCACTGGGCTTAAGCACAAAAGTCACGTGGGTGACTTTGGTTCAATCACCAGGAGACTGGGAGTTCTAGTCCTGCCTTAGGCATGAAAGACAGCTGTTTGATTTGGGGCTCAATCACCAGGAGATGGTGAGTTCTAGTCCTGACTTAGCCTTGAAAATCAGCTGGGCAACTATAGTCCAGTCACCAGGAGACTGGGAGTTCTAGTCCTGCCTTAGGCATGAAAGACAACTGGGTGACTTTGGGGCCAATCACCAGGAGACAGTGAGTTCTAGTCCTGACTTAGCCCAGAAAATCAGCTGGGTAACAATAGTCCAGTCACCAGGAGACTGGGAGTTCTAGTCCTGCCTTAGGCATGAAAGCCAGCTGGCTAATTTGGGGCTCAATCACCAGGAGACGGTGAGTTCTAGTCCTGACTTAGCCCTGAAAATCACCTGGGTAACTATGATCCAATCACCAGGAGACTGGGAGTTCTAGTCCTGCTTTAGACACGAAAGCCAGCCGGGTGACTTTGAGCCAGTCCCCTTCTCTCAGCCGGGGCCACCTCACAGGATTGTTGTGGGAAAAATAGGAGGGGGAAGGTACATTACGTATGTTCACAGCCTTTTATCAAAATAATAAAGGCAGGATTGAAATGAAATTTTAAATCTGGGAGAAAATCTCTTTCCCTGGGCAGCTTTTTTCTTTTTCCGGATTCAGTTTTTCCTCCTAGCCTTCCCTGGTCAGGACTGTCTCCTTTCCCATCCCCACCACGGATCTTTTCCTCGTTCTTCCCAACTCTTCCAGGCTGACTTGGAGCACTTGGTTAAAATCAGCGAAATCAACTGCAGGCACCTCTATCAGTACTTCCAAGATGTCCTGGCTATCTTTGATTTCCACCAGCAGAAACTCAGCCAACAGGACAACAATCTTCAGAAAGCTTTAAACGATTGTCGTGTCAAGCACGAAAATATGAACAAGGTCCGAGCACTGGTCCCAGTTTGGGGATGGGTGAGGTTGTCCGGGAGGAAACACTGCAAATTATTATTATTATTTTTTTGCAAACACTACAGAATTTGGATCCTGGGTATAGCTCTGGAGAGGACCTCCAAGGACCAAGTTTCCTGCCCTCCATTTAGTTTTCTAAGGTCCTTTCTGTCTAATTTGAAAAATTCTCTAGAAGATGCAGACCGCTGTCTGCCTTGCCCTCTCCCGTTTTTGGAGGATGCAAAAAGAACAAAATTATTTTGGCCTGATCTGCTTTTTAACAAATGGGGCTTTGTTTTTTTGGGGGAGAGGAAGCTGTCAACTTTAGAATTATGGTGGGGTCCTTGGTGCTCTCTGAGCTTGGTTGTTTTTTTTTTTCCAGACATTTCATGACCCAGCTAGGTAACATCATCAGTGCTACAAGGAGTGGGGTTTGCTCTCGGCTTATATAGAGTGGCTTGCCCTGTCAATATTGGTGGGAGTGTTCGTGGTGGTTCCTTGATTAGACTTCTGTTTATAGTTCGATCATTTGTCTGAGTTGGTAGTTCTTTGTTTGGGGGTATTGAGCAAATCCCACTCCCTTCTAGCACTGATGATGTTACCTACTTGGGTCATGAAACATCTACAACAAAAACAACCAAAGTCACAGAGCACCAAAACCACCACCATCTCCTCCTCCTCCTCTCCCTCCTCCTCCTTTCCTCCTTCTCTTTCTTCTCCTCCTCCTCCTTTCTTTCTCCTCCTCCTCCTCCTTCTCCTCCTCCCAGGCTGATTCTTAACAATGAGCTTCCACCATGCATTCAGCTAAAATCATTCTAATATGCAACTGAGTGGTTTTTTAAAAAAATCTATACATACAAAAAAATCTATACGTACAAAAACACTCTTTGTTTTCCGTGTGCAACTAGCTAAGGGAGATGAATCTGGACATAGCAGTGGACAAACTCAGGATGCAAAGCACCGATGAAAAACTCAAAGCCTACCTCGAGAAGGTTTATGCTGCCTTGGACATCATTCGCAATGGGTACGTGAAGGACTGGCGCCTATGTTGTTTTGAGGGCTTTGCACAGCACAAAACATCGTGGGCTGCCCCCCTGATACCACTAGATGAGATCGCTAGGGCTCGCTGCCTTACAACAGTTTTTATCCGTGGGCCGTCAGACTCCTGAATGCGAAATAAGATCATAACTACCATATTTTTCGGAGTACAAGACGCACCTTGGTTTTTGGGGAGGACAATAAGAAAAAAGCTGATTGGCAGGTGGATCTGCCTACCAGAATACCCCCAATCAGCTGTTCCCAGAGGTGAATTTTATCAACAGGTTCCTTGGTTGTGAGCCCTGTGCCTTGCTTTTTTTTTTTTTTTTGGTTTTTTTTCTGCCTCTGAAACTTCTGAAACTCTGTTTCAGAAAAAACTTTTTTTCTGCCTCTGAAAGCCTCCGAAACAGAGCTTCAGAAAAAAAGGTTTTTTTTTTCTGAAGCTCTGTTTGGAGGCTTTTTTTCTGAAGCTTCTTTCAGAGGCTTTTTTTCTAAAGCTATGTTTCAGAGGCTTTTTTTCTGAAGCTTCTTTCAGAGGCTTTTTTTCTAAAGCTCTGTTTCAAAGGCTTTTTTTCTGAAGACTACCTTTACTCTGATCAATCTTCTTTCTTTGATAGATTAACCTCTTCCGATTTGTTGGTTATTGTGTCATTCTCCAGATTTGTTAGCATAGTTTGGTTAGAACCTTTACTGACTCTTCTTTTGTTGCTTGCCATATTATTTTAGATAAAAAACCTTTCAGAGGCTTTTTTTCTGAAGCTCTGTTTGGAGGCCTTTTTTCTGAAGCTTCTTTCAGAGGCTTCTTTCAGCTTCTGAAATCTCCGTTTGAGAAGCTGGGCGGGGCTACATTCGGAGTATAAGACGCACCCAGATTTTCACCCTCTTTTTTGGGGGGAAAAAGGTGCGTCTTATACTCCGAAAAATACGGTACATTGTATGATGGACTGCAGGGCCAGCGCAATGTGTGACATGTTCACACTGGTGCAATAGGACGGGGTGTTTTGTTAATATGATTTATTGGGTTAGGAATTTTCTATCTTCACTGTGTTGGGGTTAGGGTTAGGGTTAGGGTGCTGCAGTTTGGAGAAGGGAGGATGGAAAAAGGTTCAAATTACACCGTTTTTGTTTGGTCAAGGTACACCGCCTTCCATCAAGACCTCTTGTCTAAGGTGATCGCTTACCCACGCCACGTTCGGCACGAGCTTCTTTCCTACAGCGCCACCATCAGTCGGTATTTTTACGTCCTGGGCAGCTACAAAGGGGTAGGCAGAAAAACAGATCGCTTAATACAACCTGCATGAAGCTTAGCTGGCACTCCAAGCACGCCCGTCAAACGAGACGCGTGGGATTGCTTCGTACAGGGGGTGAACCCAGTCGCCGGTGGTATTCGGAGACTGAATTCCCAGTCCTTCTGAATCATGGCTTAGAGGCAGGGGTGAAATCCAGCAGGTTCTGTCAGGTTCTGGAGAACCGGTAGCGGAAATTTTGAGCAGTTTGGAGAGCCGGCAAATACCACCTCTGGCTGGCCCCAGAGTGGGGTGGGAATGGAGATTTTGCAGTATCCTTCCCTTGGAGTGGGGTGGGAATGGAGATTTTGCAGTATCCTTCCCCTGCCACGCCCACCAAGCCACAACCCAACAAGCCACGCCCACAGAACCGGTAGTAAAAAAAATAGGATTTCACCACCGCTTAGAGGACAGAAAGAGCAGAATACAGAATAATAACAAAAGTTGGGTTAAAACTTTTATTGGCTGCTTCCAAATTTTATCTTGTTTTGGACCTTAAAAAAGAAAACGCTTCGTCTCTTCTCTCTGGATCTTTAGCCTTCCCGTGGAACTAATTTCCAGATCTCCTCTATCCGGCGGGACGAACGCTAACAAATAACATTTTAGCCGCCGTTCCAAACCACAACCGCAAAAATACCAATGAAGCCCGGCTTCATTGGAGCCTCTTTAGTTGCAGGATGGCTTCTTCTTATCCTGGTTAGATTGCTTCTTAATACCTTGGATTCGATCCGTCTTCAGCGTTGCTTTGTGGGCTTGTGGGCAGTTTATTTAAAAGCCACGATGGACCTTGGGTTAATTGCTCCTTTGCTGATGTTGGGGAAAACAGCTCTGTGTTGTTGTTTTTTCAAATAGGTAACTCCCTTTCTCCCTCCCCCCTATTTTTCTCCATTTTCTTTTAGAAGACCTTAAGAAATCGGAAGGCTCAACTGAAGGAAGAGGGGAAGAAGGAGGTAAGGACCATGAAGCAGGGGTGCTATTCAGCAAGTTCTGACAGGTTCTGGAGAAGTGGTAGCGGAAATTTTGAGTAGTTCGGAGAACCGGCAAATACCAACACATCTTTTTCACCTAGCCGGGCTGGCTTGATCCCATCCCTTCGATTTTAATTTGTAATTGGTTTTAACCCGGGTTGTTTTAATTGGATAGCCAAATTATTTAATGTTTTTAAAATTGCTTTTAAATTTTATATGTTATGTTTTACCATGGCTGTTCACCGCCCTGAGTCCTGTTGGAGAAGGGCGGTATACAAATTAAATTAAATAATATAAATAAATAAATAAATAAATTTATAAATAAATAAATAAATAAATTAAATAAATAAATACCACCTCTAACTGGCCCCGAAGTGGGGAGGGAATGGGGATTTTGCAGTATCTTTCTCCCGGAGTGGGGTGGGATTGGAAATTTTGCAATATCCTTCGCTGGAGTGGGGTGGGAATAGATATTTTGTAGTATCCTTCCTCTGGAGTTGGGAGGGAATGGGGATTTTGCAGTATCCTTCTACCAGGACTGGGGGGGGGAATCTTTCCCCTGCCACACCCACCAAGCCCCGCCCACAAGCCACACCACGCCCTCAGAACCGGTAGTAAAAAAAAAAAATGAATTCCACCACTCCTATGAAGTCCTTTTTCAAATACAGCTAGTTCCCAATTTCTATCGCTGACCAAGTTTGGTTGTTAAGTGAGCCCCACCCGATTTTTACAACCCTTTTTTTCCCCCCGCGGTTGTTAAGCGAATCAGGAGGTTGCTCAGTGAATCCAGCTTCCCCCCCATTGACTTCGCTTATTTGGAAGCCCGCAAATCAGCCTCCCTGCTTCCTATTTATGACGGTTGCGGTCACACGATCCCCTTTTGCGACCTCCTGATGGGCAAAGTCAACAGGGAAGCCAGGTTCGCTTCACAATCGTGTGATTAACCTCACAACTGCAGTGGATCACGGTGACTAGCAACGGTTAATAACACGGTTACTAACAACTGTGGCAAGAAAGGTCGTAAAATGAGTGACCACTCAACAACGGACCCATTTAGCAACAGAAACTTGGGGCTCAATTATAGGCGTTAAGCCGAGGGCTACCTGTAATGGGTTGGCTAGTGCTGAGGGGTGCTGGGAGTTGTAGTTTAGCAACAACTTCCCCACCCCTAAGGCTTTTTGAAGGTGCCGGACTCGGAATATTTTGTTGCGTGTCTTGACCAGAAATAACAGAGGAGAGCAAAGAGGTAGAAGAAACAGAAGAGGCTGTGGAGATTCTCCTGGAGAAAGAGAGCGAGGATGGGGAGAGGGATGCGGAAGGCACGGATCCTATCGAAATGGAGGAAGCGGACCAGGAGGAAGAGGAGGAAGGGGAAGAAATGGAGACCCCCGCTCGCCAGAGTGACAAGCACGGTGTCGTTGGAGAGGATGTAGAAAAATCAGGGCAAAGGAGCACCTCGGGGGCCAAGACTCAAGACGCCACCAAGCCAGATCTGGTGAGCTGGGAATCTCCATGAGAATCAGGCGACATCCACGCTTCCTTCTGCATGGATTACAAGGAACTGTCCCATCCCATTTATTTGTTTCTTTTCTTTCCATCACCTTGGTTTTCTTTACAAATGACTCCATCCAACCCACCTTCCTGTTTTCCCTACAACAAACAACCCTGTGAGGTGGGTTGGGCTGAGAGAGAAGGGGGAGGGGCTGGCCAAAAGTTGGCTTTCATGGCTAAGGCGGGACTAGAACTCCCAATCTCCTGGTGATTGGCCCAAAGTCACCCAATTGACTTTCATGGCTAAGGTGGGACTAGAACTTACCGTCTCCTGGTGATTGGCCCAAAGTCACCCAATTGACTGTCATGGCTAAGGTGGGACTACAACTCACCATCTCCTGGTGATTGGCCCAAAGTCACCCAATTGACTTTCATGGCTAAGGTGGGACTAGAACTCACCGTTTCCTGGTGATTGGCCCAAAGTCACCCCATTGACTGTCATGGCTAAGGTGGGATTAGAACTCACCGTCTCCTGGTGATTGGCCCCAAATCACCCAATTGACTTTCATGGCTAAGGTGGGACTAGAACTCACCATCTCCTGGTGATTGGCCCAAAGTCACCCCATTGATTTTCATGGCTAAGGTGGGACTAGAACTCACTGTCTCCTGGTGATTGGCCCAAAGTCACCCAATTGACTTTCATGGCTAAGGTAGGACTAGAACTCACTGTCTCCTGGTGATTGGCCCAAAGTCACCCAATTGATTGTCATGTCTAAGGTGGGACTAGAACTTACCGTCTCCTGGTGATTGGCCAAAGTCACCCAATTGACTTTCATGGCTAAGGTGGGACTAGAACTTACCTTCTCCTGGTGATTGGCCAAAGTCACCCAATTGACTTTCATGGCTAAGGTGGGACTAGAACTCACCGTCTCCTGGTGATTGGCCCAAAGTCACCCAATTGACTTTCATGACTAAGGCGGAACTAGAAATCCCTGTCTCCAGGTTTCTGGGCTTTCATCAGGCTTTCTAAGGGGGTGAAAACATGAATAGTAACCCTTAAAGAAAAGGAAGAGAACTAACTAGAACTCAAGTCATTGGCCGTTCTCATCTTTTGAACCCCGTTTCAAAAATAGCCGCTCAGTCTCGCCCCTTCCATTTTATCCTTCTGCCAGACCAAGGATTCGGGCAAGGAGTCCAAGCGAAAGGATGTGATTGTGGAATTCTTCACCACGTCCAACGGAAACACCTACAAAGTGGTGGAGTACCTGAAGAAGTCCAAGCTCCGGAAAGCAGAGAAATATTACCAGGGAAAACTGAAAAGCAGTTCGATGCCTTCCTACCTGGAGCAGGTGTACCTGTCAGAGGCTTTCTTTAGAGATATCAGAAGACAGTAAGTGCAAACCTCTCTCTCTCTCTTTCTCTTTCTCTCTCTCTTTTCTTTCTTTGTCTCTCTATGTCTCTGTTTCTGCTTCTCCCTCTCTCCTCCTTTCTCTTTTTGCCTCTCCCTCCTTCTCCTCTTTCTCTTTCTATCTCTCTGTGTCTTTCTTTCTTTCTTCCCCTCCTCTCTCTTTCTTTCTGTGTCTCTCTTTTCTTTCTTTGTCTCTCTATGTTTCTGTTTCTGTCTCTCCCTCTCCCTCCCCCTCTCTTCTCCTTTCTCTTTTTGCCTCTGTCTCTCCTTCTCGTCTTTCTTTTTCTTTCTTTCTTTCCTTCCTTCCTTCCTTCCTTCCTTCCTTCCTTCCTTCCTTCCTTCCTCCTTTCTTTCTCTCTTTCTTTCTTTCTTTCTTTCTTTCTTTCTTTCTTTCTTTCTCTCTCTCTCTCTCTCTCTCTCTCTCTTTCTGTTTCTTTTCTTTCGTTGTCTCTCTGTCTCTGTTTCTGCTTCTCCCTCTCTCTCTCTCTCTCTCCTCCTTTCTCTTTTTGCCTCTGTCTCTTCTTCTCCTCTTTCTCTCTCTCCGTCTCTTCCTTCCTTTCTTCCTTCCTTCTTTCCTTTCTCTCTCTCTCTCTCTCTCTCTCTCTCTTTCTCTCTCTCTCTGCTTCCTTCCTTCCCTCCCTCCCTTTCTCTTAAAGAATAGGACATTTTTCTCCAGTTAAGAAAAAGGATTTGGGGAGCGTTCTAAACCCACCAGCCGAAATGACATCAAACTCCTAAAAATCCACATTTTAAACAGCTCCGATAAATCCTTTCAGGAATTTATTTTGGGTCTGATCGCTTTGGGGCGTCACGCGCAAAACATAGCAGAACTATCACCACAAATTGTGGGTTTAGAAAGAGATCAGGATGATTTTTTTTAAAAAAAAGATATTTTTAACCTGGCTTGTTTATTTCTTGAAAAGATTTCTACAGCCGCCTATCTTTCAACTCACTCTGGGCAGCTCCCGATTTACGATGCAAACCTTAGCTAGCCAGGTTAGCATTCCGTCATGGCCGCAAGCAGCCCTTCAGCCCCAGGATCTTCCGAATCCTTCCTTTTTTTCCGTGGCCTTTGAGATGGGACCCAGCGACCCGTTTTATCCTCAAGCCGCCTCTTTCTTGCCCTCCTCTCTGCTCCCCTGACAGTATCCGACTCCAGTTCTTCGAGCATCTGGAGAAGTGGTTTGATGACACCTTATCCAGCATCGGCGTTGTCGTGGTGGCCAAGAAAGAAGAGCTCAACTCCGAGCTGCAGCTGCGCCTCCATCTTCACGAACCCCGGAGGGAACGCATCGAGAAGGACATTTACAACGTCAGGAGGGGTACGTATGTTTGGTTATGTTCTCGTGTTTGTTTGTTTTTTTATCCTATAGCCAGATCCACTCTCAATCCTTGCCATGCGAGTCCTTGAATTGAAGAGGGGCGGGGGCATATTTTGAGCCAGACGACGCATTTATAGACAGTCCTCGACTAGACGGCCACAACTGAGCCCCAAATTTCTCCTGCTAAAACGAGACGGTTGTGGTCTCTCCCGTTTTGCGATTTTTCTTTGCCACAGTTGTTAAGCGAAGCGCTAAAAGTTGTTAAGTGAGTCATACGGCTGTTACGGGAATCCGGCTTGTCAGAAGGCCGCAAAAGGGGATCATCATCAGAGCCGGGAAGTGGGGAGGAGGAGGAAGAGGAGGAGGAGGGGGAGAAGAGGAGGTCTGTGGGTTGGTGATCTCTGAGCTTGGTTGTTTTCTTGCAGACGTTACATGACCCAATGAGGTAACGTCATCAGTGCTAGAAGGGAGTGGGGTTTGTGGAGAGGAGGAGGACGAGGAGGAGGAGGGGGAAGAGGAGGAGGAAGAGGAGGAACGGGAAGGGGAAGAGGAGGAAGTCTGTGGGGTCCTTGGTGCTCTCTGAGCTTACTTGTTTTCTTGCAGACGTTTCATTACCCAACTAGGTAACATAATCAGTCTAGTGTTATCTCCTTTCCCAAACATTTGTAAGCCTGTTTTGTGAGCAGAACGTTGTTGGGATTCAGATCTTGTTTGATCCCGTTGGTGGTCTTCTCACCCTCCGTCGGCGTGGATTATTGGAACTTCTCCAGCACTCCTTTCTATCCTTCCCTCCCTTTATAAAAACGCAGGAATTTTCTTCCCTCCTTTCTCTCAGCGGAGCTACGGATTCACAGCGACCGCTTGAAGCGTCACTGCGCCGGCTTGATCGAGGCGCTGAATAAGGAGAGGAGCGCCTTCATCAAGATCCGAGAAGACCACAACGCAGTCAGCAAATCCTTCCGAACCCGAATCCAAGACATGGAGAAAGTCTTCCAGATGGAAAGCCGGGCAGAAAGGTCATTTTGACTTTGGGGGGAAAAAAGGGACGCCAGCCACAATCTCACAATAGCTATTGGGGGTTCAGGGCTTTGGAGATGGCCCTGCAGAAGGTGCCATCAGAATGTAGAAGGGAACATGGTTTAAGCCCAGGGGAAATTCACGTTACCGATAGAAGCGAATGTTTGTAACTCAGGGTTGGATTTTGGGATCTTTTGTGCTTTCTGAGCTTGGTGGTTTTTCCTGCGTGGGGATAAAAAAAACAGCTTCTAAAGCACAACTGATCTTTGGAGAGAGAAGCAATGAGAAAAGCAGGCAAACCACAGAGATCGCTTCATTCACTAGCGCCTCCTTAGGGCTGAAAAAAAGCTTCACAGCTGAAAGGATATTGTTTGGGTAAATGGACCCTCAAGTTTCCAGTTCTGCATTCTGATGGTTGACCTTGGGCTAGCTGGTGCTTTCTCACCTGGCTTGCTTCCCATCCCTCCCTTAATTCATCCCGAAACATTTCCAATCCTCTCTTCCCTCCCTCCCTCCCTTTCCTGGCTGTTAGTTGGCAGCACTCGGCTAGCAGAATGGCAGCTCCCCTTCAAAAGCTACTTCCGAGTGACGGCTTTCTGCCCCCTTTCTCTTCCATAGGGTGATGGCCCTCAGCCGTAACCTCCATATGGAGCTGCTGAACCATGTGGAAGTGCTCCAGGTCTCCATGAGGAGTTACAGACAGTATCTGGAGGAGGCTTTGGGGAAACTGCGGGATTCTAACACGGACTTCCTGAAAGCCTGCAGGTACCCAGAAAAACAGAGTAACAGGGACGGAAGAGACCTTCGGAGGTCTTCTAGTCCAACCCTCTGCTCAGCAGGTTCTCTCTTTAATGACCTTCCAGCCAATACTGACCCATCTTTGTTTGTTTTTAGACTCTTTGCAGATGGCGGGAACTTTTCCCCCGAGGAGCTAGAGATCTTCATGAAGCAGCTGCAGAAGGAGAACTCGCGCATAGAATTTGTCGAAGGCTTGATCATGATTGATATGGAGAAAGCAGAGACTGGCTATCTGGAGCAGGTCAGCCACTGGGAGACTATCCCAAACAACCAGAGTTGGGTTCAGGAAAGAGGGTGAGAAAAGAGTGGATATGTCAGGTTTCGAGGTTGTCTCAAATAAATTGCATTTCAAACAAAGTCTTTGATGAAAAACTCCCATTTATTAAGCACGACATTCTAACTCCGACTCCATTGTAGCCAACACTGATTTCCTGACCCAAAACCCTCCCTTTCCTTTCCCCACTCCTCTGCACTCATTGGCCATCTTCCAAGTCACTCTACCCCTAATCTACTGCTCCAGTTCAAAGGAATTTCCCCCCTCCCATCCCATCTCCTAGGGGATATTATCTCCAGGGAAAATAAGTAGGTGAAAAGTCAAACGTCCCTTTCCAGATGCCTCCGCTTCTCCTTCTTATGTCAGCACTAGAGTAAATGCAGCTTGAAGTGCTGACAGGATACTTGTATACAGCTGGTCCTCAGCTTATGACCACGATCGAGCCCAACATTTCTGCAGTTAAGCAAAGACAGTTGTTAATCGTCCTTCTAATCGTCCCTCCTGTTACTCAACCAGGCTACAGAAATTATCAGCAAGTTCGAGAACAGGTTTCGTTACCTGGCTATGGATCGAGTCTTCTTGGAGAAAATCCAACGATTTCTGACCAATATTCAAGTGAAAATCAAGACAGAGGTACCAAGAGAAAAAAAGTCCATCACCCACCCACTCTGCCTCCCTTCCTTTTCTCATTTCTCCTCTCTCCCTTTTCTCTATCTCTCCTTCCTTCCTTCCTTCCTTCCTTCCTTTTCCTTCCTTTTCTTTATCTTTATCTTTGTCTTTTATTAGATTTATATACCGCCCTTCTCCTTTCGGACTCAGGGTGGTGAGCAGCCAAAATAAAAACATTTGTACACAAAAGTTAAAATAATTTTAAAAATAATTAAATGAAATTTGGCCCATAATTTAAATTATTATTTATAATTTCTCATTTCTCCTCTCTCCCTTTTCTTTATCTCTCCTTCCTTCCTTCCTTTTCTCATTTCTCCTCTCCCTTTTCTCTATCTCACCTTCCTTCCTTCCTTCCTTCTTTCTTTCCTTCCTTCCTTCTCTCATTTCTCCCCTCTCCCTTTTCTCTATCTCTCCTGCCTGCCTGCCTTCCTTCCTTTTCTCATTTCTCCTCTCTACTTTCAGTTTCACTTTCCTCCCTCTTCCCCTTCCCTCCCTTTTCTCTATCTCTGTCCTCCCCTTCCCTCCCTTCCCTTCCTTTTCTCATCTCCCTTCCATCTCACAATTGGTTCTGGTTGCTTGTGCCCGACCGAAGGCCAGCTAGAGAAAAGCTTTTCCCTTCTTCCGTGAGGGTCATCTAACTGAGGGGGTGGGGAGGGGGTCTTTTCACTTTCCAGGTGGCCAAATCCAACTGGCAGACCCAAACATTGAATAACTACTTGGAGAAGCTCGTCCAGAGGATCGATGCCTGTGCCCACCCTAATGTGGACAAAGGAAGGTGGGTTTAAAGGGGGGGGGAGGGGAGCTTGACTCAAAAAGACCAGCACAGGTAGCCCTCGACTTACGACCACAAGCGAGCCCGAAATTTCCGTTGCTAAGTGAAAACCCATTTGTTAAGTGAGCTTTGCGCCGTTTCGCGACCTTCCTTGCTACAATTTGTCCAGTGAATCCCTGCGGTTTTCAAATGAGTCACACCGTCGTTAAGCGAATCTGGCTTCCCCATTGACTTTGCTCGTCAGAAAGTCACAAAAAGGGGATAACACAACCGTCGTAAATACGAGCCAGTTGCCAAGCGGCTGACTTTAGATCTCGCGACTGTGGGGATTCCACGACGTGTGTCGTAAGGGTGAAAACTGGTCGTGAGTCGCATTTTTTTTTTCCAGTGCCATTGTCACTTTGGACGGTCACTCAGTGAACTGTTGTAAACCGAGGACTACCTGCATTTTAAATCTCCTATGCTTTGCGGTTTCGAGGGTGCTTTATTTTTATTTCATTTTTTTTTTCTTCGATTCCTTCCCTCAGAGCATGACTCCGGAAAGGCTTTATGAGTTTACCAAGTTCGTCATGGAAGAACTGAAGAAGAGGTGTAAATATCTCAACTGTCAGCTCCGGATCCAGGTAACAACCCCCGGGACGCTGCCACCGTCATAAATACGAGCCCGTTGCCGAGCAACTGAATTTTCTCCACGTGACCGTAGGGACGCTGCACGGGACTCACTTAACAACTGTGGCAAGAAAGGTTGTAAAACGGGGCAGAAACTCACTGAACCAATGTCTCGCTTAACGACAGAAATCGTTGGGCTCAGTTGTGGTCGTAAGCCGAGGACTACCTCTATGTGTTCCGACTCTGTTGCTCCTACATTCTCATCTCTTAGGAAACAGAGATTACTTCCCTGCCCGCCATCTTCGTTCAAGACTCCCTCATAAGCTCTGCCCCATCGGAGATGTCCCTCCCGGAGGGCAAGGTCACCGTGATGGGTATGGAGTACACGCCTGTCTTGAACCCGAGCAGGATGGGGAAACCGGCCTTCGATGATGCGTCCTTCTACCTGATCCGAAACCTCACCGGGTGAGCATCCAAGAAACACCTCAGGGTGAAAACCACAGGGACTAGAAGTTCATCACAGGTTCTTTGAAGTACACTATTTCTCAACTTACCAGCCAAGTTACAACGTCACTGAGGAAAGGGACTTGCTGTAGGACCGTTTTTCATACTTACGACCATTGCAGCATCCCCAGGGTCATGCAATCCAAATTGGGACGCTTGGCAACTGACTCACATTTAGAATAGAATAGAATAGAATAGAATGGAATGGAATGGAATGGAATGGAATGGAATACAATACAATACAATACAATACAATACAATACAATACAATACAATACAATACAATACAATACAGAAGAATGGAGTAGAATAGAGAGAATAGAATAAGAATAGAATACAATACAATACAATACAATACAATACAGAAGAATGGAGTAGAGTAGAGAGAATAGAATAGAATAAGAATAGAATAGAATAGAATACAATACAGTACAATACAATACAATATAATACAATACAATACAGAAGAATGGAGTAGAATAGAGAGAATAGAATAGAATAAGAATACAATACAATACAATACAATACAGAAGAATGGAGTAGAGTAGAGAGAATAGAATAGAATAAGAAGAATAGAATAGAATGAATAGAATAGAACAGAACAGAACAGAACAGAACAACAGAACAGAATACAATACAATACAATACAATACAGAAGAATGGAGTAGAGTAGAGAGAATAGAATAGAATAAGAATACAATACAATACAATACAGAAGAATGGAGTAGAGTAAATAGAATAAGAATAGAATAGAATAGAATAGAACAGAACAGAACAGAACAACAGAACAGAACAGAACAGAATACAACAGAATAGAATAGAATACAATACAATACAATACAATACAATACAATACAATACAGAAGAATGGAGTAGAGTAGAGAGAATAGAGAAGAATAAGAATAGAATAGAATAGAATTAATAGAGTAGAATAGAATAGAATAGAATAGAATAGAATAGAATAGAATAGAATAGAATAGAATAGAACAACAGAACACAATACAATACAATACAATGCAATACAATACAGAAGAATGGAGTAGAGTAGAGAGAATAGTATAAAAAGCACCCTGCAAGTGACAAAAGCACAGTGGGGTTAGTCAATGCCACTAGTCAATGTCACTCTGACAATTGCGACCTTCCGAGAAGCCAAGTCAATGGGGAAGCCAGATTCACTTAACAGCCCTGTCGCTAACTTCACAACGGCAGTGATTCGCGTAAGAACTGTGGCAAGCAAGGTTGTAACTTGGGTCGAAAGTCACTTGACAACTCGTCTCGTGTAGCAACAGAAAGTTTGGCCTCAACGGTGGCCATAGGTCGAGGACTACCTGCCTATCCAAGTCAGTGGCTCCAAACCACAAGACGGAGCCAACACAACAACACAATCTCTGGCTTCTAAAAGCTTATCTAATTAATGGCAGCTTACTTGACTCTTAAGAGAAGTCCCAAAGCCCATTGTCTTCAGGCTCAGAGCCATTAAAATTGAAAGTTACCCTAACCTAAGAGGGACACCCTGCCCCTCCACCTCATTCAACACTTCCTGGGGCTGATTTTAGGAGCGATGACATTTTTCTCTCTTCCCTTTCCATTCCAGGCACGTGCGTGGAAAAAAGATGTTAGAAGCTCAGCACGAAAAAGACACCGCAGGACTTCCTGGAACAGACCGAGGAGGTGAGGAACAGCGCTTTGATGCAGGTTTAAGGACGTGGTGGCTTAGCCATTAAGGAGCTTGGTTTGTTGACCAGAAGGTTGACAGTTCGAGACCCCAACGCCGTGTGATGGTATGAGCTCCCATTCCTACTCTATAAAGCCTTAGTAAGACCGCACCTAGAATACTGCATCCGGTTTTGGTACGGAACATGAAGTACCACGAAGGCGAGCCAAACCAGAAAAATCAAAAGCTCTGGAAACAGCTAAATGATTTTAACACCCAAGGCAAAACATTTTGCATGTTGCGTGTGTGTGTGTGTTTTTCCAGCAATAACACACAAAAATTAAAGAGGAAGTTTTGGAGTCCAAGAAGTGGCCACTCATTTCATAAAATCATAAGGATAGAAGGGACCTTGGAGGTCTTCTGCTCTAACCCTCTGCCCGAGACAGGAGTGCATCATGCCATCTCAGACAAGTGGTTTTCCAATCTCTTTCCAAAGCCAACACAATCCTGAGTTGCGTTAACAGAGCGATACAATTAAGATCAAGGGAGGAACTAATACCACTCTACAAAGCCTTAGCAAGGCCACACCTTGAATCCTGCATCCCAGTTTTGGTCACCACACTATAAAAAAGAAGTTGAGACTCTAGAAAGAGTGCAGAGAAGAGCAACCAAGGTGATTAGGGGACTGGGCTCAAACAGACGATGAACGGTTGCAGGAACTGGGCCCGGCTAGTTTAGTGAAGAGAAAGACCAGGGGAGACAGGATAGCAGTCTTCCAATATTTGAGGGGTTGCCCCAGAGAAGAGGGGGTCAAGCTATTTTCCAAAGCACCTGAAGGCCAGACAAGGAATAATGGATGGAAACTGATCAAAGAGAGATTCAACCTAGAAATAAGGAGAAACTTTCTGACAATGAGAACAATCAACCCATGGAACAAAAGTTGCCTTTGGAAGTTGTAGGAGCTTCAACACTGGAGGCTTTCAAGAAGAGACTGGACTGCCATTTGTCAGAAATGGCATAGGGTCTCCTGCTTGGGCGGGGGGTTGGACTAGATGACCTACAAGATCCCTTCCAACTGTTTATAATCCTGCCTCAGCTCCTAGCGGTTCGAAAGCAGGCAAATGCAAGTAGATAAATAGGTACCACTTTGATGGGAAGGTCACGGCATTCCCTGCACCTCGGCATATACTCATGACCACGGAAGCGTCTTTGGACAGCACTGGCTCCCTTGGCCAAAAAGACGGAGAGGAGCACCTCCCCTGGAGTAGTACACTGCTGGCCACGGGGAAAAGGAACCTCTGACTTGACAGATGTGGTGAAAATCCAGTTTCCAGCCACCACGCCGGCGTGGCCGCCAAGAGGAAAGGTTGAATGTTAAATAGAGAAGTCCAACAAGGACCTTCCGGGGTTGGAAAGGACGGGGGGCAAGGCGAAAGTTGCCTTAGATCCCCACCCAACGTGTATAGCATGACGTTTTGGAGAAAGCGACCTCTCTGTTGGGTCATCTGGAAATCCACAGCCACCGCTTCTCAGATCGGTGCCTCCCTTTGCCCATCTCTTGCTTAGTTCCATCTTTTCCTCTCTTTATTATTTCAGAATTTCCCAACCAAGCTTTCCCGCCCTTGTTTACTCCGGGCGGTCATCGTGAAAGCCTTTCGTTGGGAGCGACCTATCTACTGGCCAAGAAATCTAGTTCCATTACCAAAGTCTCCGGAAGGTAAGGATGTAATAAACTTAGGTGTGTTTAATCTAGAGAAGAGAAAGATTGTGGGGTGGGGGTGAGGGGACAGTACTTGACAGAGAAAAGAGGGTGGGCTTATTCTCTAGGGCACCAGAGGGCAAGACGAGAAGCAATGGATGGAAGCCTGTCAATGAGATCCAGCCTAGAATTAAGGAGAAATCTCCTGACGGTGAGAACAATTAATCAGTGGGACGGCTTGCCTTCAGAAGCTGTGGGTTGCTCCATCACTGGAGGCTTTCGAAAAAAGAGCTATTTGAACAGCCATTTGACTGGGATACTATAAGGTCTGCCTTGAGCAGGAAGTTGGACTAGAAAACCTCTGAAGTCCCTTCCAGCCCTCTGACTCTGTTGCCTGTCCATCAGTCCATCCATCCATCTGTATCTATCCATTATCTATCTTATCTATCTATCAATCTATGCCTGCCTGCCTGCCTGTCTATCTTGATTCTGTCTGTCTGTCTGTCTGTCTATCATATCTGTCTGTCTGTCTGTCTATCCATCTCTATCTGTCCATCTACATCTATCTATCTCTAATCTCTCTATTTATCTCTTTATTGCTATCCTATATCTCTATCATCTATCCATCTCTGTCCATATATATTTATCTATCTATATATCTCTATTTATCTCTTTATCCTATCTATCTCTATCGTCCGTCCGTCCATCCATCCATCCATCCATCCATTCATCCATCCATCTATCTATATCTATCCATCCATCTCTGCCTGTCCATCTATATCTATCTCTCTCTGTCTCTCTCTATTTATCTCTTTATCGCTATCCTATCTATCTCTATCATCTGTCTATCTATCATCTATCTATCTATCATCCATGTCTGTCCATATATATATATATATATATATATTATATATATATATATATATATATATATATATATCTTTATCGGCTATCCTATCTATCATTTGTCTATCTATATCTATCTATCTATCCATCCATCCATCCATCCATCCATCCATCCATCCATCCATCTATCTATCTATCTATCTATCTATCTATCTATCTATCTATCTATCTATCTATCTATCTGTTTCCAAGAAAAGATTGGACATTTGTCCGAGATGATATAAAAGTCTCTACCTGGAGACAGGGCATCGAATTAGAAAACCTCCAAGGTCCCTCCCAGCCATAGGATTCCATGTTCTGTGTGAAAAGCATCTCCCATTCATACCTCTCCCTCCAATTTTGTTTCCATTTTTTCCCCTCTGAAAATTGAGCAGGTTTCCCACGATCCATTTTGGCTGAAATGTGTCGTTTAAAGCAGATGCGATTCCCTTTGGACTTGTTGCCTTCTTTTTGTTCTCCCGGAAGCTGGCCGAAGCGTTATTTTAATTTCCAAAAGTTCGTCGATCCCAGTGGCATTGATAAAAATTAAATCCGCTCCTGGATTAAAGCGTTGCGGTGCTGGCAGGTTGGGAGACAGCCGTTGTTAAATTGTCTTCTTTGCAATGCAGCGGGAACTCCATCCAAAAATACACCCGACTTACTAAAGCCGACAGGAAGATGCTGATTTTCGGAGGCCAGCCAAAAGAGACCGAGTGAGTCCAGATTATTTACTTTCCAGATTCCACAGACCTGGAGTTTATCTGAGTTAATTGACTTTTTAAATGTTCCACCTTATTGGCTGGATTGACGTATCCTAATGCAGTTTCTATAAGTGGTGATAGGTATTCCTCGACTTAACGACCACAGTTGGGCCCAAAATTTCCATTGCTGACGCGAGACAGTGGTTCAGCGAGTTTTGCCCCGTTTTACGACCTTTCTTGCCAGGCGTTAAAGCGAATCGCTGCAGTCGTTAAGCTAGCCCCACAGCCTTTGATGAATCTGGCTTCTCCATTGATTTTGCTTTGTCAGAAGGCCGCAAAAGGGGATCACATGTCGCACGGTCATAAGTATGAATTAGTTGCCAAGTCTCCGAATTTCGTTCACATGATCGTGGCGATGCTGCAATGGTCATAAGTGTGAAAAACGGCCATAAGTCACTTTTTTTCACCGCCATTGTAAGTTTGAAAGGTCACTAAGCGAGCAGTTGTAAATCAAGGACTGCCTGTAATTAGGATAGTGTTAGGCAATACTGTCCCCAGCATGTGATCTGCAGGTTCCAAACACAGCAGATACCAAGCGACGTGAAAAATCAAAATATCCCTTCTAATCCCATAAAGCTACTTCACCATGAATGATATTTTTTTTAAAGAGAGGAGAGAATAATTTAGCATTTGACAAGCCTGTCATTTTTTTCTAAAAAAATAAATAAAATTAAAATCTACTCTTTTTAAGTTTTCTTATTTTGGCACTTTTTTAAAAAAAAAAACCCCAGAAAAGCGATAATAAGATCGTGAAGTAATATCTCCTTTTAAATTGGTTGTTCTAGTTCGGATTACTTTACCGGAATCATCTTCAATATCCTGTGGGACAATTTTGATAACATCATGAACGTTGCTGAGGTATTTATTTTTATTTATTTATTTTTATCAAGCATATATAAGATTACAGATAAAAGTATAAACATGATTCTGAAGACATGAAATGGAGGAGCTTAATTTTTTTAAAAAAAATCTATTATTTTCAGCCCCTTCAGTTTTCTTGGCAAGCTTTTTTTTTTGGAAGTGGTTGGCCATTGACTCGTTTCTTGGGCTGAGAGAGAGGGGCTGGCCCATGGTCATCCTGGTTGGCTTCGTGTCTAAGGCAGAACCTGAACTCGCAACCGCCTCCGTTTTTAGTCTAGCACCTTAACGATTATACCAAACTGGCTTACAATTATTACTACATAAACCCCCAGTAATGCAAGCACAAGATGAAAAACTATAAAGCAATAGATTAATTAATACACAGCCCAAAGACGCTAAAAATCCAGTTTGTGACGCTGGACAATATGCAGAATTATAAAAAAATATTCAGGGGGGAAAAATAGGAAACACAAAGAGAGTTGTGCATTGTGATGCTGCGGAAAGAAGTTATGGCCTCATCTAAGCCATAAGATATGTGAGAACTGGTTGGGTCTAGTGGTAAAGACTAGAGTCCGGAAACCAGGAGATGGTGAGTTCTAGTCCTGCCCGATGCATAAAAACCAGCTGGGTGACTTTGGGCCAATCACCAGGAAGCAATGAGTTCTAGTCCCACCTTATGCATGAAACTGGGTGGGTGACTTTGGGCCAATCACCAGGAAACAATGAGTTCTAGTCCCGCCTTAGGCATGAAAGCCAATTGGGTGACTTCGGGCCACTCCTCTCTCTCAGCCCAGTCTACCTCACAGGGCTGTTGTTGTGTGGAAAATACGAAAAGCAAGGAGTTATGGGGTGTGTTCGCTGCCTTGAGTTATTTCTAAAAATAATAATGGCGGGATACAAATACATTTTTTAAAAAAACACAGAAGGCGATTCCTTTTGCATTTCTTTTGTTCTTCCTGAGCAACCGAAAAACAAGCCTCCTTCTAACCCGGTGCTCTCCCTGGGTTTCTTCCCTGCTTCCCACTTCTTCTTTTTCTGAAGGAATTCTACAAAAAGGACAAGCATCAGATTACGAAACCGGACTGTCTCCAAGAAACCTACGACCTGTGCATTGATGCTTTGGGTCAGAAGATGCTGACCTATCTTTTCCAATCCGACGAGTACCACATTGCTTGCATCTCTGGTAACGCTGCATCTTCGATAAAGGGGAATTTGGCCGCCCAGAGTCACCTGATCGTGAGATGGATGGCATATAAATTTGGTGGAGATAGATGGATGGATAGATAATGTAGAGATAGATAGATAGATAGATAGATAGATAGATAGATAGATAGATAGATAGATAGATAGATAATAGATAGATAATGTAGAGATAGATAATGTAGAGATAGATAATGTAGAGATGGATAGATAGATAATGTAGAGATAGATAGATAGATAGATAGATAAATAGATAGATAATAGATAGATAATGTAGAGATAGATAATGTAAAGATAGATAATGTAGAGATGGATAGATAGATAATGTAGAGATAGATAAAGGCCAGTCGATGGGACACGGTGGCTCAGTGGCTAAGACACTGAGCTTGTCGATCAAAAGGTCGGCAGTTCAGTGGTTCGAATCCCGAGTGCCGCGTAATGGGGTGGGCTCCCGTTCCTTGTCCCAGCTTCTGCCAACCTAGCAGTTCGAAAGCATGTTAAAAAATGCAAGTAGGAAAATAGGGACCACCTTTGGTGGGAAGGTCAGAGCGTTCCGTGCGCCTTTGGCGTTGAGTCATGCCGGCCACATGACCACGGAGACGTCTTCGGACAGCGCTGGCTCTTCGGCTTTGAAACGGAGATGAGCACCGCCCCCTAGAGTCGGGAACGACTAGCACAGATGTGCGAGGGGAACCTTTACCTTTGCCTTAAAGGCCAGTCTCAAAACGAAAATTTTAAGTTTCTCAGACTATCAAACCCTGAATTCCACCGAATAAACCTGAACGGACCTTCCATTCCATGAACTTTTCCAGAGTTCCGGGTGCAGCTGAAGACTTTCGAGGAAGAGCTTCCTCATGTCGTCCGTCTGGCCATTGGCAAAATCTTAAAGGATCACGAACAGTTCCTTGCCGAATCCACAGAACAGATCCGGGGCCACCTGCAGGACCAGCTGAAAAAATGGACTGCTATAAAAGTATGTTGTTTCAAAGCCACTGAAATATTTTAACCTAATTCTCTTTCCTCCTGGTTTAAAATGTTCCTTGGCTACCATCTTTTCCACTACTGCGCACAAGGAGACAGTCTGGTCTAGTGGTGAAGGCACAGGCTAGAAACCAGGAGACAGTGAGTTCTAGTCCCACCTTAAGCAAGAAAGCTGGTTGGGTGACTTTGGGCCAATCACCAGAAAATGGCGAATTCTAGTCCTGCCTTAGGCATGAAAGCCAGCTGGGTGACTTTGGGCCAATCACCAGGAAATGGTGAATTCTAGTACGTACGGAAGCCAGCTGGGTGACCTTGTCACCAATCACCAGGAGACGGTGAATTCTAGTCCCGCCTTTGGCATGAAATCCGGCTGGGTGACTTTGGGCCAGTCCGTTTCTCTCAGCCCAATCCACCTCACAGGGTTGTTGTTGTTGTGGGAAAAATGTGTCTGATGGCCATCAAAGCGAGCTTTGCCCTTTCAATTCAAGGACAAAAACATGGCCAAATTGCACACCAGTTTGGGACACCCGGATAATATCCCCGTGCTGGAAGCCTTGTGCCAAGAGGAAGAGAAAAGGCAAGTCGAGCAAGTGGAGAGCATCCTGGTCTGCACCAAGAGGCTGGAGGTACCTCGTGCTTTTTTTTTTTCTCTCTCTCTTCTCAGAGCCCCACATTTATCAAGGGTTGCTAGGTAGCACTGAGGACGTTATCAATCGGCTAATGAAACGTCTGCAAGGAAACAACCAAGCTCAGAGAGCTTGAAGGATCCCCACAGTCCCCCTTCTCCTCCTCCTCCTCTCCTTCCTCCTCCACACACCCCATTCCCTTCGAGCACCGATGTCATTACCTAGTTGGGTAATGAAACATCTGCAAGGAAAACAATCAAACTCAGAGAGCAGAAAGACTCCACGGTATCTATCTGTCCATCCGTCCATCCATCCGTCTACGTCTGTCTGTCAATCATCTATATCTATCTATTTATCTATCTATCATCTATTATCTATCTCTTATCTCTTGTCTTATGTATCTATATTTATCTGTTTCTATATCTTATGTATCTATCCATATTTATCTCTATCTTTATGTATTTATATTTTCTCTATTTCTATATCTATCTATCATTCTATCTATCTATCTATCATCTATCTCTTGTCTATCGTTATGTATCTATCTATAACTGTTTCGATATCTTATATATCCATATTTATTTATCTCTATCTTCATGTATTTATATTTTGCTCTTTCTATATCTATCTATCTATCTGTCTATCTATCTATCATTCTATCTATCTATCTACCTAACTACCTATCTATCTATCTATCTATCTATCTATCTATCTATCTATCTATCTATCTATCTATCTCGCTGATGATGTTACTCTAGTTTGGGTAATGAAACGCCTGCAAGGAAACAACCAAGCTCAGAGAGCATCAAGGAACCCCACAAAAAGGTGCATTTCTAGGAAGGGTTCAACTCAGTCAAATTTGAACTGAAATCCCCCCCCGCCGCTCCCCAAGTCAATCACAGCCCCATGAATGAGCAAGGATTCTAATCTTGCATAGAGCCTTTCCCTGAGTCTTATGTAGTCTCCGGAGGCCTAGAGCCCTCCTAGGAACTTGTTCTCTTTGTGTGCCAGCTCCTTCACTTTCCTGATGGTGACCCCCCCCCACAGGTGTGCGTCACAGAGTGCGCCCAAAAGTTTGTCTCTACCTTGGCCACTTGCACCGAGATCATCCTGATGGAGCTGGACAACAGCCTCACCATTGATGACGTCCAAGTAGGAAGTAAGTCATCACCAGTTGGCCACCTCCATTTCCGACGCACTTGGAGAAGCAAAGCAGATCTGAAAACATCCCTTGTTCCTTTAGCATTGTGGTTCGCCCGCCTGCAGAAAGGAGGGGGGGAAAATAATTTATACAGAGAGTCCTCACCTTACGACCGCAATCGAGCCCAAAATTTCTGTTGAAAAGTGAGACCTTTGTTCAGCGAGCTTTGCCCCATTTTACGCCTCTGTGTGTCGTTAAGTGAATCACTGCAGTTCTAAACTTAGTCCCACGGTTGTTAAGTGAACCTGGCTTCCCCATCGACATGGCTTGTCAGGAGGTCGCAAAAGAGGATCGTGTGACACACACATCCCCGAGACGCCATAGCCAGTGGTGCTATGCCGTCCTATTTAGCCTCGTTTTTTAAGCTGCGCACATGCGTGCAAGCAAGCCGCGCATGAGAGCAAAGCACGCACTCACATTTTCGGTGTTAGGTGAACCGGTTGTTAATTCATGTGCAGCCCATCTTCTGGCCGCATAAATACAAACCCGTTGCCAAGCATCTGAATTCCGATCCTGTGACACCTCAGGGATAGGTGCAACGGTCGTAAGCGTGAAAAACCGCCCCGTCGCTTTCTTTTCAGTGCCTTGGTAACTTTTAATGGTCACTGAATGAATCCTTGTGAGTCGAGGACTCCCTGCAATAACTTAACCGGGCCACGTGAATGGATCACAACAAGGGGATAATCGAAATGGGTATCAGGCCTGGAAGCCATCTTTAGTATTAGGCCTTCAGACCTGCCACGTTTACTGCTGTGGGAAACTGGGAGGGGGGGTGATATATAGTCAAAATAACATTCCTTTCTCAGAGAGTCAAGGTCATCTTGCCCTGCACCTGGAGTTGGATGACTGGGAGGCATCTCCAGTTGGGATGGTGCTTTGATTGGACCAAGTGATGGACATGTGGGTGCAGGGGGGAAGGGATTTGGGCTTTCCGTTGGGTGGGGAAAACCAGGGAGCTTTCAGATTCGGGTTTCCCCAGATGTGCCAATATGACATCTCTAATAAAATGGAACTTTGAGGAAACTCAAGCCTCGGGAGTTTTCTCTCGTTAAGAGTGTTCCTCGGGACGCTGACAATGCCTCTTTCTCACCCGATCTTGTGTTTTTCGTCAGAAACGGAAAAAGTCCGAGAGAAAACCATCACCCTGATCCGTCGTAAAAAAGCCGGCCTCTCCTTAGAAGTGGAAGAACGGAAACTGGTGGCTGAACGAGGCAGCAGGTGACGTATCTCTGTCCTCTTGACGGGGCGCGGATGATTTTACACCCACCTCCGCTTGGGGACGGGCCCAGCCTGGGACCAAGATCTTAGCTGACAAAGCAATGCTTTCTACAAGCGGTCCTCGACTTAACGACCAAAATCGAGCCCCAAATTTCCATTGCTGAGCGAGACCGCCATGAAGCGCATTTTGCCCCATTTTACGGCCTTTGGTGAAGCGAATTATTGCAATTCTTAAGTGCGTGACACGGTTTGTTAAGTGAATCCGGCTTCCCCGCGGACAATTGCGAAAGGTCGCGAGAAGGGGAATCGCGTGGTACCCCTTGAGGGGCTGTTTGTTTGCCTTTTTGCAGAACCTGGCCCGGCATCCCACAAACCACCATCCCGAGTCTGCCGAATCAGGTGATCTTTCGAGAAACGGCGTCCGTGACCACAGCCAAAACCACCCTAGGTCACGTCGCTGCGGTGGAAGAGAGAGACGCCGTTTACGCAGTACGTAGTCGGGCTTAAGGCTTCTCCTGGAAGCCACAGAGAATTCGCTGGGAAAGAGAGAGACTCTTTGGGTCCAAAGTTAGCAACTTCGGGATGAGCAAATGTTGTTTTTTTCCCCATCCCTTGTCATAAGTTAGTGACACGATTAAGTGAATTTTACCACATTGGATGAACTTTCTTTTTTTTTCTTTTCTTTTTTTTTAAATTTGATTTATATGCCGCCCTTCTCCGGAGACTCAGGGCGGCTTACAATGTGCTCAGCAATAGCCTTCATCCTTTTGTATATTTATACAAAGTCAGCTTATTGCCCCCACAACTGGGTCCTCAATTTACCTAAGGATGGAAAGGCTAAGTCAACCTTGAGCCTTGGCGAGATTCGAACCTGCAGTAATTGCAGGCATCTGGTCTTAATAACCAGCTTAATAACAGGGTGCCTTAGACCACTGTACTACCAAGGCTCTTGCCGAAGTGGTTTTCTTGCAGCATTTCATGACCCAACTAGGTAACATCATCAGTGCTAGAAAGGAATGGGGGTTTGCTCTCAGTTTATGTACGGTTTATGTTTAGGTACAGTTACTGTCAGTGCTGGTGAGAATGGGCATAGGTTCCTTGATTAGCCTCTTCTCTTCGCTTTTGTATTTTTTAAAAATCACCTCTTGGTCACTCTAAAAATGCCAAATTACAACCGGATACTGAATTTTCTCCTTCGGCTTACATAGAAATTCAAGGAGACGCTCCAGATGGAATTTGCCAGGATCAAGGAGGAAAACTCCGCTCACCTCATGAAAACCCAACACTGGGCCCATTGGTGGAAGAAATCCGTGCAAAAAATCAAACAGCTCTATTTGTGAACCAGTCTTGATCTCCCAGGATCCACGTTTCCTCGCCCTCTCCCTCCCCCTCCTCCTCGTTTGTGCGATATAGACGTATAATTTCCATCTGTAGGAAAAGAAAAATGTTTAGTCTGAAAAAATTAAAAAAAACGCTGCTATTTTTGCATATCTTGGCATCTTCCGAAAGTACGGATGATTGGCGTTTCCCAAATTTATCAATTTTAAGGCCTGTGGACTTCAACTCTCAGAATTCCCCTGCCGGCATCTCGTTAGCAATACTTACTGTAATTATGACACTATCCCATTCTGTATTTTCTAAGTACAGGTAGTCCTCGACTTACGACCACAATTGAGGCCAAAATTTCTGTTCCTAAGGGGGGCAGTTAAGTGAGCTTCGCCCCATCTTACGACCTTTCTTATCACAGCGGTTAAGTGACTCATTGCAGTTAAGTTAGTAACATGATTAAGTGAATTTTACCACATTGGATGAATTTTCTTGCCAAATTTGTTTAAGTGAATCGGTTAAGTTAGTCCCACATTTGTTAAGCGAATCCGGCCGCCCCATTGACTTTGCTTTTCGAAAAGTCTCAAAACGGGACCACGGCACACCACAAATCGTCATAATTATGAGTCAGTTGCCAAGTGTCTGAATGTTTTGATCACATGACCGCGGGGGATGCTGCAACGGTCGTAAGTGTGAAAAATCTAAGTCATTAAGTCACTTTTTTTCAGTGTCGTAAATTCTAATTTGTCCACTAAACAAATTGTTGTAAGGCAAGGACCTCCTGTACTTTAGTAATACTCAATTATAAAACAATGCCTATTTCAGGGGTGAAATCCAGCAGGTTCTGACAGGTTCTGGAGAACCGGTAGCGGAAATTTTGAGTAGTTCAGAGAACTGGTAGCGGAAATTTTGAGTAGTTCAGAGAACCGGTAGTGGAAATTTTGAGTAGTTCGGAGAACCAGTAAATGCCACCTCTGGCTGGCCACAGGTTTGGGGAGGGAATGGAGATTTTGCAGTATCCTTCCCCTGGAGTTGGGTGGGAATGGAGATTTTGTAGTATCCTTCCCCTTTCACGCCCACAGAACCGGTAGGGAAAAATTTTAGATTCCACCCTTGGCCTATTTGTTCTTTTCCAAGTATCATTTTTCTCGAGCTGTGTGCAAAATTGACTCATCAAACATTCTTGAGTTTCATGCTTTTGGGTTTTTTTTTTCCCCCTCCCACCAGATCTCTACTAAATATGGAAGTGATGCTCTCCACCAAGAGAGAGAGAAAGCAAAATTAAGATTTAAGCTTCTCTCTGAGCTGCAGTGTGAAGATTAAAGACTTAATTGTTGGGGCTTCATCACTTCGTCTGGGAGGTTTAAATAACTTCCAAGTTAGCTCTGCCAAACTTAAAACTGACGGGATCTGTTTTCATTCGACCGGCTGCATGGATTAATTTCAACATTTCTATCCTTCCCAGCTGAAAATAAAACTCCTGGAGATTTGTACCGAATATTAAAATATAAAACCAAACATGTTCAAAAGCAGATCCAGGGTAACTTAAAAGACAGTTTGAACCAGTTTTGGGGTTCTTTTTCTTTCCTTCGCTGTTAGCCACTGGACGTAAGGACCGCGTTTTTTTTTTTGCCACAGTTGTTAAAGCGAATCACTGCAATTAAGTTATCGCGCAACTCCCTCTTATTCCTTTGACTTTATTTTCTGAAGCCTGTTGAGAAACAGGTTTCACAAATAGCGATCGCGTAACCCCAGGACGCTGCAGCCGTTATAAGTGTGAGGACCAGTCATAAGTCATTTCCCCCCCTTTTTTTTTTTGCAACTTTCAATGGTTGTTAACAAATAGTTGTACGCTTTCTTTCTCTCTCTCTCTCTCTCTCTCTCTCTCTCCGATGCATTTTTAAAAAAATTATTTGGAAAACGCCAAAAGAATAGAACAACGTTTTTACAAAGATAAAAGCCAGATAGGAACTTTTTTTTTTAAATATAAGTTTTCTTTTTCTTTTCTTTTTTTTTAAAAAAAAGGAAAATAACTCAGCTGGATCATTGCACAGAGCAGGTGATAACTAAGGTCACATTGCATTTCATAGGATTGCATCTGTGCAGTTACGGTTCATGGCCAGCTGCATCTTCGCCACTGTATCGTAAGAATATTGGTTTAGCTAGCTTTGCTTGCCCACGTACAGCTGCGCATGTGACTGGCAGGTTTCTACGCCCCAGAGCACACGGATAAAGACGGCTATGCAAATGCGCCAACATAAACCTCGGAGAGCGCAAACATTGAGCTCAGACAAACTCTCCGAGGCTTCCGGAGCCTTAGCTGCCATGTTGACCCCTTGCTGTGAAATGTGAGAGTCGCAAAACTTCTTCAACACGGACCAGTGGCAGGCAGTTCCTCCACCCGAAATTTCTGTGGCTAAGTGAGACGAGTGAGTTTTTTGCCCCGCTTTACGACTTCCCTTGCCCACGGTGGCTAAGTGAATCGCTGAGCTGGATAAGTGAGTAACCTGGTTGTTAAGCTGACTTTGCTTGTCAGGAGGTCGCTAAAGGAGAACCGTGTGACGCACACATCCCTGGGATGCTGCAACCGTCATAAGTACATGCCAGTTGCCAAGCATCTCTGAGCACGTGACCAGACGGATGCTGCAAGTGTGAAAAACAGCCACAAGTCACTTGTTCCGGTGCCGTTTTGACTTCAGGCGGTCATTAAGCGAACTGTTGCAAGTCAAGGATTTCCTGTGCGCTCGGGTAACGATTCGGTGAGCAGCTAAATGAAAAAGCTCTAGATTATTTTTCTGCTCGTCAGCCCAGGTTTCTGACTCAATCCTTGGTCAAAAATAGCTACGATAACAACACACTCACTTGTTGACTCGACTCGAAATTCATCTGTTCCATCTTCTCTGATCTGTAGTCGCTCCGATATAAAAATTGGCCTTTGCACACCGTTCGGTCCTACTCGGCCGCTGCTCCTCAGTCACTTCCAACTCTTTGCAAGCCACGAACGATGTTTTCAGCAAGACGGAATGTCAGCTAACGGCTGCTTTGAATTCTTGCAAGCTCTGGCTTACAGCGTCATTCAGCCACTCTCTCTGCTGTTTATCTTTTTCCTAATCGCCTTTGATTTATTTTTTTCACCCCCAAGCAGAGAGTCTTTCCCTGCTGCTCCTCGCCTTTGCATTCTGCATCCCGAATGTGGGAGAATCCACTTCGCCTTCCACACCTCCAGGGAACCATTGAAACTTCACCTCCTCTGGTGTTTGGGGGGGAATAGTCCTCCTTATCCCCCACGGTAGCCTTAAATTGTGTTCTCCGGCAACGCAATCCGGGAGCTTCGGATTTTATTTCATTTCACCTTTCTGATAAGCCGGTTTTCCCCTGTCCTGGTGGCCTTGCAGATTAACCGGTTTTCTACAGGTAGTCCTCGACTTAACGACAATTCGCTTAGTGCCTCTTTTGAGAGAGCATCCTTCCTCCCTCCCTTCCACTTTCCTTCCTTCCCTCCCTCCTGATTTCAATTACTTTCCTTCCTCCCTCCCTCTCTCCTTCCTTCCATTCCTTCCCTTCTTTTCTTCCTCTTTCCTTCTTTCTTTTCCTTTCTTTTTCTTTCTTTCCTTCCTTCCTTCCTTTTTCTTTGTTTTTTTCTCCTTCCTTCCTTCCTTCCTTCCTTCCTTCCTTCCTTCCTTCCTTCCTTCCTTCCTTCCTTCCTTCCTTCCTTCCTTCCTTCCTTCTTGTAATGGGAAAATTGTCAAAAAAAACATTTGGGTAATGGGGAAAAAAAAAAAAACCCAAGGAAGTTTGCATTTCAATTTGCTTTCTTGGGGATTTTCTTAAATATACAGTGCTTTCGTAATTTCTAAAATTATGTTTTCACTTTGTCATTACTTGAGGGCAGATTAATGAGAGAAAAAAAACAACAACTGTGGAATCAGGCTGCAGCATAACAAAATAGACAAACCGGGAGGTCTGAATACTTTCTGAATGCACTGTATATATGTATTAAAAGTATTTGTACAGCCACCTATCTCAACCAAGTGACTTCAGCCAAAATTCGGCCAAACCTAATGGAAAGAATACAAAACCACAATAGGTAAACCATTCTACTCTATTATTCTATTCTATTCTGTTCTATTGGTATTCTATTTTGTATTGTTCTATTCCCCAGTTTCTATTCTTTTCTATTTTCAATTCTATTCTAATTTCTATTTTCTATTTTCTATTCTATTTTCAATTCTATTCTAATTTCTATTTTTTTATTTTCTATTTTCTATTCTATTTTCTATTCTATTGCTTATTCTATTCTATTCTGATTTCAGTTCTGTTCTGTTCAGTTCTATTGTAGATTTTTCCCTCCTCATTTGGCTTATACTGTTTGACTGACTGCAGAGGAAAACCCGTCTCTTTCCAACCCAGAGAAGGAAAATATGAGAGAAGCTTGTGATTTTTTTCCACCCCTCCTTTGCTCCGAGGATGTCAGCCTGGATTAGCTCTGCTGGCTCTCCTCGGCAGAGATGTTTGTACGCTGTGGAAACGCCAGCTTTTTTTTTTTTTAAAGCAGCAAAGCGAATTAATCCAGCTTTATCTCTAAGCCCATGTCTACTTGCCAAATGCGATCAATGTTCCCTACAGGTGAGATCACGGGACGCCAAGAAAGATGAGCGAATGGAATGGCATCTTTCCGCCTCTCCTGTTACGCTCATCAGACAAACCCAACTAGGATTACCATGGAGAGTTAATCCGGGTTTATTCGGCAGCTCGGCCCAAAACCTTTGCTGTGGATGCAGCCAAGTTCCCGTATGCCGCGTTTCCCCGAAAATAAGACCCTGTCTTATATTTTGGTGAACCCTGAAATAAATGCTTGGCCTTATTTTCAGGGAGGTCTTATTATTTTGGGGCGCGTGGAGCAAAAAATAAGTTGACCACCCCCTCCTCCTCCTCCTTTGTGGCAGCCCCTGTTTGCAACCTGCACAAAACCTTTGATTTGCAACCTTTGATTTGGCGTGGCTTTAAACTTAGCAAACCTCTTCTTCCTTGCCTTGACCTGTTGTGTCGGCTGTTCTGAAGAGGCTTGAGACAGGCTATAGATCCATGTAGATATAAATAAAGGGATGAATAAATAATACGGCTTAATGAGCAGAGAAAGATGCCTCTCCGATATTATCCTGGGCAACCTCTGCAACAGAGGTGAAATCTACTTACCTTCCCTACCAATTTGGACGTGCGCGCACATCTCATGCAGTTTTGGACCCTCTGCGATGCGCAAAGCCTTCTGTGCATGTGCAGAGGGTCAAAAACAGGTTACTTCCTGGTTACAACCAGGAAGTAACAACATCCGGGCGGGTGGGCGGAGCTTCGCACTGCCGCCGCTACCAGTTCGCCGAACCACACACCGCCACCGCTACCAGTTTGCCTGAACCGGTGCGAACCGGCAGCATTTCACCCCTGCTCTGCAGGCTGCTACTATAAATTTGCCTGGGACAGTTGGTGCTCTCTATACTCCAATAGTCCTCAACTTACCAACCGTTCATTTAGTGACCGTTCCGCATTATGACAGTGCTGGAAAAATTGACTTGTGCCCGGTCTTCACATTTATGACCGTCAAAAGAGTCCCGAGTCATGCGATCAAAATTTGTGGCAGATGCAGCATCCCAGAGTTCACAGAATGGTCATTTGCAAACTTCCCAGCCATTTTCCGAGGAAGGAAGCCGGATTTCGCTTAACAACGGTGACAAAAACAACGACCCCGATAATGTGGGACGGCACCTCCCTTCACAAGCCATCTCGCTCGACGGCAAAAGGGCCCTCTTTTCAACCCTAAATTGTGACCCTCCGGGATGAATTTTCTACACTGCCAACACTCTTTGTGTTGTGTTGTTCACAATCTTTTAACCCTCCCTACTACACACACACAAACACACACATATATGTAGAGTCTTCTCGTTTCCATAGCAACTCCCACTGGCCCCTTTTTTCTATTGCCCAAAAGCACCAGTGATTAAATATAAATTTTACACACACACACACACACACACACACCAAAAAAATTGGAAATAAAAATGGCACGGGCCCGGAGTTTTGCAATGACTCCCCGCCCCCTCCTTCTTCTTCTGCTCCAGCAACGGAAGGATTGGTTCGAATAGAGATGAAGTTGTCGGAGTGGAGGTGGGCGTGTGGGTGGGTGGGCACAGCTTCGATCACGTGGCGGAGGTTAAGGAGCTGGGGATCAGCATCCTCCTCCTCGTTTTGGGGTGGGATTTGGGCTAATTGGAAATACACCCCCCCCCTCCTCCCTTCCGGGGCGGTCCCGCTTGGACCAGAATAAAATCTCTGCACACGGTTGTAATCTGGAAATCTGGACTCTTTTCCTGCAAAGCATCCTGTGGGCATCTTAAGGATGGATAATTGGATTATGCTTTTCGGGCTTTGCAGTGGGCGATTTGTTAGCATCCGTGTGTGTGTCACAAAACACCTTCTCTTTTTTTCCCCCCCTGTGATAAACCGGAGACCCCCCCTGTCTCGTGTGAAAAACCTGGCTGTGTCCCCTTGGGGTTTAGTCCAGCCAAAATCAAATACCTTCCAAGTGAGATTTATTTTATTATTATTATTATTTTTTGTGGCGAACGTGGGTGGCCTGCGTGGCAGGTGGTCTCCGTGGCTGCCAAGAGGGAGAATTTCCCAATGATTCAAGGGCTTCAATTGGGTTTGGAAGCAGAACAACGTAACGCATCGCCTTCTCCGTCCATCCCATCCTGGTTTCCAGCATCATGGCAGCTTCTCCGTGGCAGGCAGTCCTCGACTTAATGACCGCAATTGATTTCCATCGCTAAGTGAGGTGCCCATTAAGCTCCCCCCCCGCCTCCTCTCCTAATTTTACCACCTTTTTGGCCCTGTCGTGAAGAGAGTCACTGAGGTCGTTGAGTGAGTCGCGCAGTCGCTAAGCGAACCCGGCTGCTCCCATTGGCTTTGCGTGTCGCAAATGGGGAATCACGTGACCTGGGATGCAGTCGCCTTCATAAATCTATGTGCCCCAAGTGCCTGAATTTTGATCCCATGACCGTGTGAGAAGAAAGTGTATTTGTGGGTCTCGGGCATTGTGCAAAACGCAGCAATTTTTTTTCTCGGGGGTTCTGTTGCCAAAATAAAGCCAAATTCTGCACATGCTCAGGAACCCTGTCTCAGCACCCAATTCAGATTTCATTCTCCTTAAAGATTTATTTCTGTGTATTCAGGCTTTGGGATAGCTGCAAATGACCTCCCTTCAAATCGGCTCATCTTTTGGAGATGAGATTTCTTTCTTTCTTTCTTTCTTTCTTTCTTTCTTTCTTTCTTTCTTTCTTTCTTTCTTTCTTTCTTTTTCTTTCTTTCTTTCTTTCTTTCTTTCTTTCTTTCTTCTTTCTTCATTTTCTTTCCTTTTTTTCTTTTCCTTCCTTCCTTCCACTTTCCTCTCCCCTTTCCTCCTCCCCCTCCTTCCTCCCTCCCTCCCTCCCTTCCTTTTCCTCCTCCTTTCTCCTTCCTCCTCCTCCTCCTCCTATTAGTATTGTTCGTCACAATCAGCCAGATGTTTATACTGGACCTGGCATTTCGGTCCAACTCTCAGGTCCTCTATAATAATACTAAATGTATTTTCACGGGATGTAAGCCGTTCCAAGTCAAGCTGCCTTTTGCAATTGACTGATGGTTTAAATTTGTCAATGCCGATGGATGTTCCAGCGGTGCTCCAGCTGTTTTGGGATTGCACCCAAGGCGCCTATCCCTATCGATACAGGTAGTCCTCGACTTACAAGCATTCATTTACTAACCGTTCAAAGTTACAACGGAACTGGAAAAAACAGTCTTTTTTCCATTCACGTGATCCTTTTGCGACCTTTTGACAGGCGACATCAACGGAGAAGCCAGATTCACTTCACAACCGTGTTATTAATTTAAATTCCTTCCGTACTAATTCCTTCCTTCCTCTCTCTTTTTATTTCTTGCTTTCTTTTTCTTTCTCCCTTCCTTCCTTCCTGCCTCTCTTTTCCTCTATTTCTTGCTTGTTTTCTTATTTTCTTCTTTTTCTTGCTGGCTTGCTTACTCTCTCTCTCTCTCTCTCTCTCTCTCTCTCTCTCTCTCTCACATTACGTAAATGTTTAAATCCTTTTTTCGCTTTCGTTATTAAACCACAATCCTGCCCCCACAGAACGGAAATGTATGTTTTCTTTTTCAGTTCTCCATTTTTATTTTTATTTTAAATAATGCCTGAGAAGTAGGCTGTATAACAGCCCCCAAACCCAAACAATATCCCATCGATTGCCAATCAGTGAAACAATCGCAATAATTTTAAATATATAACCACTATAATATCTGGCTGCTATATGTATGTGGTTTTTTTGGACGTTCTAAGTTTTTAAATTGCTTTAACTGTTTTAGAATTGTAAGCTGCTTGGAGTCTCACTGGGCTGAGATGGGCGGCTACAGAAACCAATCAATCCATCAATCAATCAAATAATACCGTTATTTGAGGACTAGGTGGCTCAGTGGCTAAGACACTGAGCTTGTCGATCAGAAAGGTCGGCCGTTCGGCAGTTCGACTCCCTAGTACAGGTCTCCTGCGTGAGCAGGGGGTTGGACTGGATGACCTCTAAGATCCCTTCCAACTCTGTTACTGTTAAATAAAGCTACTGCTCAGGACCGCTCAGATACAGTGGCCTTCATGTGCTGTATCAGGGTTGCTTTAAACCAAGGTGGCATCCCTCACCTGTGAGATAGCTTTCCTTTGGCATTCTGCACATGCTCAGAAACAGCCTTGTTCTTGGTTTTCTTGGTTTCCCACGGTTTTTTTCTTTCAGGAGAAAAGATACTTGACAGGCCAGATTTCTTTTGGACGAGGGGAGGGAGAAGTCTTTGTCTGTCCTTCCTTCCTTCCTTCCTTCCTTCCTTCCTTCCTTCCTTCCTTCCTTCCTTCCTTCCTTCCTTGGCAAATAGACAGCTTAAACCTCTTGGGCTGGCTAGCTGGCTTTCTGCACGCGCTCAGAAGCCCCGGCCAAAGCATCTTTAGCTCCCCACCGTTTTTGTGCTCCTTCCTTCCTTCCTTCCTTCCTTCCTTCCTTCCTTCCTTCCTTCCTTCCTTGACAGGTTAAACTCCTTGGGCTGGCTAACTGGCTTTCTACACACGCTCAGGAGTCCTGGCCAAGGCATTTTTAGCTCCCCATAGCTTTTGTGTGCCTTCTTTCTTTCTTTCTTTCTTTCTTTCTTTCTTTCTTTTTTCTTTCTTTCTTTCTTTCTTTCTTTCTTTCTCTCTCTCTCCTTCTCTTCTCTCTCTCTCTCTCTCTCTCTCTCTCTCCTTCCTTCCTTCCTTCCTTTCCTTCCTTCTTTCCTTCCTTCCTTCCTTCTCAAAGAGACCTTTCCCCCTTGGGCTCCTAGCTGGCTTTTCTGCATTCCTCAGGAGCCCTTTCCAAGGCATCCTTTCCTCCCCCACAGCTTTTGTTGCCTTCTTTTTTTTCTTTCTTCTTTCTTTCTTCTTTCTTTCTTTCTTTCTTTCTTTCTTTCTTTCCTTTCCTTCCTTCCTTCCTTCCTTCTTCCTTCCTTTCCTTCCTTCCTTCCTTCTCAAAGAGACCTTTAAACCCCTTGGGCTGGCTAACTGGCTTTCTGCACGCCTCAGGAGCCCTTTCCAAGGCATCTTTAGCTTCCACAGCTTTTGTGTTTCCTTCTTTCTTTTCTTTCTTCCTTTCTTTCTTTCTTTTCTTTCTTTTTCTTTCTTTCTTTCTTTCTTTCTTTCTTTCTTTCTTTTCTTTCTTTCTTTCTTTCTTTTTCTTTCTTTCCTTTCCTTTTCCTTTCCTTTCCTTTCCTTTCCTTCCCTTCCTTCCCAAAGAGACAGGCTGTTTTACCTGCTCGCCGGTGCCGAGTCACGTTAGCTCTCCGCCCCTTTCCACGCCGTGCCTTCCCCCCCCTCTCCCCGCTTGGATCCGCGCTCCTTTCTCCCACCCCCCCCCGGGCAATTCCCTTCGGCTCCTTCGCCTTCTACGCTCCCCCGCGCGATCCTAACCCAAGCTTATAGGAGGGGAGGGGGAAGGCAGGAGGCGGGCTCGGGTCTCCCCGGGTGCTTTATTTGCAAAGCCGAGCCCGCGGGGCTCCGCCCGTCCCCCCGAAGGGAAAGCGACCTTCCTCTGGGTGCAGAATTCAACCAGCCGCTGCTGCCCGCCTGAAATTGACGCGACCTAGCTGGCTTACAGCCCAATGGTCAATTTGACCGGCAGCTTCGCTGCTGCGTCTGCCCGAGCTCCCGGGGCGGGCGGGCGAGGTGGATGGAGACGCCGATCGGGGACGATCGCCCCAGCTCCGCCCGGAGAAGGCGAGCAGGAAGCCCGGATTATTATGGGTTTGGAGGAGAGCTGCTGAACAGCACCGGGGTGGCAGCGACGGCGGCGGCGGCGGCTTTCCCTTGGCCAGCCCTGCGCTCCTCCACCTGCCGCCTCTTTTCTTCTTCTTCTTCTTCCTCCTCCTCCTCCTCCTCCTCTTCCTCTCCTAGCCCCCCTCCCCGGGCCTGGATCGCCCCCCCTCTCCTCCCTCCCCATCGCCCCCGCCGTCTTTCTCCTCGCCTGGCTCCCTTAGAAACGATGAACGGAAAACCATGATGCTGGAGAGCCAGGTAAGACGCCAGGCTGGAGAAGACCTGGAAGGGAAGGGAAGGGGGATGGAGGATGGAGGGAGGGGAGGGCTGCGTCCTCACGACCCTCGCCTTTCTTTGGGGGGTGGGGTCCGGGGGTGGGTAGGGGGGACCGCTCAGGAGGTTGGCACCGGCGGCGTTATTAATTTGCCTTCCCCCTCTCCCCCCTAGCTAAACTAGGCTTGGCACGTGTGAATGCAGCTGTTGGGGGCTTGTTGGGGAAGCCCACATTCGCATCTGGGAAAGGGCGTGGGGTGGGTGGTGGGTGCGGAGGACAGGTCCCTTCTGGACAGGGGAACTGGGAAAGGGGAACTGGAAAACGCTGGGAAAGACCCAGTTTTTCGTCTTCCTAAGGATTCATTAGAACAAGAGCTTTAATGAGAGGGGGGGGGGGGGTGTTAAAACAAGGGCTGCCCGCCCACGCAGTGGTCATTGCATTGGGGGTCTTGGTGGGGTGGACTAGATGATCCTTAGAGGCCTCCCGACTGGTGATCTTTTTAATGGTAGAGAAGGAACTTGGCTACACGCCTTAGAGCTGTCTTCATTTTCAAGCCCCGGGGATCATCAGCCCCACTGCTGGGCCCTTGGGGGGGCTATAGTGACCCCCCCCACTTGGAAAGGTCGATCACGATGCTTCCTTCCTTCCGAATCATTAAGATTACAGGTAAGTTTTTTTTTACAGTAACCCTTTTTTAGCCTTTTTAGTTTTTTAGCTTTTAATTGTCAATGGGTTTTAATTCGAATTGTTTTAAATTTGGGCCGAAGCATGTAATTCTTTTAACAATTTTAAATTTTGTATTGGTAGGTGTTTTAGTTCTGGCTGTGCAGCGCCCTGAGTCCACTAGGAGAAGGGCGGTATACAAATTGAAATAAATAAATAAATAAATAGTCCTCGACTTACAACCCCAATGGAGCCCAGCGTTGATGTTGCTAAGCGAGACATTTGTTCAGTGCCGCGTTTTTAACAATCTTTCCTGCCATTGTGGTTTAAGCGAATGGCTGGCTTTGCTGATCAGAACGTCGTCAGAAGCGTGACCCCCAGGGACGCTACGACCGTCATAAATTTTGATCATGTGGGCCGCGGAGATGCTACAACGGTCGTAAGGGTGAAAAAAAAAAAACCCGGCCCTACGTCACCTTTTTTTTCCCCCAGTGCCGTCGTAACTTTAAACGGTCACTAAATGAACTGCCTGTACCAGTAGGTAGGAATGGAGGATGGGGCAATGTGGGGTGAAGCTTTTAGAGGGTCGTACCCAGATCTCGAATTGCGGCTAGAGGGATATTGGGGGCTCCCAAATTGATCCCACGAAGCCGTGGGATGCGACGCGCTTAAATTCCCAAGTTTAGGATTGTGCCGTTCTTCCCCAGTTTTGCCACCTTCGCGATGGAGTAAGAATTACCTTGGAAACGTTAAAAAAATGCGTTGGCTGGTTGGCTAAATCTTGAATTTGGCTTCCAGATGGATGAGAAACTTGAAAGCCATAGATGATATTATTATTAAACACGAAACTCAGTCAGCTGAACATTCAAAAATGCATCACAAATACGATTGACTGGTGCTAATGGTTGATAGGGGTTGCTGCCAGCGTCCTAGGGATCAACCAAGGATCTTCTTAAAATATACGATGTTCCGAGTAGCGCAGTTTTTTTGCAGTTCCGCTGGTGTCATTGCAGGAAGCTGCAATTTCTTGATGTGTTTTGTAAAATTCTTGGACGTGGTACCAAGTGCCCTGATGACAATGGGGATCACTGTTGCATGTTTCATCCATAACCGTGTCGTTTCGATGAGCAGGTCGCGATATTTCGTGATTTTATTTCCAGTTCTTTTTCTTCGACTCCGGCGTCTCCTGGTATAGCGATATCAATAAATTGTACGCTTCGGCCCTCGACAACCGTGTTATTTGGCGTGTTGTGTTCCAAATGACGACAACGATGATGACGATGATGATGATTATCCTTCAAAGTTAAGGCACAAAGAACCTCACCCATTAAGAGATCCTTTCTTGGAGCGGGGAGGGAAGGTAAATGGGAATTCAGCTGGTTTTTTTTGGGCTTAGCCAAATAAGCACCTTGGCTGCTGACATCAGCTGGAGCCGACAGGGCCTGTTTCAACCTGTGTTGTGTTGTGCTATGTCTGCATGGGGCAAAATGGCACCACCGGGGTTTAATTTCGGCTGTGAAAACAAGTCGTGTCTGGGATCTACGTCTGGGAAGAGAGGGTTTGTTGACGGCTTCAGAGGAAACATTTCCGTAAACAGAATAACAGAGTTGGAAGGGGGCCTTGGAGGTCTTCTAGTCCAGCCCTACACACAGCGAGGACACTCTACGCACAGGATTCAGGTTTACTAACAGTTCTTCCTGATCTGGCCAGGAGGTGGCGCCAGCTGCTTTTGGTGTAGATGCAAAAGACCTTCTAAATAAAAGAACAATTTGTTCTGACATTTTATACAATGACTAAAAGACTTAATGGGAGACAAGGGCCCGTGAATCACCATTTTGTATTTCTGGCTTTTTTTTTTTTTTTTTTTTTTTTTGTAGTAGCTGAAACTCTCGGCATTCCAGATCATGCCTTTCTGGTCCCAGCTCAGCCCCGAAACTGGGATTTTCTGTTTTTGGCAAGCTTGATTGACACCAGGCATCATCATCGCTCGTTGCAATGGATCTGAGCTGGGAGGGATTGGCTTAATTATAAGTAGTCCTCGGCTTACGACCGCAACTGAGCCCAATATTTCCTCTGCTAAACGAGACGTTTGTTAAAATGGGTTCTGTCCCATTTTATGAGCTTTCTTGCCACATTTGTGAAGTGAATCCCTGCACTTGTTCACAGGGTTATTAACAGGGTTATTCACTTGTTCACAGGGTTATTAACAGGGTTATTCAGCCAGTTCACACCTATTCGGGAGAACCGGTTGTTAACTTTCTAAGCAGTTCGGAGAACCTGTTGTTGGAAGAAATCGTATTTTGTTTTTTTCCACTTTACAGGACTAATCCTGTAAGGAAGGCAGGAAGGAAACATTCTGGTGGTGTTTCTAGCCTAATCTTTATTGCCCTGCTTATATAAACTGCCTCTCTGGTTAACCCTTATTACATTGTAATAGTAAGGTGAAACGCCCATCGACGTGAGTGACATTGAGTTGGCCACACCCACACGGTCACATGACCACTGAGCCACGCCTACCCAGCTGGTCATTAGGGCAAAGAACCGGTTGTTAAATTATTTGAATCCCACCACTGGTTATTAAGTGTATCTGGCTTCCCCATTGACTATACTAATCAAGGGGATTGAATGACCCTGGGAATTTCCATCAGTTTGCCCCAAAGAAGAGGGAGTCAAGCTATTCTCCAAAGCGCCTGAAGGCAGGACAAGAAGCAACGGGTGGAAACTCATCAAGGAGAGTAGCAACCTAGAACTAAGGAGAAACTTCCTGACAGTCAGAACAATTAACCAGTGGAACAACTTACCACTGGAAGATGAGAATGCTCCAACACTGAAAGTTTTCAAGAAGAGATTGGACAACCATTTGTCTGTTATTCCATCCATTGTTTCTCATCCTGCCCTTCAGGTGCTTTGGAGAATTAAAAAAAAAAAATCAAGGTCCCTCCCCATACAAAATGCCCAAGCCATCGCAACCCTTGTACCCCTTGCAAACGGTCAAGTTTCCCTCTGACTTTAAAGGAAGGGCGTCATAAAAATAGTCCGCCACCTTCCTGTTTTTTTGTTTTCAACTTCCCAGTCTACGTTCAAGGTTGGGGATTTCCTGGTGTCTCCCGGATTGACTCTGCTGAGTTTCGGAATTTGGTTTGCCTTCAGTAGGTTGAGTTTGTGGTCTCTTGGCTTATTCATTTTCTGAGATCAGCCAGCAGTGGTTATCTGCTGCCATCTTCTGCCCACCTGAAGCCTCTGATTCTGAACATCCAATGGAGAAGGAAGAGGAGGAAGGAGGAGGAGGAAAGGATAATACTTATTTTTTTTTAAAAAAAATAATAGCTTCGCAGTACAAACTGGTAAACATTTAGCCCCTGATAAGCCAGACGTGATTGTCGCTACAAAATGTAGATCATGTGCTGCAAATATATAGAACTGTGATGGCGAATTTATGGCACGTGTGCCCAAAGTGGCACGTGAAGCCATGTCGCCCGGCACGCGCGGACCTTGCCGGTTTGTCTTCTGGGTTTCTGACACGCATGCACGCGTGACGATCAGCTGTTCTTCGCCCGCGCGGCAGTGCTGAAAACTGCTGTGCTCATGCACACCGGCCAGCTGATCGTTGGGTGCTCATGCGCGCCAGAACCCGGAAGTTCGGCTTTTCCAGAGCACGATCCCTTCCAGTTCCGTTGTAACTTTGAACGGTCAGTAAATGAATGCTTGTAAGTCGAGGACTACCTGTACCGATAGGGATAGGCGCCTTGGGTGCAATCCCAAAACAGCTGGAGCACCGCTGGAACATCCATCGGCATTGACAAATTTAAACCATCAGTCAATTGCAAAAGGCAGCTTGACTTGGAATGGGTTACATCCCGTGAAAATACATTTAGTATTATTATAGAGGACCTGAGAGTTGGACCGAAATGCCAGGTCCAGTATAAACATCTGCCTGATTGTGACGAACAATAATAATAGGAAGAGGAGGGAGGAGAAAGGAGGAGGAGAAGGAAGGAAGGGAGGGAGGAGGGAGAGAAGGAAAGTGGAAGGAAGGAAGGAAAAGAGAAAGAGAGAAAGAAAGAAAGGAAAGAAAGAAGGAAGGAAGGAAGGAAGGAAAGAAAGAAAGAAAGAAAGGAAGGAAGGAAGGAAGGAAGGAAGGAAGGAAGGAAGGAAGGAAGGAAGGAAGGAGGAGGGAGGGAAGGAGGGAGGAAGGAAGGAAAGGAAGGAAGGAAGGAAGAGGGAGGGAGGGAGGGAGGGAGGGAGGGAGGGAGGAAGGTAGGAAGGAAGAAAGAAAGGAAGGAAGAAAGAAAGAAAGAAAGAAAGAAAGAAAGAAAGAAAG